CGGAGGAGGAGGAGGGTATCTGTAGGATAAGGCAGAGCACGGAACTTGGAAGGCGCTTGGAAAGCGGTCCCTCGACGAAAGCTGGGCCGATGTTTGGGGGTGGGAAGTGTGGGAAGGTTTTGGGGGTGTCATTGACGACGGGGGGTCCAGTCCATGTTAGTAGCACCTTACTGTCCGTCTGTCTGTCTTTCTATTCCATGAACCTGAGGGCTGTCATCTACATACATAGTACCAACTGCCCGAACATAAAGTACGGTCTCTACGCAGGAGGTGAAGCAAGCTGGAGGTATGCAGGAGATGGCGAGAAAGGCAAAGCGAAAAAGCGAGAAGGGGACCCAATCGTCTTGTCTCGGGCTGGCAGGCACACCGATGTTGAGCTACACCTTAGACTTTCAGCACTCCCAGATCCAGAAGGGGAGTTTGCTGCAATAGCACACACTCACACACCACCAACATGCTGGTTACCTGCGTACCTGCGTACTTTCCCGTCGGAACCGTAGATATTGGGTCTGAGCCCAACCTCAGGCGCGGGCGAGGCAGAGAAGGACGGGGGAACACGGGCGAATGGCACCACACAGACACACACCTTAACGGCCGATGACTGTTAGTGTGACTCCTCGACGACAAACGGTTCTTTCGACAACGACCAAATCAAAAGGCAAATCAGCCCCAAGTGTCTGATCTAGTCCGATGTACCGGTCATTGATGTTTCCTGGGTTAGAGTAAGACAGACAATTGCACCGTTTGTTTAGGGGGTTTGTGTGGGATGGCCTTCGTCTCGATGTTGATATCCGGTGGGCAAGGTACCTACCTTTACTGTGTAAGGTAAGGTAAAGCAGGACCTGACATTTTGGAGAGACGGCAGGTACAAGATACTTTGTACCTGCCTCCAAAAGTAGCGTTCCTCAGCTCAACGGACGGTACCTTATTCGGCTTACCACACCCTTCCTTCCCGTCGTTGACCATGTCAAGTTCTCAAGTACTCCGTACCTCGTCTTCCATTGCAGACTTCCAACGAGCTGAGGTGATATGAACAGGTAGTACGCATCTCAGTGCGGTAAGCGCTCCTGCTCCGCGCTCCTGCTCCGCGCTCCGCATGAACGACGGAGGCGGCGACGACAGGAAGGAGGCAGGAGATGACACCGGGCAGGCAAGTGCGTCCTGGGTCAGACGATCTTCTCGACGAATGGCAGGTCCGGTCAAGGTAAGGTAAAGGCAAGGCAACGGTCATAGCAAGGGACTTTTCTCGAGGCAGGCGTGGCACGATCCACCGAGGAAGGAACAACAGACGAGGAAAAAGCAACAAGTCGACCAGCTGGCGCCACAGGGGACCTGTGATTCCACTCTTTCACGACTCCATTCTTACTCTCGAGTCTCGAAGGAGGGCAAGGGAGGCACCGAGGTCGAGAAAGAAGCAATAATGAACAGGTGAAGACGAGGGCTTGCCTGCGTGCCTGCCTGTAGCCCTGTACTGATTTTTAGCGCCTGCCTCGAGGCGGATACCATACGACAGGGTACGTAATGGCGGATATCCCCTTCTCTCACCTGCAAAGATTCGTACGAAATACTCCGTAAAGTCTGGAATGACACACCTCATTGATGGCTTCAAAACTTTCCCAGCCGTCCAACCTTCTGGCATTAGCCGCAGTCAATATTGATCGATCAATCAAAACAGGAGAAGAGTTTCCCTACACGATTTTATACGGCCCATTTTTGGACGCGTTTCTGCCATGCTAGATACCTCCTCCCCAAGGCCGCATGCACACCCATTACACTGCATCGAACCGTTCCTAGATCAGCTTGTTGCCACACGGCCAGCGGCGTCCGTCGACATGTGCCGGCACCATCCCGGCCGGCCCCCAATTATGGCCCATTGGTCCCTTGGCCTCCCCTTTCGACGCTACCTCCCAGGCCAAGTCTTGTCTACGTCTGTCACAGGCTGTCCTAGCGTAACGACTTACATGATCCATGATCAAACGCTTCTTATCCACCGTCTATTTTCCGCTGTTCCCACCTACGAAAGCCCATCTTAACTCTCCAAGGAAGGAAGGAAACAGACACTTACGGCAGGTTCCACGGCGATGAATATGAATCCCGTGTCAGAGACGAAGGCCTCAAGCACAGGGGACGGAGCAGGATCCAAACCGTTACGTGATCGACCCAGTCTCTTGGGGACGCTCTGGGAATCGAACAAGGTCATGGTCACTGTGTTAAATGGAGCCCTCAAGCCTGTCTGCCCACCATATCCACGCCAGGCCACATGAAATGCCTACATTCGACGGATACGTACTTGGATCGATGGAACTATTTCATCACCTCTCATCTCCTATACCGACAAGCCACGCACGGGCACGATTCAGGTTGCCAAACATGGAGCAGTGAGCCTACCTACTTCGAGTAGCCCGGAGCGCTGGGTCGATGTCCTGCGAGACAACGAAAGCCTGGTCAAGCTGGCTGTTGGTGCGAATACGGATACACTCTACGAATACAGGACAAGCACCATTGGCTTCTGCTGAGAGAGGCTGGTTGGTGGGTGAGTTGCGCCGGCCCTGCGCCTGATCGTCAACCTGCCTTGCCGACCAGGACGTCACCAGCCGCAGGCCAATCGTAGGTGTCAGTCATCCGGCCATCGACGATGCCCCCAAGCAACGTACAGTACTCAGACATATTGGAGGCTGCTACTCCAACTCGTCCCCCAAGGCTTGTCCGCAGATGCGAACCGCGAGCGATGTACCCAAAGACCCAAAATTGATTTTCGTGGCAGTTTCTCATACAAGTTGAGCTCCGCAGGAAGCACCGGCTGGCTACAACATCAAATCAGAAAATCAACGTCAGCGAGCCACGAATTGCCCAGAATTATTCTGTAGCGGTGGATCCTACGGTACCGACGGATGGAGATGCCACGAGATGACTGGACAAGGCTGCCGCACACCCGCCTCTAAGCTGCCATGCTTGACTCATAGCCAGACGTTTAGTGTCGGGGACAGGCCTGCTTGGCCACCCCATGCTCCATGTCAAAGTCTCCTGCACTCATCGGCCGCTACCCGTCCTCGGTGATTGACCGTCTTCAACAACAAAGACGAGATACAAGATTGTTACTGAACGTAAAGTGCCCTTGGCCAAAAAGACGAGCCAGAACAGCGAGGCAGAATGCCGCATGGCTTTCCGAAGCGGCCGATTCGATAGCATATCCCAACTTCCTGACAGAAAGAAGGTAGGAAGCTACGGAAGGGGTTCCGAATCCTTGGTGTGCCGACCACCACCACCCCAGCAAACCCCTCCAGAAAGTAGATTCGAGATGCGATTGCTGTCTGTCACTGCACACAGCAGGACAGAGATGAAGGAAGAGGAGAGGCGCCTCGGAAGATGCCTGCATCCTGCTTCGCTTTCTACTGCGTACGCATATGACGACGGTCAAGCACTCAGAGAACTCAAAGCGAGCTCAAGGTGACATCCATGGAAACTCCTAAGAAGTTTGTGGGAACGTCGGAAAAGAAAGTGGCAGAAACAGGGTCTCTCTCAGCTCTGCAACCTCTGGGCCCGCAGCAAGGAAGGCGGTCTGGTCTTGCATACAATACTTACATGTCTGCTTTCGGGGTCCAGGGCTGGGTGCCTTACCCACGACGTTTACCTCATGGTGGAGGCGCTGGCACGCTGGCACGGCTGGGAATGGGAACACGGTGCAGCGAATACATGCAGAAGCGGAACAGAAGCAACACCCCACCACCGACGCCGGTCCACTCCGGACCCGACGAATGACAGTTTCGACAATGGTATCCCCAAAGCCAAAGACGCAGCCAAGTCCAGCGTCGGGACGCCAGGTTTGTGCCTCGCTACGATATCCTTGCTAGCCGCAACAACTAAAACGAGCCTAACGCTCGCCATGCACACCCTGCTGCCTTTTCCCAGAATTCGCTCCCGCTCCGGATGAATTCACCGTCGCATGGGTGGGCTGCGCGAGGCACTTGACACTTTGCTACTCAGGGACATGGCTCCTAGCGTTTGCTGGCTGGCAGAAGCAGAGGCTGGCAAACCCCAAAGCCGCCTACGAACACCGCTCCTTAGCGCCGCATGCCTGGATCCCAATTTCGCCGACATTTCTGACCTGTCTCAGAGGAGAGGACCGTTTGTAACGAGCAACCCATCGTCACTACGGATACCTCGCTCTTGGGAGGAAAGGCGGTGTGGAACGTTTCTCACGGACACTTTACCTACCACGGCAGACGACCGCCCACGATCTACAGCAATTCCGTACAGATACGCATACTCCCTGGCTCGTCAAGCATAGAGCATGGGCGCGTATGAGAAGACCGAGGCTTTTCATTTCGCCTGCAGACTGATGAGCGAGTTGCAGGTAGAAGAAGCCACAGACAACTTACAAGTTGGAAGAGATCGACTGAGTCCGCAGCCGCGGGTAGCGAGAAACAACAAATGCATACACCGAATAATATCCCAAGTTCCCAGCACCAAAGTACCACCGCAAACGGCGCCCCGTAATACTCGATGCATCATTTCCTCGTCCAAAAAGCTTTGGGATAACCTTTCCCCCTTGCTGGGGCTCGCCGCAACCTTCATCTCAGTGAGATACAGCTTGATTTGGCAAAGCGCTGTACCAACTTTTCTGCCATGCTTTCACCCCAAGACTGTGATTCGACAGGCAACGTGGTCCAAGGCAGTGGACCAAAAGAGCCGTAGATCTCCAGGGGATTGACTCGCTTGTCATCTCTCCCACCAGATGAGGTGCACATGGGCTTCGAAGCGTGGCCGCAAGCTACCGGATCTCTGTGCGATCTTGAGTTTACACCTCGATCTCGAACCCATCCACTTCACTCCTACCTAGGCTGCACCCTCGATGGTACGACCCGCCGTTGACCTACGTACTGCATGTGATGGCCGTGGCCAGAAGCACCATATTGTACGATTTTCCTCGCCGATCTTGCTCATCAAAACCGGCTTGCCACAATCGTCTCCCCGCTGACCCGGCCAACTGTTAAAGGAGCAATCCAAGATCCTGCGTGCGCTTGGCCGACGAACCACTAACACTGACACCACCACCCACACTTCACCCCGCAGGCACGGAGCCCCGAACGCTCCTCATGTTACATGACCCGGCCGAGATCGCGGAGACGGCTACGGTAACGTCAGCGTTTGTCCACCGTTCGGCCGTCCACCCAGATGACAAGATGTTGATGCCAGGAACCGTAGCGGGGTAACGCCTGAAATGCCGCAATCTCGATACTGCATGGTCGGCTGTCCATCACTCTTCACCGGCCCACCTGTGGATACACATGGTTCTGCACACGAGCCGATATTTCTTCCCTCGGGTAGGAGATTATTGCAGGTTCCGTGCCTTATTGCTATTGAGCCTTGTGGCTCCTAAACTCTCTGGCTGCATATCCGTAGTCCCTCAGTCATCACAAACCACAAATGTTATTTGGGAAGCCCTAGACTTTAGCGTAGCGCTGCAAAACCCAGCAGCAGGATTGGCAACCCATAACTCCTCAATCGCGAAGGACCTTGGGTTGCGGGCATGCCCTCACAGGAGCTACTCGCAGAGCCTGCTTTCGAATGCCCGAGAAGGCATCTGGTTTCAACAGTTATTACCAATCATTCTTGGTTATTCTCGACATACAGGTATAGCGAAAAGGAGAGATGACTTGCTTAGCAACTTCAGGGCCTATACGCACTACTTGGCGCTAAAGCCGAATTATTCTGGATAGGTACGTAATGTCTTCAACGCCGTGTTCGCTTCAAGCGAATGACTCGGCGCCAACCGATCTGAGAGCTTCGGACCGGGCTCGCCCAGGATGAAGCCTTGACGCGGTGTTAGGTAGAGAAGACATTGCCGAAGTAGGCCCAATAACATAAGGGGCTGCCCTCAAACAGCCTCCGCACAACGACAGTCCATGATGCATGCATGAGGCATGATTCAGACTAAAGGAGGCCCAGAGCCGAGACCCAGCAGTTCGGACGACTGTACGAATGAAGCAGCGTTATGGATGACGGACAACATTGGGAATGTAGGTGCTAAAGGGGCGCACGAAACGAATACACCAACAAAGACAACTTTCCCGAAGGAAGAAGCAGCCTCTTGAGGCTTAGTGACGATTTAGACTCAAATCAGTCGCCGTGGCCTCGAGCCTTCGAGATCCGTCCTCCGTGTGTACACCCAAAAGCTACAAGTCGCTCGGTGACTCGGGCTTTGTCGGAGGCTGAGGGCAAACGTGGCAGGCGGGAGCGCACAGAGGACCCTGACCCTAGCAAGGATCGTGGAAGGTTTCTAGAAGACGGTTCGGGCTGAAGAATGAGGCGCACGGGAATCGCCCCCGTCCCTTTCATCAATACCTCGTGAGGACGAGCCTTCACTAATTTACTACGTAGGGGACCTTGACCTGGTCTGTGATTTCGTTTGCCATACTAACACACGAATCCGTAGACTGTGTATTACAACGGAGTAATACATCACCCAACCAGCGGTGAGAATTACGGGGCGCATCTGTATTCTGTATGCAACGCATAATAGCGAGGACCCTGAATCGGGGCGGAAGCTCTGTTGCATGTGGATATTGGTGGACTGCATGACTTGGACCCTGAGTGTCTCTCGAAGCTTTGAAACAGAAGAGCACCCGAAACTCGACGAGATTTAAGCTACGGAAATTTGGCCTCCTATATTCTCGCGCCAATGCACCAACAGCACCACCGCTACCACTCTGGAGAGGATTTGGGTTTTGCCGGTTTGACGCAGCCATGAGATGAGTTTCTGCTCACCGCCTCTGGGTGCTCGTCCACACACCGCCAAGATGTGTTGTTTGACACTTTCTGCGCTGAATATTCACTTCAGGCCGGTCTTGCGAATCTGCGAAGCTTACTCAGAAATATCACGCGCTTTCCTAGGCATCTCCAAGCGCCGTGCTTTGCGGGGAACACGCCGAACACAGCAGGAACGGACTAACAACCACATATCTGCGATTCCTTTTGCTACCTAGCACCAGTGTGAAGCAAGAGGCAATGCATGGCCTTTTTAGCCAGCTGACATCTCGCCAAATGCTTTTCTAGTTGTTGCGAAGCGCCGTTCAACATGGCTGGACCCTGAGCCTTCACTTGCGAGATGAGAACAATTCATAGCCATTGCAAGGCGGTCAAGGGCTGGGAAGAGACAACAACAACAACCACGACGACTTATGTCTATGGCGACCTCGGACCAACCCTCCATGCGCACTCTGGTGTTGCAATTACAAAATCCTCTTTGCCGCATGCGCCTGGCTAGCGCACAAATGAAAGAAAGGAAAATGGTATAAATGAGAGTGGTGCCAGAAATGCAGATTACCAACATCAGGCCACTCCCATCCTTACAGAGAGCAACTGGCGAGTATCCGTACCTTACTTATTTGTGTCCAACGGGATGAGCGTACGCGGATAATATGGGGCACCGGGCTGAGCGTTCGGGCGCGGCCGGTGAGTGAAAGGGGCCGTTTTACGGGGAGACTTTGCTGTCAAAAGGGGTCGCCCTCGGCAGGTCGGATTCAATGGACTTGGAAGGCAGCATTTCTTACCGGGCGCTCAGGCCCGACCAACGCGGAGAGAGATAGAGAAAGAGAGTTGACCCAGCCGAGGGCGGCGTCCCTGTCATCAAGAAAGCAGTGGACATAAGTCGGCGATCTCCAGGTCCGCAGCTGAATGATCCCCGATACGCGAGTATTTTCACTGCAGCAGTCTGCTCGAAGCCTCGGGGGGACAAGGCGTTCGGCGTTTGAAATCCCATAATTTACTGGAGCCTCGAGCAAACGGCGAAAATAGGGAACTCTCTGGCAAAGTGGTCAGACTGACGACCGATGGGAATGTGCGGCGCCTCGTCAGGTTTTTGTGCCTCTGAGGGAGATGACAGCCAATTAAAAGAGACTAAATCTTGCTCTCTGGGCTTACTCAGCCATTGCGGAAATTTCTCGGTGTTTGCAGAGGTGACTGATTCCGCGGAGGGCTCTGGACTGAGCGAGCCCGGCCGCTGAACAGCCGCTTTGCGGTGCCGCGAGGCGTTGCTGAGAGCAGGGCCAGCACTTGCGGGACGGCAAAGACCGGGCAACAAGGGTCCATTACATCATGCCGTAGCGACGACCTCATGGCACGATTCTGGGTCCCATGAGAGCTTTTTTCGCCCATGCGGCGTCCCGTCCACCAGGTTTTCAATCGCCGTCTGCTCTTGTCATCAACTTTGACAATTCCATTCATTGGATATAAGGCCATTGGCACTCGTCTTCAGCCTCACGGTCTTATTTTCAGCTGCACAGAAACATTCATCAACACTATCGAGACAACAATCCACTGAGACCTTTGACCTGACCTTTGCGAAAACGAGCAAAGGTAGCTTCGAATCCCGATCCGTCATCCATCCGTCACCAACCACCACGTAATTACGACACTACTATCCCCACGACCACCGCCGGCTCAGATCCCGACGACACCAAAACCTACAAGGCTGCGCACCTAAACCGTTGTTTTTTGCAGCTTCAACTATTTTTCTCTTTATTAAGGAACAAACACCTGTTCCCCCCTCTACGATCCGGAAGGTCCACACCACTTTACACACCACAGACCACCCCGCACAACCCGCAAACATGAAGGTTCTCAGCAAAGAAGAGGAGGCCGAGCACTACAGCGTCGTCGTCAAGGCCGGTCTCATCGGCGGCACGGCCGGCCTGGCCGTCGGTCTCGGCGGCGTCCTCTTCGCAAGCAAGCGCTACCCGTCCTTCCGCCAACTCACCCTGCCGTTCCGCTCCTTCCTCGTTACCTCGTCCGCGACCTTTGGCGCCATCGTCCACGCCGACCGCGAGTCCATTCGCTTCGGCAAGGAGAAGGACCCCATGTACGGCTACAAGGACGCGACAGCGCGCGCCATCGCCGAGGCGAAAGCCAACGAGACGGAGATGCAGAAGCTCAAGGAGTGGGGCCGCGAGAACCGGTACTCCATCGTCTTTGCGTCGTGGCTCGCGTCCATGGGTGTCGCGCTCGCCATCGTCGGCAAGGATAAGTATCTCACCGGCGCGCAGAAGCTCGTCCAAGCGCGTGTCTACGCGCAGGCCCTCGCGGTCGTCATGCTTGTCGTGACCGCCGCCTTTGAGATGCAGGACGCCAAGACGGGCGCCGGCCGCTGGGAGACGGTCATGATCATCGACCCCGAGGACCCGGAGCACAAGCACCTCATCGAGAAGAAGATTCACAAGGAGGAGTACGAGGGTCAGGACTTGTGGAAGGGTACGTTGACATTCCCCAAACTTATCTCCCCGAGCGGGTGATCAGCTGATCCCCACTCTTGCTATCGGAGCTCTTTACTGACATTCTATCAAACAGATATGGTTGCTGCCGAGGAGCGGCGCATCGCTGCCCGCAAGGCTTCCGAGCAGAAGTAAATATTTCTAGGAGCATCACTCGACTTATCACCCATACATCCATCTATTCTATGGAACCCCATACAGGGTTTCCTGTACGAACTATTTCCTATGTCATTCGCGAAGCAAGGTTTCCCACGGAGCAGGGAGACGATCAGCTTGGCGGATTGATTTCATCTCTTGCATTGCCGGCGTTATTTTTACACAGAGGGAGAAAAGTGTTGGTGACCGGGCCACGGCCTTTGCCATTCAACATCCATTGATGATTGTTCGAATGTCGCTATGAGAGAGTGACATTGGCAAGCAAGAAACTAGATGTCCTGATATATCAATCTGGGGGTTCAGCAAGTCTTTGCCAAAATACAATTCCTACTTAATTCACGTCTTGGTTGCAGTTCCCAAACTAGTTCCCCCGTGTCAGCATGTATAGAACGATGGCGAGTATTTCTATCGCGTTGGGAGGAATCAGACCACTGAGGTGGTGTGATACGACCACACTCTTAGAGCCATGAGCCATATATGCCTACTACAGCCCCCCAAGCAATCGTCAACCCAGAGCCACCATTTTTCTATTTTTGATGCCCGTTATCGGTTTCGTTGCCATCTACCAAGAGAAATCGCAGGGAAACGGAAACACTAGCAATCCAGGACACGCTAGGCTACGGTATCCGTACTTACGCAGTACAGCGGAACATCGAGACGAGGGGGGGGGCCAAGCTCCCGTGATCCTTGGCGGAGCGCAACCCACCCCTCCTTTTCCTCCTTCTCCTTGCCCTCCGTCTCCTCCGTCCTGGGACCTCCGACGTTAACTTTTTCCTTGCTACTCCAAGTCTAAGTAAGAATACCTACTCCAACTTAGTCTACGTACTGGACCTCGACTCCAAATGATCATCAGAAAAGCGACTCCTTGCTGGACATGACGTACCTCCCCGCATCAAACCACCCCATCTATGTATCCCCCCTACTCGCGCAGCAAGCGGTACGGGCCAGGCCAGACACCGAAAGATTCGCGAGTCATTCCAAAAAAAAAAAAAAAAAAAGTACGAGTTGCGTTTGTCGATCCGGCATCCCACGATTGGGTGATGTACGGATACAAGGGCAAACCACCACCCGATGTTACATACTAAGTGTATCCGTAGTTGAGAGATCTCACAATTACGGATTCGTCACGTCACGTCACACAATGATAGATAAGCGAACACGACAAGAGAGCAGATCCCAACACTCTGCGCCTCTGTCCCTCTGATGTGAACGGGCCAAACAAATATGTTCCACAGGTATATAAGATGAGTAAATAAAAACAGAGGATAACGCATGCCTGCCTGCCCGCCCACCTATCCATCGCCCACCTTGGATTTTAATAAAGCCGTTCCGTCATCAAGCATAGGTAGATAACTGCAGATAAAAAGCATTGCTGCTTTGGAAAACGACGCACGAAATTTGGGGTGAGGAGAAGCAGATTAAACCAGATTTCGGTGTATGACAAAGATGTTGTTGAAAAAGCAAGAACAACGGCAGACTCCCAGGCCCTTCCTTGAATCTCAGACCTCAATAGTGAAGTGACTAATCTGGGAATAATACGCGTGCACAGCCAGTTCCAACATCCAGACATCGCTAAACACTTCGCTGCCGTCGAACCCACCAATGATGAACAGACGGCTGTCGTACAGCACCGTGCCGTGGTATCCACGGCCGCTAGGCGGCAAGCCGTAGACGCGCCGACGATCCCACGTCATGGTAACGAGGTTAAGTAGCAGGACATCGTTGGAGTATTCGTTGCCATCGTGTCCACCAACAATGAATAGATAGGAGCCTACGAGGGTGGCCGTATGTGATAGGCGGCGGTAGGTCTGCGGGATGGACACGGCTTTCCAAATATGGGCGTCGACATCGTAGACCCACACGTCGTTGAAGCACTCGCCGCCATCGGAGCCGCCAAAGATGATCAGCTTGCTTCCCACCATGTTGGCGGTGTGGTAGCCGCGGGGCTTCGGGCGAGTCTCCCGGACGCCCGGGGGCGGGGCCCGCTCGGGCCCGGAGACAAGCTTCCATGACATCTTGTTCATATCGCTAACGTCGAGGCGCCAGACATCGTTGAGAGCGCGAACCCCATCACCGCCTCCAAAGATGTAGATGCCATTCTTATAGAGGCAGGCTGTGTGCGCGCGACGTTTGGACGGGACGCGGTCGCCTATAATCTTTGGCCGGTGCCACCTGAAATTCGTCGTGTCTAGAACGTATATATCATTGTAGTAGGCGGGCCCATCGCCACCGCCAAAAATCACCAGCTTTTTGCCGACAGCTGTGCAGGTCATTGCGCGCAGTGGCACAGGGATCTCGCCGGTAACGTGCGGTACGGACCAGTAGAAGGCATCTGCATCAAAGACGTAGAGCTCGTTGAAACAGGCGCGGGAGTCGCAGCCTCCAAACACAAATATGTTGGATCCAACAAGCGTGGTCGTGTGAGCGCGAAGTGACGTATGGGGAGCCCCTGAGACGGGCGCTCGCGACCAGTACATGCCTGATGATGGGGCCGGAGGTACATCTGGCGCAGTCTTTGGGTCCTGGAGGGGCGGAAAGGGGATATGTTGACCTTTGGGTGCGGATCTTGAGGAGACTGTCGTCGAGAGCTGGCGTGTTGAGGATGACGAGAGAGGGAGCGAAGAAGGCTTTGCGGCTATGGCAGACGTGGAGCGCATGGCGATAGGGCGGCGGCCGTCACGGTCGGAGCCGTGACCACCGGTAGACTCGGAGCCATCGTTGCTGTTCAGCGTCGTGGCATCGCTGGCAGTATTGCTCGGCCGGAAGGACGGCGGCGGAGGCCTAGGGGTATTCGCACTCGTGGGTGTCGTACGAGACTGTTGTGAGGCCTGGGCCTGGGACGCCGACTGGGAGCGCTGGCGAATGGAGAGTTCGGAGGGTTTGCGGCGACGGTCTTGACTCTTGGAAGCAAGGTGACCGGGCGTATGGGAACGCGGGATGATGGGTCCTCCCGGAGCGGAGGGAACACGGCGGTGCTGCTCGATGTCGCGGTCGCTGAAGTCCTCGAGATCGTCGGGCACGCCCGGTGGTGGGGGCCGGGAATCGTTGGGCGGAGAGATCTTCTGAGAGCGTACAACCTTGGACTTGAGGGGGGACCGGGGGTTCTTGTCCGAGGACCTGGCCGAATCAGCCATGGTTCGGCGGGGGAATGGTCATTGCCCCCCTCTCGCGAGGATGTGGATGATTGCCCGGGGGGTCGGTCTTTGGGACAAGGCGATTGCGGTTCGAGGGAGGGAGATGGTGTGGAAAGAGAAGGCAGAAAGAAGGTGGTATATCGGGCCAATTGGCGAGGCAAGGTCGTCGGGAGAGCCGTGAGTCGGGAGCAGGCTAGCGGACGTGCGTCGGGGGGCTTCGGGGCTTGAGTCGAGGGACAGATTTGTTTACTCGGTTTGTTGAGGGTTGTGTTGCAGTTGCTGTGTCGTTGGATGACTCGGGGTTTGTGTGGTTTGCTGTGAGGTATGGTACGTGTAGTTCGGTTGCAGAACGCCAGGTAGCCGTAGTAAGGTAGAGGAAAGAATTGGAGCCCAGCCGCAGAAAAGAGATCCACTTTCGTCTTGTTCACAAGGTCGGGTCGGGTCCCAAGGAAGGCTCTAGTGGTGTAGTAGGCGCTGATAGTGGTATCCGTGTTGCAGGAGGCAGGTCAGTACAGTTACTGGCGCTGGCCCTGACAAGAAGGCAGAGGGGAGGGCGGGCGGACGTGGGCTGGCACTGGCAGGGGAAGGTGCGTCGCACGACCTCGGTGACGGGGCCTTGTTAGTGCGATCACTGTCAGGCCTCGGGTAGGTTAACAGGTGTGCCCCCCATGTCACCTACGGGATACTAGGTATGCTTTAAGCCTCGAAATGAGGTAATGAAAGGTACTTTGCTGGAGCAGCATCCATCGGCTCCGTCCCTTCCCTGGGCTGAGATTGGCGGGATCCGAGGGCTAGAAGGCCTAGAAGGGCTGGAAGGGCTAGCCTCTGGTCCCTGGGCAATTCCGCCCACGTATCACAACCCTCGTTAAGGCATCCCCCTCGCCAAAGCCAAGCACAGACCACTGTCGGCCCCTGCATTGGCCTGCTGTGCTCCTCCAGACTGCTCGCCACACTAACTTACCTGCCGCTGTCTTTGCTGTCACAGTGTCACCTCAGGGCATGGTAAGGCAGCTCGCCCATGGTGGGTGTGATTGGTCGCGTGAGGTCACAGGTGATCCTCTCCAGCTAGCATCTGCCAATTACTTCACACGTATTCTAAATGCTCAGCGAGTGTCCCATCATGTTTGAGATTCCATGTCATTGTGAACGTCTTATACTTCGAGACAGTGTCTCTCTTTGAATTCATTCTCCCAAATATGGGTGAGCTCCGGGTTTGGCTCTGCGCATGAAAATAACCAGCATGTGATCATGGGGGAAAAGAAGATCTCACACAGTCACACTACCACGTGAGGGTATTGAGTATCTTTTTCGTGTAGGAATACTGAGTGACATCGAATCAATGTATCGACACCAGGCGACCGAGCTGTCTCCGGAGAAGCGCAAGTATGGATATTTTCAGTGAAATGGAACTCAAATTGAGAAATCACCAGGTCAAGGTAACCATTTGCCAAGGAAATATCATCACCAGCTGGGTACGGCTTACTAGTAAAAGGTTCGATTGCCTGACATTATAGATGCTACATATATCTCTAAGCCCTACCCAGCAAAGTGTTGAAGGGAGTATCCCAATTTCACAACATGCCTCGCGGGATTGCACCCCGATACCACCCATGGTATTGCCATCAAGCATCATCTGGGAGCTAACGAGCTCATTACAGACGGCGGGGAGCATTTACTGATGTAGACAATGGTTCCATGTATAGTTGGCTAGGTGAACCTACTGAAGAATCCTCAAATTAACAATCAGAGCCTAAGGTTACTCGGTCTGATCGAACCGAGTAAGCTACAAAAGTAACAAAATGGCCTCTCCTACCTATGAGGCCACAGGATTTCCAGCTGCAGCTTCTCATTTACTGCCAGCCGGGACTTGAACTCAGCATCGGACTAAGAGCCAAAGTGAGACCTGATTTTTCCATGTTCTCTCTTAGCCCAGCGAAAGCTCTGACATGTCTCGGTATTCACCTGGCTCTTTTCCCAATTCAGCTCTCGATATTCCGACTTCAGAGCATAACCGAGCTAGCACCCAATTCCTCGTGCTGATGAGGAGAAGTTCTGCCCAGTTCTTGCCCGTTGTCATCATCCCGTCGCTCGGGCTTTGGAAATGATAACAATCCAGGATTTCTATCGGGATGTATCCATCTTTTGCCGAGATGGCATACTTTGTATGAGAAAGTGAACCTTCACCTTAGCCGACAACAGCACTTTGGCACTGTGGAGAGAGGTGAGCACTTGCAAGCTGCGAGCGGGACTCCCGCAACCAACTCCTTTGGCCGGCGGCGCGGGGCCGTCCAAGTTCCACAACGTCATCTCATAGTTGACGGGTTACACAAGAAACCTTAACCACTTCGAAGCCTTTCCCAATCGGAACGGGCAGGCAAGTCGTGCCGCTCTCTTGGGTGTAAGCTTTGGGACTTCCACCGGGAGTCCGGGGCAACTAGGCAAAAAGTAAGATAAGAAGCGACTCTGCCTTACTGAGATTACAGTGACGCAATTCCCATCTGGGGGGTCAATCAAGGAAGTTGCAACGTGGTGCTGTTTTGGCGATTCAAGCAAAGGCGCGCGAGTCGGTATGCTTGCGTGATCGATTGACCAACCGTCCAGAGACCGTCTCGACTGTTCGTACGAAAACGGTGAGCATACGAGGTCAGAAGACCCGGGAAGAGCTGTGTTGCCAGCCGCTCGGATAGGACCCCTTGGCACCCAAGACAGTCCATTCCCGGGGTGCTGGAAACATCGGTTTTCTGGGATAGGCTTGAAGGGGGAAAAGCGATGAGGAGTTTGTGGGGGGTTTAGCGGAGTTTGGAGTCGGTTCAACGAGGGAAAGTTGGAAATTTGGAGTTCCATTCCCAGTGGCTTTTGAGCTGCAATCCATATCCGTAGTCTTGTCCGATGCACGATACACGATTCAAGTCCCGGATCTTTTTCCTGCCTGCCACCCTGCCAAGGCCAGGGATTGAGAGAGAGCGAGAGAGGACGTTCTGGCCTTCTGGCCATACACGTGTGCGAAGCGACCTGCGTGTTGTCGAGGAGGAAATCCCCACGATATCCCAGCCCCCGAATCTGTTTGATGGACATTTGGGGCCCCTCCCCGAAGTGATATCTGATTTGCGTCATTACCTCGCCAGCTCTGACGAGTATGACGGATCGAACGACGAGAACTGGGGGTAATGTTGCAGTTCCGACGAACGATTCGGATCTCTTCCTGGAAGATTAACTCCTAATCTCCTTTCCACGACTCAAGATTCACAATCGCATCAAGCTATTCTTGCAGAGGCGTCCCACCGATTTTCCTGTCTCACATACGAGAGAACGGACAATCGCAACTCCAGGAAGATCAGATTAGGCAAGAGGAGACCGTACCCGAGCAGACAGCCAAGACCAAGATGTATCGAGTACATCGACGTCTCGCCGTGCAAGATGTACCGTCTACTTCTGAAGCTATAAACGAGGCCCCCAAATGTGCCCAGGGGGTCTTCCTCCCAGCAGAACATCTTTCCGAGAGTCGATGAACTACGAAAGGATCGATCAACGTCATCTTTACCCACACCCTCCTCGAAACATTGGCACTACAGTACCATGCCAGGTGGGCAACACCATCGTTTGCCGCTCTATAGGTACCCTCTCTAGCGCTTATCCTATTACTTCTATTATTCCTTTTCCTATTCTTCCTAACCCCATTATTTCTATTCCCACTATTCATATTCCTACTATCCCTATACCTATTCTTTTCTTGAAGAGTTTTCTTTAATAAATATACGAGATGGAGGTAACAGCAGAAACAATAAAAGTAAAAAGAATAAGAACACTAGGAAGAAGAAGCAGGTAAGTAAGCATTGTGATCTTTTGTTGACCAGCATCCTATTTTGTCACCCGCTTGCATGCCCACCATCCCACTCCCGGTTCTCCAGGGGTCCAATGCCGGTGGGTAGCGTAGTGACGGATCACGGTAATGGGTGGTCGTGGTGTCCGTGGATGGCGAGGAGGGAGGGGTTCACTAGTCAGATTGAGATCCCCAACACCAGGGTAATGTCTGCCCGTGGACCTGGGTGCCTGCCATTCAGTCGAGCTACTTTTTTAGACCGGTGCGGCAGGCAAGAGAGACGGACTAGTCCATGGAACTATGTGCATTAGACGAGATTCCAAAAAGCCGAAGAATCCCAAGACTGCAACGCCAAACAAATGAGCGCCCAGGGATTGCGAGTTTCTTGGGGGCTGAGACGAACTGGTCGGGTTTCTGACATGGGATGCGAGCCGTGCCATGACTCGCTCGAGGTCGTATCTCGGAAGACGTTCGGTCGGCAGATAGGCCGATGTTCGGGGGTTGTGGCCGGTGCTGTGGGTCCGCCAGAGGCGCTAGGACTTGACCTACAGGTTGTTGGTGAGGGCCCCCTGCCGGAAAGCTACTTAGACAAGTTTATGTCAGGAATTTTTCATCAACATCCGATATGGTGTAGTGGCCAACATGATGCCCTCTCATCTCAATGAGAGGTTAGGCATAGCCCCGAGTTCGATTCTCGGTTTCGGAACTTTTGCCTGTTGAAGGCATTCCGTTCCCGTTTTTGACATATTCGTCTCCGGCCAGAGCAGATGTTTGACGTAGTCTGGTCAATACAACCAACATCTGTCTTTTGACTGCGTCCGGGACTCGATTTCAAGATCCCCTTTTTGCCCCTGACATGAAACCGCCACCAGCAGCCTCTCAGTGACAGCTCCAACATCAACACCCTCACCACCATGACACAGCACATGCGACCATACCCACTGGAGAACTCGGGATCCCGTCCGCTCTCCCATCGATAAACCAGTGAGGGCCGGAGTAGTAGTTGGGTCGGAGACGACCGGCGAATGCCCGGTGTTGCATGTATATCTTTTCGTGTTCCTTTTGTTTTGTTGCTTGTGTACAGTGAGAGATCTTGTTGCGCAGTTCCGAAGGAAACGGCAAGTTTCTTCCTTGGTGATCATGAGGAAGGGAAGTGGGGGGCTCGTCTCGTCGTCAAAATGCTCGAATGTTCATCATCATTGTGGCTCTGTGCCAGGGAAAGCTGAGTCCGCTGCTGACTGCTTCGTGACACAAGACCGCGGGCGAGCCCAGTTACTCTCGGGACATACGGGAAGGCCTGACGAGACTACGAGTAAGTGTTACTCGACTCCGAGGATGATATTGGGCGGTTGGGTTCATGCCATCATGTAAGGAGTTCCTGGGAAACGCTGATAGCTTGGTTGCTAGTGTGGGCTATCATTGGGAAGCAGTGTGAAAACATGGAAGAAATATGATAGCTATAATTTCACCTTACGCCAGCCTGAACGATAACTCCACGAGACACTAAGTAGATCATTCCCACGCAATAGCACAGATTCCCCTCAAGATCATAAGCAGTAACGCTCCAGACATTCTCGAACCTCCGAGCTCAACTCCGACCACTTGCTCTTCCTCGTCACGCGTTCTCCTAACGAGGCATCGTACGGAACAAAATACCCACCGACTGCAATCTTGACAGATTCTGTTGGAACCAGCTTCGACTGTCTCCGCGTTGTCTTCCCGGTGTTGGGAGGAAGGAACTTGCCTCTAAGCTGTTCTGTCATGCTCGATAGACGTGCCCAGTATTGCCGAGAAGACTCATTTGACTGCCGCTCCCATCGTCCTGATATTATCATCTCAGCTTTCTGGATCCCGCTCCAAGGTCTGTAATTTGTCGATGGGAAGGTTGATTCGTGGCAAGATGGGTTGAGCTTCTTCTGGTCGGTGAACCTATCGACAAGCAACCAGCGAAGGACCCGTGGTGAGGTAGCTGCGAGCTCCACTGCAGACCGAAAGTCGTTGTGGCCTTGGAAGGAGATGCTCGCGCCATGGCGAACGAGATAGATGACGGATTCCAGATTTCCTGCGTTGGATGCTGCCATGAGTGCGGATCCCTCAGGACAGCCCTCAAAGTCTATCAGACTTCCCAAAGACAAAATGTTTTCCATGGCTTGTATTCGCCCTCTAGATGCAGCGAAGCACAGGGGATTCCTGATGCTGACGTCCTCGAGGTTCAGAAACGTGCGGAACTTTTCCGTCGACAGTTTTCGACGGTACAACCCAAAGGCTGTTGTCAGGCATGTTGCGTTGGTAGCATTCCGGGCCAAAAACAAATGTGACCACGGCATAGGTCTTTCGTCCTGAATCCGCATGTTTTCATTCAGCACGAAGGATGTCATAGATTTGTCGTGAATAATCAGATGAAGTGCTGAGCAGCCGAAGATGTCGAGTTCGAATGGATTGACACCCATTCGATTTAGCTTGATGAAGAGTGCCGGCCTCACGCTGTTTTCTTCAACAGTCTCTCTTCCGAAGAAGAGACAGTGCAACACATTGCGCCCTCTACGATCTCTGACAAGCACATCTGATCCCCTGCTCATCAGAGCTGAAATGACACTAGGGTCCCCATGTTTACATGCTTCGGCTATCGGTGTAGAGCCATCATTGTCGCGACAGTTGATATTGCTGCCAGCCTGGAGTAAAACTCGCACAACAGCTGATTGTTGAACGCTAGCTGATGCCATGACGGAAACAAGGAGGGGTGTCAATCCCAGATCGTCTTTGGCCTCAATATTAGCGCCATTGTCGATTAACAACTGGGCTGTGGGCACGTTGCTCATAGATGCCGCCCAATGCAAGGGTGTCTTGCCCTGCCACTTTCTGTTGACAGCTAATGCCAATGCTGCGGACGAGCATACGCCAACTCGATGTCTACGTATATGTGAGAAAACGGACTTTGTCAACCTTGGACTTTAACTTACGCATAAAGCTTCCCATTTGCTTTCAGATGATCCAGAAGTAGTACCAACCCTTCTTCGTTTTTCGCCCTCACAGCCGCGGCTACCACACATCTTGATTCTCTCAAAACGCTACCACCGGTCGCGATATATCTCTCGAGCATTGCTGGTAATCCTGGATTCAAAAGGGGTTGTAAAATCATCGATAGGATGATGGAACTGTCGTTTCCGCAGGGGTAATTTGCATTTGCACCTTGTTGTAGAAGCCAAGTTACTATGTTCAGTTTCCCAAAGCTTACGGCAACTCCAAGAGCTGTAAGGCCCCCAAATATGGCAGGCATGTCTATATCCACTGTCGGCAGTGATGCAAAAATCTCCTGACAAGAAGAGAGGTTCCCAGCTTGGATAGCTCTGAAAATCCCTTTGGCAAGAGTTGCAGAACGCATACCGGCCGAAACCACGCCGCGCTGGCTCCTATCGTGGTCTCTAAGGCAGTCGATGATGTTTTGATCATTTTGTTGGTACGCCAGTAGCAGCGGCGTCCTTCCATCACAATCGGGTGTCATTTCACTGCCCAGTTCCAGGAGCCTTTCGACTGCCGCGAGATTGCCTTTAGCAACAGCAATATGCAGGGCTGATTGGCCATCAACTGACCTCGCGTTGATGTTTGCACCTCGAGCGTGAAGAAGCTCAACCGCGCTGATTTCTCCGCTCATCACTGCAAAGTGAACAGCAGTGTACCCATTCTCCGATGGGGCTTCCAGGCTGATAGAAGCCACCTTGTCGAGGATTACCTGGAGGCAACCGACAGATGATGAGGCTGCATAGTGCAACGGTCTCATGCCTTTGAATGATTGACTATCGCTCCGACCTTCCCAATCAATCTCCCAAATTGGGTTTCTTTGCTCGAAAAGGTCGTTCAAGAAAGATACGCTACCACTCGCAGTAGCCGCGTGAATCGCTGACCATCCAGAACGGCACGAGATTGTGGGATTCGCTCCGTGGCGGAGGATAGTAGCCGCCAAGTAGGCATGTTTTTCAGACAAGTGGTAATCCATAGCCGATGAGTATGGCCAGATATTGACCCGAAGATCCGGGGTAGCACCGCGCTCTAAAAGCATCTCAACTATTTCCCGCCTGAACCGTGGTACATCCGCCTCGTTCGAGAGATGAATCAACCCCAAGCCGGAACGTGGATTTGTATGGTTCAAACACATGGAATCTGCATGATCAAGAAGCTGACGTACTCTCCAAGTGTCGTTTTCATCGGCCGCTGGCAATGCACAAATATATTCCAGTGCGGAAACCCCTTTGCACCGGCGATGGACACCAATGCCTCGTATCAACAGCTGATCTACTGTCATGCTGTAGTTGAGAGTGGAAGATACTTTCAGAAGTTCAACGGCGCAAAGCGAGTCTTGGAAGCCGTTCCAGTAGGTTGTAGCTTTCAACAAGGAACACAACGTGTCGTCCGTGAGAAGAAAGTACCTCACACTACTACGGTCCACAAACCACTCATTCGAACAGGCTTCAGCTACCGGTAGAAGCGCAGATTTCGACCTATGTTTCTCGTACCTCTCAAATATGCCTGTACGTATCAGACATCTGGTTGCTGCATCGATATACTTAGATGTGCACCCCGCGCCCTGCACGATTCTTGAAGCGTAGTGCTCCCACACCTTCGACGCTTCGAAAGGGTTTGAGTGAGTAACCATCGGTTGGATGAGATACTCCAGCACATCCACAGATGGCGACTGAAAGTCTTGGGCTAAGATGGTATCCGTATAACATTCCCAAGGCAACTTCGCATTGCTCCGACATTGCCTTGCGTCTGGAATCAGCGATTCCAATTTTTTGACCAAGGCCAACTCCGCATTGACATTCAAACAATGTAACGGGGTTTTGTGTTCGTAGTCGGCCAGGTGAACTTCTAGACCTTTACTTTGGAGTAGGTCTAAGATCTCCTCAGAACCTAAGTTGGCAACCAATAACAGTATTGGAGTCTGGCACTCCCAAGCCGTCGGATCATTTCCGCACCTCTCCAAGATGAGTTTGGCGGGTTTAATTCTCCCCCGATTGATTGCAAGCGTCAATGGTGTGTGGCCGTCGCTGTTGCGCCTGGAAAGGCTGCAGCCGGCGCTCAACAGAAAGTCCAAGATTTTCTTAGCCTGGACAAACGAGTCAAGATTATCAGGTTCCCATTAACCAAACCCTTCTCGGACCAGTGCATGCAATAGCCCATCTTCCTGACCAGGGCTTAGAATGGATGAAACGTCCACTCGTGGATCATCAACTACTCCTTGCAACACAGCGATGTCGAAGCTCCAGCGAACCGCATCAAATGCCAACGTCTTCAGGCTACGTACATCATGAGTAACTTTCGAACTGATGTTGTAACCTTTGAGATCAATGAGGCTTGGGGCAATTCGCAGGCAATAATCCCACACCGACTGACAAAACTCAAAATGCAAGGGCGAAGTATCAATTCGAGAGCTAAGCGCTTCGCAGAACTTGTATAGTGATGGTAGACCTTTCTCGGGCCAGAAATCTCCGTCGTCATCCATTATCGTATTCATGGCTGTTTTGAAATAGTCTAAGTCGCTTTGAGTGGGAACAAGACCTTCGTCAACGAGTAGCTGAGCGACCGACATGTTGCGTATGTTGATTCCGACACGCAGGGAAGCACCTAAAAGATCCTCTGGTGGTTGGAGATCCATGCTCAGAAACAGTTTTACGGTCTCGATAGTATGATACATTTCAAAATCGTCCGTTTCCGTGAAGCGTTGAAGCCACGCCGGCAAGCTGACACCTGTGTAGTCGTCGATCTGGAAGTGCTCGATAGCCCCGTAAAGACACTTTACAGCACACTCAAGTGGAGTTCCAAGCATGCATTCGGTTTCGTGATGATCCGGAGTCTGTAGTAGTAATGAACTGATTTCTGATAGTGACATAGTCGCCGCGAAGTGCAGTGGTCGGAAGCTGTCGTGAATGATTTCCGCTATCAAATCAACTGCAATCACATTAAAGTTTTCCTGACTGGATTCAAAAAGAGCTTGAGACCAGATCTTGAAGACTAAAGTCACTACCCACGACGTGAAATGTGTGGTTTTCTGCGGATCGAAGAGCCGTTTCGCCTCGGCTAGTAACTCGGGATGTGTCCATTCTTCTCTAGCGGAACATAACCAATATGTCGCAACATAGTCGTAGAGACGATATTCATCGTCTCTTTGTTCCATGTAGGCGAGTTCCTCACTTGTTGCGGTTGGCAGGTGATTGAAATTGTCGAGCTGAAGATATTCCAAGCATCGCACTGCTAGGAGTTTGTTGCAATGGGATTCGGTAATGTAAAACATCCCTAAATCGGATGACTGTAAGATGTTACTGGTCAAAAATTCCTGGACCGAAAAATGAGCGAATTCGAAGAAGTTTCCGTCATTTGACTTCCGAATCAGACTGCTGCAATACCTGGCAATTGCGTCTTCCCTTATGATGCCAGATGGGCTTAGATGCCGGCTAGTTGATGGTATTGAAAGAATCTCTCTTAACTGCGCAGTGTCAAGGGCTGGCTCAGGATAAGCGATGAAATGCAGTGTCATCTGAACGAATTCTCGTTTTGCTTCGGGAACTCTTCTCAAGATGCGCATATAAGTTTCTGGGAGGTCAGGTGGAAGACTACGCAGGGCCTCTCGACATTGCTCGTCTGACATGCAGTATCCGAGGTGATCCAGTTGACAAGCAACCCAGCGGAACCTAGATAAGATCCAAGTGAGCCAAATATTCGCCTTATCCATATTGAGGTAGATCATGCTTACATTCCGTGTGCCCCGGCCACGAGGCTTTCCAGAACCTCTGCTTTGAGAGAGAGATCCTCGAATACCAGCTTCCTGTTGTGAATGCGCCATCGATATGTCCGAGTTTTCTGCAATGCTGCAAAGTGCCTCCACGATCTCCTCTGCGTGGTCTCCGCATTCATCGAGGCCGTCAACCACCAGGTACGTATGTTCAAAGACTTGAGACATTCTGATGATAATCCGCTCTAGGTCTTCGGAGTTGGCAGGTCGAGGCAGTCCTCTCTCAGGGTGGAGTTCAGAGTAATACTCTTCGAGCATCGAACACGCTTCCTCACTCTGTCTCGCTAATTGGTTTGCCAAGCCCCCAAGAATGCTGACAGGGCTTTGCGTCGCCTCATTCTTGTAATCGCAGAAGAAAAAGCCTACAGCAACGGTATCCGAGCTTCTCGCGAGGGCATGGCCAATGATTAAGCCTGCGAGCACCGTTTTCCCTGCGCCGGGAATGCCGCTCAGCCAAAGTCGGGACCCTTGATTTCTAAGCCATTGCTGAAAGGACGAATGACGTTCAAGCCACAAGCCAGTTCTTGGGTGCCGTAGCTTTACGCTCATATCGTAGTTTGACTGCGGATTGTATTCCAGGAAGAATTGCAGGATTCGTCGTCGCTCGATATCCTCTTGAATCCGTACCGCAATCTTTTTGATTTTCTGAACATCGGCTCGTATTTGAGCTGTCGTTCGGTCTCTCTCTTCCTCCTTTGCGAGATAACGCAGTAACGTCTCCAATGAAGTGGCTGATAATGCAAGGTTCATGTTTTCCTTATGTCGAGAGAGATCTGCAAGCATCTCCTTCGTTTTCGAAGACGTGTACGGCCATATGAGTCGTTTGAGTTTTCCTCCTGATTTATCCTCGTACTTCTTCGTCTTGTTAACAATTTCGGATAGGATTGCTGCACAACCGTCAATGTGGTGCATCCGGAAACTCTCAATGGGAGATTCGTCCTCCGCTTCTAGGGCGGTTGCCAATCGCGACAACATGTTGATAGTTCCCCCAACCAGATTGACTTCTTCGCGGAGATCGCTGATCTCTTTTTCGGCATTCTTGGCCGACCTGATATACTTGGACAAGCGCAGAAAGACAATGTCCGCGAGTGAGAGGAGTCCCGCAATACTTGCGGCAATGCTCAAGGGGTCGGCCATAGTAGCAGCTTGAAGGCGGCAGCAAGTTTCTGAAACCTGATCTTGATCTTCAAGCCGATGTTGAGCGTGCTTTCCGACGTGAGCTCATGTACGGAAACCAGACTTCCAAGAGACAATGTGACCAGTAAATAGATCTCATTCGGTTTTCTCCCTTCGTCTTTAGGCAGCCATGGGCAGACTGCCATCGTATCATTGGACACGTTTGAGGCGTGAAGTCTGCCACTATTCAAGCAGGCTGTGCCTTCGTTGCTGCAGGCTCTGCAACGCAAGGCGGTTTTGGGAGAATGCTCCTCCAATAAAAAACATCCAGCCCCAAGTGATGATAGTCACGTCGTAATCTTGGCGCACGCAGTGATGACAATTTGGGCGAATCTCGCCCCTCGCTAGGAGATGCTGGCCACATACCTGCAGCCCATCCACATGAGCGAGGCATTCTTGTCGTGGTACACGCCGCAAATGTGCGTGCACATCAGATGCTCGGCACGAAAGATCCCAGTCATTTGTACCGTAGCCTCACGTAGCGTGCAGCATCAAGGCCACCGTGGAAATGTGAAGCGGCACTTGATCTTACATGGGGATTCGATGTTGTAGAGGTCAGTCTCATAATCCAAGCTATCATACTCCCTACTATCTTTTCCCAAACCTTTTGTTTTACCAAACTCGCTTCCCATATGCACCCAGGAATCGACCCAAACGCCATGCAGAACCCCCCGCTCCATTCCCCAAGAAAAATGCTCAAACCATATCATAGCTCTCGGGAAACAGAATCGCATTCGCCATCCCAACCAGCGCCTTCTCCGTTGGACTCCTTCCCTCCTTATCCTCCCACGGCAGCAGCCCCATAGCCCTAAGCCCGTCCTCCCCACCCGCGTCGCTGACCTCCTGCGTCCCGGGTCGGCCCGTGTGCGTCGTCTCCCCCTTACCGCCCCCAAAGTCCGGGCTCGGCTGGCCGAGGAGAAACGCCTTCCGCTGGCGGGCGAGGTACAGCGCGTTGGTCTGCGTCAGGGGGCAGGCCGGGATGTACATGATGGTCGCGGGCGCAGACGACGTCGGCACCCTGTCGACGCCGTATACCATGTCCGGGTGCCACACGACGTAGTCGCCCGGCCGCACGGGCGGGATGCGCACGAGGGACTTGTCGAGCTGGAGATGGGGGTGGAGAGCCGAGTTAAGCTCTTGTGTGTAGGAAGGGACGGCGCCCTGGATGATGCTTGTTTGGGCAAAATCTAAAGCCCAGTTCTCGCGCGCGAGGAAGTTAGGAGACGTCGGAGAGGGGTTGCGCGGTGAGAAGAAGGGGCGTAGGAGGAAGTAGGCGGTGGCGAGCTGGAGCATCGGGCAGAGCAGGAGGGTGCCGTCGGCCGGGTTGATGTCGGACATGGAGAGCCAGCCTTGGAACATGCGGAACATGCTACACGAGCCCGCGCCGTTGTAGAGATCTGACGTGACTCTAAGCCGCGTGCTGCTGTCCCAGGGGTCATAATCCTCCCATTTGCCATCCCATATGCGCTGGTACGTCCCAGCATTCCCGTAGCCATCACTCTCCCACCGCTCGACGCTGCCGCCGTCCACATGAGCATTCAAATGCCAGGCTTCGTCACCTGGAGTGCGAATTCGTAGACGATCGGCGTATGCCACTGGTAGGTCGGCCACCACGGGAGCGCTGGGATCCCGAGAGCGCCAAAGCCGCATGAGAAACCGCTGAGCCTCTAAAACATTGGGATGGGCTCGACCCTTGATCTGAGACGGGGACCAGTAGATGCCGAACAAGTGCGGGTCACGAGTCGGCCAGCCCTTGGTGTGCGGATTCTCCGATAGATACGTCTCCGTCTCCTCGCGCCAAGCATGAGCCTCGGACGCCGGTACGACGTTACGGATGATGGCACCACCTCGGCGCCGGAGCTTGGCAGTGAACTCGGAGACGCGGGCATGGTTTTGGAGCTCCGAGAAGTCGATGGTCGGGATAATGTCTGATTTTCTGACGCCAATGACGGCGATCTCGGCTCGAAGAGCTACCAATAAGCGTTCCCATGATTGCACCATGGCGTGCTCCTTGCCGGCGACCAGGCTTCGTTTAATCTGAGCAAATCTCGGTGGCAGCGGGATGGGTCCGCCATTCTCGGTGAAAATTTCGTCGGCACGCATAAAGCCTCGTGGGTGATTGTCCAGAGCTATTGGAAAAGACTGTGACCAAAGCAGACTGGGGGTATCAAAAGGCGAGAGGAACTGAGAAAGTAGGTCGTCTGAGATGGATGAGAAATCCAGGTCCCGCAGTGGTGACGTGTCATCGCCTTGCCCATATTCATTTTGGAACATGTCGTCCTCCATGTTGCAGCGTGAATAGCTGCAACGTACCGGGTGGTACTTGCAGAAGCCCCGTGTTGTAGTTGTTCGTGAAATGGACGAGTTGGAGCATGTTCCTAGAGCGATGGCATCGGGCCCCGCCGCCGACAAGGTTCCGGGGTCAGGATCACGCGGGGCCGGGAAAAGGTCGGGTCGCCGCGGCTCAACGGTGGGGGATACTCCTAGTCGCTGACAACGCTACAGCCGGGCCGCTGTGCCGCCACAAACCTCAGTGAACCTCGTTCCTGGATACAAGACCAGTGGAAGAATTGACTGACAAGTGAAAAGTAGCCGCATGGTAAGGGTTCTAGTTCCCATTTTCCAGACCAGTCTCCGCCTCTCCATTCAGCCCACTTCTGGGCCACATGATGCAACGTTTACCACACCTTCAGGCCGTGGACGCATGCATCGAGTGCCAACCTTAAGCAGATCCATCGATGCGGATTGGACCATATCATCCGGGTTGTCGTTCCCATCTGCCGTGTTTCGAACGAGTCCGATGTTCACCATCCGAACGCTGACCACATTAAGCTTATTACGCAGCCTTTCCGCGTTTCGATCTTCTGAGTGGCATCTTGTCCTCGACTACGTCTTCGGGGCTCTTCTTTCTTTTTCCCGGTGCTGCCGTTTTTGTCTGCGGAGCGGCCGTCTTTGCAGTCTTTGACAGGCTGCCTTTGAGCGCCAGCTTGGGGTCAACTCCTTCCTGGTGGAAAATGACGTAGGCTACTTTCTCCACGTCTAGGGCGGACACGTTGAGTCTTTCCGTGAGCTTTTCTACTTGGATGTTGAGAGACTCGTACTCCTTCATGTTGTACTTGAGTGATGTTTTTTGGTTATTGTTGCACATCCAGTAGTATCCCTCGTCGGAGAAGAACATGACTTTCTCAGAAAAGTGTACCGCGAGAAGAAGCGAAGCTGTCGCGGGACCGATGCCCTTCATTTTGGTCAGGATGCCCAAAGCCGCCGAAAGGTCCGATGTACTTTGATAACTTGCAATAGCGTCCTGAATAGTCTTCTCAACATCCGAAGAATCGTTGGATGACACCAATTTCATCAGCGTCGGACGAAATGTCCCGTGGCGGCTGCAGCGAATAAATCAGAACACTCGATTCTCCCAACCATTACAGCAATCGAGGCGCACATGATTCATAACATGTATGTTTATGCGAGAGTTTTGAGAACGGGGTCTTGCAGCGATATGCCCGTCTGAAGCTCCGCATACACATGTCATAGGGGAACGCGTTATCAAGAAAGGCTTGCACTTACAGCTTCCATTCTACTAGGAGTTTAACGTCGTCATGGTTCATTACCCGCTTCAGCTCATACTCAGAAAACTGTGTCGGGGCCTCGACAAACCGGAAATGGTCCAGTTCTTTCAGTGTCTTTTGGCCAGGCTTGGCTATGTGGAGGAGTCAGGAATCTGCTGGCAAGCTCAATGATACTGCGGGGAAGAGCCGCGATCGAGGGCCGACATACCGCCTTTGGTGGACGAAATGGAATCGATGAGAGGTTCGTATTCCGAAAGCAAATGCTTGAATTCCTTAGCAGATAGCTTGTCGGGTGACATAACCTTGGGTGTCCAGGTCGCCATGATGCGCGACGTTCCTTGACCACACCTGGGATCGCGAGTGACTGGGCCCTCGGAGCAAATAGACGTTTGAAGATTTCCGGCAAGGGTGTGAGTAGGGTCTCAAAGATGCTCCCCCAAACAGAGCTTGACGCGCTCCTGAAATCAGCAGAGAAGTGGATCAGATCGCGAGTATAGTAACTTCTTTCGACGTTAGGTGAGCCAGAGCCCACACTGAGTATGGTGCCAACCTAAGTGCCCCGTATCAAAAGATAATTAGGTAAGGCTTGGGTACAATCCCACTTGTTTGAGACTCGTCGTTGAGGTAGGATCAGACAGCCACAGAGGAGCTGAGTGGAAGTTGTAACTCTATTGGGAAAATTGGGTCCGTTGAAACGAAACGAACGACAAACGGAGTACGGATAGTGCCAGTTATTCGGGCATGTGAAAGGATGGGAGACCAGACTGGATGAAACTGCTTCAGTAGCGACATTCCCGGAACGCTACAAACAATTTCCGGCCCGGACTCTTTCCTCAGCAAAAAAACGACCCACTCATAGTGTGCCGTCGGTGAAGACCCCAGGTGGAGAGTGCGACTAGTACGCTACTGGCCCGGAAGGACCGTGCCCAAAGACAGTCTGGAATGCCGATCCATGCAGAAGCGCTACGGGGTCGTCCGAGGGGCAGCAGAAAAAAAAAGGTCAGTCGGTCTGCGCCCGCCTGAGCCTCTTTTTCTTTCTCACTTCACGAACTCTCACGAACTCTTCACAACCGTTATCGACTTCTTACACTCGACTTCGCTATACCGACAGTACCTCTACCTCCCACAAACATCATCAAAATGGGTAACGTATGTACACCCAACGAAACCTTCCCCCTCCCCCACCGCTGATCAGGGTCCGGTGGAAACCAAAAAAAATGAGGGGCAGATTTGATGCTGACATTCTGGGGGAATCAGGGCGCAAAGGCTCAGCAGAAGCGTGATCGCAACGCCAAGGACGCGAAGCCCAAGGGCTCTCAGCTCAAGGTGGTACGTATTATCCATTCGCAATCAATGTTCGATCTAGGTCCAAGCAACTAACACTTTTTTTTTGCGACCAGAACGCCGCCGCCAAGGACATCCAGTGCCAGATCTGCAAGTCCACCTTCCTGAAGACCACCAAGGCTCCCGCGTAAGTCGCAAACTTCTCGACCCCTCCTTTAACACACCAACTTTGTTGTCTGAAATCCAGCGCACAAACTGACGTTGTTTCTTTTCAACAGTCTCACCGAGCACGCCGAGAACAAGCACAGCAAGGGCCTCGCTGACTGCTTCCCCGCCTTCGTTGCCGCATAATTTTGAAAGAGAGAAGAGACACCGAGAGTGAGAGGAGTCATGAACAGGACGGAGTTGTGAGGAGTTCTAGGGACGAGCATGGCGGTACGGCGTGATGTTGAAGAAATGATGGGCGGAGTCGGTCAAGATTTGGCCCGGGGCATGCAGCGAAAAGGCGTAATTTGAAATCTTGCCCTCTTTATTTTCGGAAAATCAAAGAAAAAAATACGATCAAACGAGTACATATATGGCTCTACAACTTGAGACGTTCGTCGTGGTCGAGCTTATTTGGTCTTATGCCTGTGAGATTGCTGACTTTATAGCGCAAGCTGGATTCTTCCGCCGGTACAGCCGACGAGTTCATTCAGATATGGGTCCGTATAGTTACTACTACCGCAAGGAGAGAAAATTCTCATGGGTCTAGATATCGCTCCCTCTACGAGCCCTCAATGCGCCGGGACAGGAACCGACGAAACCTCCGGAACACCCTTCAAATCCTCCACATCCTTCTCCCCGCCACCACCAGCAGCGGCAGCTCTAGCCTGCTCCTCGCGAATAGCAGCCAGAATATCCGGATACCACCTCTCCCCCACGTCCGGATGACTCTTCACCCGATTCCTCAACGTCGCCTCCCCAAGCGTCTTCGCGACCCCACCCTTCCGGAACGTAAACTCGACATCATCCAGCCTCGTCCCGCCGTTCCTCTCCAGCACAAGCCGCCTCTGCTCCCGAATATCCTCCGGCACCCTTCCAACCCCGACAGTCTCGAGGTCCTCAAAGTCGGCGTCCCCTCTCACGCCCTGGAAAAACGGGATCGAGAACCGCGCGCCCTCGCCGGCGGGCGGGCTGAGCACGTGGTGTGTCGTCGACACGCAGACACCCCGCGTTAGCGCCTCTAGCCCCTGCCCGATAGCCACGACCAGCGTCCCCTCGACGGGCGGCGCGTCGATCCATTCTCCTCGGACGTTTTGCACCTGTAGGCCGCGGTGGTGGCTCGCTTGCAAGAGGTAGCTGCTCAGCATGCTATCCTTGTGCGGGCCGACTCCCTGCCCCTGGATCTTGGGATCCGTGATGCCGAGTTCCTGGAGATCTGGGTACTTGACGATCTTGAGCTTGTGTTGCTGGTTGGCGTCAAAGTACTTGTTGAAGGCGTCGGCGGGCAGCTTGATGGCCTCGGCTATGAGGGAGGTGAAGGCGATGGAGACTTGGCCCATGCGGTCCATGTACTCTGTGAAGGTGGCGCGGAAGCCCGGGAGTGCGGATTCAGAGGGCCACTGGTTTGGGGCGAGGAGGTTATAGTATAGCGGGTCGTTTGGTCCTGGCAGCGGGTGATCTGTCGAGAGGTCGATTTGTTCGCGGTGGTCTATTTTGCCTGCTGTGATTTCTGCCGAGAGTTGAGAGTAGCCGAGGAAGGATCTGGCGTTCTTCATCTCGATTTTCAGTCTAGTTGAGAATATAAGTACACCTGTATCCTATTTTCATAACCAAGGCAATTCTTGGACAAGCTAAAGGAGCGCGCTTACTTTTCCTCGTTGGGTATATCAAAGAAACTCTTGCCTTCCTTAATCACCCTCTTGAATAGCTCGTCGGGGATACCGACGTTCTTGAGGTATAGGAACCCGACCTCCATGAGTGCATGGCGCAAATCGATGAGAAACTGCGGTTTCGTTTCGGGATCCTGTGCCAAGGCGAGGTCGAGGATCGGAATGGACGTGAAAGACATGGCTGTGTGTCTCAATGCTGTTGTCTCATACTCTACGGGAATTAAAAAAATGCTCGAGAGATCAAAAGACAAAAGACAGGGCTAAGCTGCACTCGGAAGAAGCTCAGGGAAAGTAGTTGAAATAAGGTAGATCGTGTAGGAATCGGTTTCTGTAGTGTTGATTAATTACCCAAATATCAGTGGTATGATTCGGATAAGAGGAGTGCGAAGTCGCAGCACCTGGCGCGTCGCTGTTCAAGTAAGCCGTCGTTTGAGCAATTGGGCAACGGGATGGCGTAATGCGGGCGGCGGGGCAACTCGCCGATCGGCTTGCCCCGCAGTTCGGCGCGGCGGGGTCACCGAATAACCGGCGCATATTCACGTTCCATCTGACCACTGCCCAATCCTCACCACCGCCAACAACGCGAAAACGCGAAAGCTGTAGATCATCAGCCTCTACTGGCAGATACGGGGGTTTGACCCTGAATAATACCATAATAGCTTATCCTTCTTCCTATTTGTATTTATTCGCCGTAGCAAGACCAAATGGCCCCCTAGGTATCTACCAATACAAAATCACTTGAACACAGCAAAAAAGAGTTCACCCCCCCGGTGCCGATTTGGGGGCTACATCTCTGGCGCACATGCTGGGATTCGAACTCGGGTACTCGCTAAGCCTGTCGTCGAGTAGGCTGGTTGGCGTGAGAAATTTTGATTGTTGACTATTAACCACTCCACCACCTAGCCAGTTTGACCTGACCCGTCGACCTAGACGGGCGCCTGCTGGCTGGTGACAGGAATGGGATTGAGGGGGTCTATATACCCTTCTCGTGGCATGTGTGGGAAGGCACGATGAGCTAGGCGGTCTGGCCGTACGTACCTGCCTGCCTGATTGTCCATCAAGGTGTACAGACCCAGAGACGATGAGGAGCACGTCAATATTTCACGCGGCGCCTTGGACTAGAGGGAGTCACCCACTCTTCGGGCAAAGTCAAGCGAACATCTCCACGAGAAAACCCTCGAAGATCCAAATGCTTTTACTACATTCTTCTATTATCGGGTATAATGCACATATTTTGACAACTTTTGTTTAGCCGTTTCATGATCCCAGAGGCTTCGTCGCCAATAACCCCGTAACCTTGTAGAACATGTCCTCAACCGAGGGCATGGCAAAAGCCGGCGCCGCATCAAACAGCTCGGCGAGCTTTTGCCTGTTGATGACGGCCGGTTGGGCGTCGTCATCATCCAAATCCATCTCTTCTCCGTTCGCAGCCTCCGTCTCCTGCTCATTGTCGCTGGCCATCTCCTCGTCCTCGATGGCGTCGTCCAGAATCACGTCACCAGCGACCGGCTCAACATCCAGCTGCATGTCCTCCAATGGCCTCGAGAGGGCGACGGCTGCGGGATCCGAGGCCTCGGCGACTGACCACAGTTGCGCCGCGTCGTCGACTGCGACGAAGCCTGATGAGCTTCCGGTCGAGACAAGACTGGTGATACGGTGGGGGATGCGCCTCACGCACAGCAGCGCGGGCTCTTCTGGCTTGAAGACTGCGAGCTGGGAAGCTTGGCCGCCAGGTACGACGACGGCAAACGTCCGTGATTTGCGGTCAACAGCCAAGTGGCTGAATTCCTTTACTGCCGTGGCGTTGCGGCCGCTCGGCAGCTGGAGGCCGTACTGCAGCTCGTCGGCGACCACATCAAACACTCTCAGGTCATCCGAGAGGGTGATGATGTAGGGGGAGAGAACCTGGAGGCGGCGGATGTGGCCCTTCCACATGTTTTCCAGTGTCGACCTAATCTCACCAGTCTTGGTATCGATCACATAGATGCCGCCGTCGTTTGAGTGGCCAAAGGCAACAAAAAGTGTCGAGCCGTCCTCAGAGAAGCATAGGCTGCCGCTACGCTCGCCCGTCGTCTCTCCAGTGGTGGTAAGCGCATCGGCTCCCACGTTGCCTCCGAGACCCACAGCCACAGTGCATGACCACGAGTGCAAGACCTCGCCGGCGTTGTCCTTGGATGCGATACCATCCTGCTGCCTTGTTTTTGACTGCCATATCCGTGCCGTACCGTCGTCTCCGAGGGTGGCGAATCTGTTCGTTGTGTGATCTGCCGCAAGCGCCAGGACCGTCTCTGGCCGACTTGTGACGTGCGGGCTGTTGATTCTGGAAGACAGAGCAAAGTGCTCTTCGCCAGCAGTCGCAGACCAGAACTTGAGGTAGATCTCGCGCCTCTCTCTTACAAACTGCTCACGCGCTTCTGGTGCCACCTTCTCCAAATCACGCTTAGGAGGTTGCCAGTCATCAACGGTCGCCAACCACCTGCCATCTTGCGAGAATGCGACATGGGTTATGCGAGGCTCTGAGATGGGGTTACCCTTTGACGTGATATTAACATCTGTCGGCTGGGTTCTTGCCAGAGCTTGCTTTGAGACACTCCGGAACGACTCCATATCGAATGATTGCAACAAGGGTGCTGACTGGATCTCGCCAGCCAACATGGACTGCTGGCCGGTTCCTGTGCAGACATAGAGTCTTGATGGCTCGGCAGGGTTCAGTGCCGCAGGAACCGGATGCCGCACTTCGTCGGAAACAGACCACACACGCTTGACGAGCAGGTCCTTTGGCGTGGAGGTAAAGCGGGCGGCTGACTGAATACCGGAGATGTACGTCGATGGCTTCATCTCAGCCGTGGACAAGACGATGGCAGAGTTGTCATCCAAGTGGATTGCGTAAGACGCTCCAGTAGGGGAAACAACAATGTTCTCGATACTTCCCGACAAGTGAGGGAGGAAATCCTTCTTGCCGGTATCCATCTGCCAGAGCACGAGAACATTTTCCGAACCACCGGAAATCATGTATTGACCTACGGCGCGTGTTAGTGTTTGCAAGTGACAGTCATTAGCGACTAAAAGTTCTCACCATCCTTTGACCACTTCACGCTGTGGACAGCCCTCCTGTGCCAGTGGAATTTGCGGCTCGTAAGAGCCTCTCTCTTAGATTTTGGCCCGTTGAGGTTCTGCAGTTTTCTGAGGATGTCGTCGTAGAAGTAGATGGCACCTCGGGCACCACCCGCGATCAGGTCGAGGACGAGGGAGTTGTCCTTGCTGTGTGTGATTCGGATATCGAGGGCGCAGATAATATCGGTCGTATCGAATGTGAAGAACTCCCACTCGGACTCCGGCGTCAGTGTTCCAACGACGAGACCATCCTTGGTAGCTCCGACAATGGTCTTGCCATTGGGACTAGAGCGCAGTAGGTGGATGGCGTGATCGACCTGCTTCGTAGCGAAAAGGACCTCGGCGGTGGGCTGCTTGAAATCGGGGCCGGAGTATGCGACAACCTCGCCCTTGGCGTGCTTCTTCCCCTCCGAGACGTACAGGACCTCCGTCGTCTTCTTCTGTCCCTCGATTGATGCCACGGACAGGTCCAGAGCCGTTTGCGACTGGGTCCGGAACTCGTCGTAGACGCCGGTTCCCTTCTTCCAGTTCACCCGCCAGACCCTGCCATCGGAGCAGGCCACCCAGAGGAAGTCAGGCTTGAGCTGCGACTGGCGCGTGGCCACGATCGTGGGGGCAGACGACTTCTCTGCGTATGTATTTTGAACCACCGGGAGGGCGATTCTTCGGATCAGTAGTGACTCGGCCACCGAGTAGATTTGCAAGGATGTGTTGTAAGTGACGATCAGGTACCTGGTTCCCCTCATGTTAGACACCATATGTCGACCAAGAAATGTCTGTTGAATTGGCACCTACTTCTCGTTCTCGGCAAAGATGGGATCAATGTCAGCCATTCGGCCGCCCATTGGCAGAGAAACCTGCCATCCCGCCTCCTGAGCTTCCGTATCGCCGAGCTTGACCAGCTCGGTCTCGATTTGGTCGTCGGTAAGGTTCTTCTGGAGCTGCGAAAGCACATTCAAGGCGCCGTCGCGAAGGTCGTCGGCGTCTGTGTTTCCGTTCTTTTGGCCATTTGCTTTGCCCGCCGTCTTGGTCTTTTGCCGAAGGCGCTTTGCTTGTCCGTCCCTCTCGTTCTGCTCTCTCTTACGCTTCTTCTGGTCCTCCCGACTTCTCGGGGTCGAAGCGCCAGCCATGGTGTAGGTATAAATTTGCGCGAAAGCCGAAAACGATTTTTCAGCACAGGCAATTGGAAGTCGCAAAAATCTCGAGGCGAGGAGACAAGGAAGGGAAGCTGCGGCCTGGAGACTATTCTTCGTTCGGTAGTCTCTGGCTTTCAATCCTGCTCTGTTTCGCACACACGACCCTTCTTTCGTTCCTGCTAAGAAAAAAAAAAAGTTCAAGAGTTCCCAAAGAAATTTTGGTCCCGCCCAGTCGCCCGGCCATGCAATTGGTGGAGCTCCCCCACAATCAACACCGATAAGATAAGCGGCGGAGGAAATCACGGACCGACAAATTTTCTGTTCGCCCGTCTGGTCGCGCGCCTTCCACTGCGACAGGAAAGCCCCGGAAGTTTTCTTTGACGACGGCGACGACGATTCGGAAGGCAACAGTCCCAGGACCTCAATCACGCAACACCTCGAGAAGCGACGTACCGGAACCGCTACCGTCTCTCAGTGAACGAACGTCAAACCGCCACAGCTCCGTTTCCGACTTTCTCAGGCACAATGATTATCCCCGTTCGCTGCTTCTCTTGCGGCAAGGTTCGTCGGCACAGATAATCGCATGCAATTGACGCCTGGTACCTAACTTGTGTTGTCAGGTCACCGGAGACCTGTGGGAGCGCTACCTCAAGCTCATCGACGACGGCATTACGGATGGGTGAGTCACCACGATCGCGATGCTGGATTGCGACAGACGATAGTTAACGTTCACGTCAACAGTGACGCGATGGACCAGCTTGGCCTGAAGCGCTACTGCTGCCGCCGCATGGTCATGACCCACGTCGATCTTATTGAGAAACTTCTCAAGTACGCATACCATGGAGCAGCATGTGCCGAATCGTTTTTTCGGAAGCTTACAAACCCCTACAGGTACACCCCCGACGGTCGTAACGAGAAGAAGATGTCCTTGAACCCGTAAAGTGCCAGGGATGGATTTTACGAATTGGAGTTTTTGGAAAACATTGGCATTGCAAGGCGTTAGGGAATCTCGAGGAAGGCAGAGTACGCTGCGCAAATAGGAGAAAAGCTGTACTCGAGCCGTGACAGAGCGTCGGCGAACATGTGCTGGGTTACAGATGAAAACCTCCCGTCTCCGAGTCTCATGGGTAGCGAGAACCAGCCATATCAAAGCAAGCTCAGCAAGTGGTGGCAAGAGGCATGTCGATTGGCATCGAGACAGTCATAGGCCCGGATGCAACTTCGCCACATGGAAATGGACAGTGGCTGGAAATGTACGCAGGAATGCTATCTCGGAAGGTCTCGATTCTTCAAGATGACTCTACCAGTCTTCACATCGCCTGTCATGTGATTAGGCAGCATGTTGGGTCCCAGTCAATGGCTTAAATCCCTGGTCGGTAGTACCAGTTTCGTTTGCTGGACGACCGTCTGGTTTCCCACATTGACAGCTCATTGACAGCTCTTCGAGAGATCCCTCCAACAAAGAACGCAGCTATATCAGGCGACCTATGAAACAGGCATCCACATGTGTGTAGCAGTGCCACACTCCAACAACGTTTCAATGCTCTAGCACAATGACTGGCTATCTCCGAGCCTGAAAGCAGTTCATCATTTTGATCTGGCGGTCAAGGCAGAGGTAGCAGCCAGTAGGCAAAAGTAGCTTTCATGTCAGTCCGTCGGCTGCTAATCGCTGACCACATGCGCCTTGCTGCAACGGCATATGGTGGGTGGTGAGACGGTGCTATACGGACGAAGAATATCACATCTAGCACAGCATGTACCGGCCAAAGAGCCTCCAGCATCTTTCCGGTCAGTGACGTTGTACAACAGGCTGACCTCGGGGGCCAGAATTATACGCAAGGCGGAGTTCACCGATTGAACCTCCGCGATTGTTCTGGGTTCTGCTGAGAAACAGGCAGTCCGGGTACACGACCCGGGAGAGCCCAAGCCAATCTGCCGATTTCTGCCTAGAGCTTGTTTTGATTGTTGAATCCTTGTAGACGGTGACCCATTCTTCCTCGTTTTTTCTTTTCGTGTAATGCTCCAAGCATCAACGGGGACATGGGTCTGAGAAGGCAGCGGGTGCAAAGTGCTGTGCTGGCCATGTAGCAGTGGCTAACTTGAAGACCCGAGGGCTTGGGAATGGCGCAGTGGTGATTTTTGCCGCGATATGCACCAACAAGATTTTCTAAAAGGGACCATATCCGCCGAAGCTTTCATTTCGCGGATGGTGGTGATTTGTCACAGGACACAGGGTAGCTCCAACAAGCCTTGGTTTGCTGCACAGCGTTCAGAGTCTGGAGATACGTCCGCCTGGCCAAACTGGACTGACGCATATGCGGAACCGGAAGACGGCTCACAGATAAGAAAACTTAGTAACAAAGACCCACAGCTTCATCGCATCGAGTTGTATTCGCATGAGTACAGAATTACTTCGGAATCCCGAGCTCGAGGAACTGGCGCAACCGCGAAAGGATTCGACTTTAGCGCGCAACTGCTACCGCGACTGGCTCTCCTGTGTCCAAAATTGCAGCATAGCTCCAGCTTCCTACATGTCGTACAGAGGAAGGCCATACCGGATGGGGAGTCCTGAGCCGTAGGGAGCCCGCAGAGCTGCTTGTTGGCGCCTACGCGCGTTGAACTGCATGCGTGATGCGGTCGTGGCGTCAGGGATACCACGAAGCAAGCAGAGACCCCGGCTAGTCGCAGGCCAGCGTTCGGGAGGGGAGGGCTCATGGAGACTGGAGAGGGAAAAGATCTCATACCACCCCTTGGCGAGTAGTTGGTTCCCTTTCGTTCTTGATATCTGGAAATGAGTTTGCCGCAGGCGTCGGCGATATTGACATCGTATCTGATCCTTCGAAGCGTGGAGGGGTGGTGGGTGAATAGTCCGGCCCCTCCATCGACGATCAGCAAACTGATGCGTGCCCGGTCACGGATTCCTGGGTCCTGGAGGCTGGAGCTGGCACACCCCACCGGGTCGCTGGGGTCGAGGTGGTTTGCTCTTACCAAAAGTCGTGCTAGCGCTGTGATCAGTCGAGGACACCTACATGGTAGTCAGGGCTATCACTGTACTAAAACGATGGCTGGGATGCAATTCTTCAGGAAAATGACGGCCTCAATGGACGATGAATAGGTTGTGTTGAGGGCCAGCATTGGTATGCCTTCAAGGTTCTGGGCAGTTTGTGAAGCGTACCGAGCGTACGTACAAAGTCGATAAGTTTGCGAAGGGAGCTTCTGTCAGGTGATGAGTCTGTCTGCGAGACATCGATGGGGCGCCGAGGACCCTGACAGGGGCGGGGTTTTCTTGAGCAACATAATTGTTGGGATGCTTGGCCGGATCTTGTTACCCGTCCCTATGAACCGATTGCCCAGGTTAACTGACTTGGGTTTGAATTTTGAAATATGTGTAGCCTATTCTGTACGATAGTCTCAAGGAAAAGTTCTGCAGAGTAAGTCCGAAAATTGTGTATTGTAAGCGTACCTTTATTCTATGCTACTTCAAACATGAATAACCATCGAGTTGCAAGAATGAAGTCACAAGTTTGAATGTTAGGCATCTTCTACTCTATCTTCCATGGAAAACTTACCAAACACTCAATGCAACCATAGGATAGGCTGCTGCCCAGCTTCCTAGGCAGGTGACAGAGTCTGGCTAGCAAAGTTGTCGAACCAACAGCCAACGCACAACCAACGGTGAAGGAGGGATACGTACCCGCCAGTAGGATTTGAAGCCGCAACGGGCACGGGCTTCCATCCAATTCCCATCCAATCCCTACCACAGACGGTTTTAACAAACGGTAGGCTTGGGAGTGGCCTGTCAAGCCTAGCGTGTGAATGAAGGTCGATCAGGGCCCACTCTGGGTCGAACGGTGCAACTCACCGCAGCATGGTGCCGCTACAAATTTCTCTTTCTTCCCCCCCTTCAATATCCGTAAGGTACTGAGGAAACGCCGTTCCAGATTGTCGGAATCCGTGTTGCCATGAATAGAAAAGAGAAGCGGGGAATCCAACATGGAGTACACCAGTGTCGAAACGAGGACGTATGGTGCGTGGCAGACACGTTGGGCTCGCGAGGACCTTGTCCTTGTACCCTCCTACAACTAATAGCCCTCTGTTGATAGTACATACGATAGTGAAGTAAAACTGGTGTAAGAGTACATCACCAACCAAATCTATAGGTAGAACTTGGCCCAATGTATACTGGCCTGTTCAGGCAGATTCTCGCGGAGCGAGCAGCCCCAGTCACATGGTCCAAGTCGGTTCGGACCATATAGAAGAGGTGCGGCTTTGTTCATGTTGCGGCCGACCGACTCGTATCAAACTTTTCCAAATCCTCGTTGAAAGTCGAAGATCGAGGTCGAGGCCTTGTTCGATTCCGTTGCACCGGAGCCGGCAAAGAAGCTTGTGGTCCACCGCAGCCTGCGCTGTTGAAACTTGAAGTGAAGAGGTTCTGGGCGTCTGCTCTCAAGTCCCTACGGAGCTCCCCCGCCTCGCACACATCCACACACACATTCCCACCAGGGCGGCAAACAGGGACCGAGACTGGTAACGAAGACGTCCACGACAACGGACGGGCAGAGCCGTTCACAATGGCGCACGCGCATGCCACGGCCCCCAAATGCACAGTACACAAGCAGCTCCAGGTAGCGTGACTGTGTTTCCCGCGTCTTCAATGACACGGCATCGTCAGATTGGCCTACGAATCTTTCTGATGGGGGGGACGAGAGGGTCTTAGAGGAGGTTGCGAGAGATATCCGCCCATCCATCCCCGATATGCGAGTAGACACACTGCACGCAATCAGAAGAGGGACAAAAGTCCCAGTTCAGACATGCAGGCCGCGGTCGATACCATTAGGCCCAGCATACCGGCTCGGTCTAAACAACTTGTCGCTACCGGCCTTGGTTTCGATTGATCACAGAGGAAAGGTTTTTTTTTTTCTGTCCAGATGGTTCTGATAAGATGGCTAGGAATTGGAATTGACGAGGAGGAATTATCGTGAAAGTTGTCCCACGTCAGAGCCGACCTGAGGTATAAGGAAGCATATCTTGGATGAGGTACCTAGGCAGACAATACCTCATGCCACCACATTCATTTCCATCAGGTCAATTGGCAGTCTCGCTGCTCCGTTTTCCGTACTCTGTACCCATGGTCAAATACGTTCCTTCCATATATTCCTTCGTACCTACTCTATACCTAACGTTTAGTTCCGCAAACAGCCATTGCCTCCAGCCATGGAAGGGACGACGGGGGCGGTTGAGATACAAGCTGAGGAAGGTTCTCTTCCCTGCTACCTATTGCCTTTAGTGCAGTGGTGGCCCTGGATCTTTCCTTCTTGGCCGGGCGCCCCTTGCCTTTTCATCACCCCTCCAAGTGTAAGGCAAGCTCCTCCGCCCAAGTGGGGCCGTTATGTGCAGGGGTCGGTTGTGGTTCACTGGCACGACTGGACGGAAGCGAGACCCACCTTTGCTAAGCGCCGACGCCTGTCTGCTTCATGCAGCCCACAGCTCGACGTCGCTCTTCTCATCCACCGACACCACCTTGTGCCCAACTCTGACTGGTTGAACCCGTCAGGAGGTGCGCTGCTATGCTCATGGGAGAAGACGCACAGCTGCATCTCTGACTGGCTCATCCATCGCCTTCTACTTGCTGCCCGGTGCCTGCCTTGACCCGGGTCAAGTTCGTGGAGAATGGTGTACCCTGGGAAGGAAGAAGGCGCAAAAGATGGTGGCGGTACCGTGGTGGTTGTCTGCGACTGAGGTGCGGCCGACCCAGCTCGCGGATTGGATCCCACCCCGTGGACCTCTCTTCTTTCTGAGCACCTCGGCCCTCTCTACTTCAACGACTTGACTTCTTAGCCTTGCTCCCTTCGTCCTCTCGGATCATTCTCCTCTGCTCGACTGCCAGCGAACGCTACGACGATCCATTTCTGGTCTCCCCCTTCTGATTCATTCCCATGTGAGGTGCCTGTCCATAGGGCGGAGCGGGATTAGGTCAACCATTCAGAAAACACACAAATTTCTGACGTTTCTGACTTGACTCTCCTCCACAACTCAGATCCAGCTTGTCTTGCTCCTTGCGAAGCACCGAGAACACCCATTCTTATTACTGCTGGTTTTCTTTACCTGCAAATCATAACAATCCTTTGCCGTTCCGTTGGAGGGCTGGCCTCTTTCTGTACCCGTACCACCGAACCGCCCGCCTCTGTGCCACCTGTCGGGTGTCTGTACGGTGGATGCTTGACATCCACATCAACCGCGTCGTCTCAAACCAGCTGTCGGCTGCTCTTCTTCTGTCTGTCTACCTGATCTCTCCATTCTGTCGACTTTCGCTGCTCTTGCCCGGCTGCCCGAGACCGCATAGACGACGAAGCCATCGGTGGAGCCGTGCTAGTCACCCGTCTGGTCGAATCTTAGCCGCAGCTCTCTCTCTCTCTCTCTCTCAACCGCCCTTCCCAAGAGACGGGCATATTGCAGCATAAGGTACCTACCTAAACTTAGTCGCAGAGACAGAAGTACAGCTCTCAGCCTGATCTGGCTGTCTGGAATTCTCCCAATTTCTCCCAGCAAGGCCGTAGTCGCGTTGCCCCCAGGTCGAGCTAACTCGCCTTCCCCATATATTGACCCTTCAATCGTCAGGGTCGCTATTTGGGTACCCCTGCTGCCACAGTAGACCCGCCCCGACGCAGCGAAACCAAACCTGGCCCTGTCGATATTTCGCGTGAGCGAGGCACAGACACGATCAGCTAGGGTCGGCCTGGAGCCATCCCGGTCTCCGTACCGTTACCCTTCCCAGCACTGAGGTAGCAGTAGGCACAGCTCCTCTTAAACTGCCCTCCCCACCCTCTCGCTCTCGAGCTTCTTCACTCTTGAGCCTGCTGTTGCTAGTCTGGAAGCTTGATGATCCCCGGGCCGTCGTCCACGAGACCTTCCAGCACAGCTTTATTCCTTCGCCTCGACGGCCTCTAGGATCACGACCAACACCAGTTAACCAGTGCGGCCCAGAAGTAGACCCAACCGACTAGAAAGCAAACTACGTGGGGATCCCGAGGCATTCTCGACTTTGACAGCCGCCGAATACCAGTCTGCTGGACAGCCCGGCCGATTCCATCACTACCTGCGCCAGTGCCAATAGGTTATCGCATACAAACGAGTCGAGAGACTGACGATGGCACTCGAAGCCCCCCTCCGGTCGTCTATCGGAAGTCAAATATCTGCTTATTCCCATCACAACGACATGTCTGTCTCGTCTCCCGACAACGGTTCTTTTCAATCCCCTTTCGCCAGCATGTAAGCAATTATGGTCATACGGTGTCGTTGTAGTTCCCAAGCTTATATATGAGTATAGGTCTTCGAACGCCTCAGATCACTCCGGCCGTAATTCTCTGCGCCCCAACTCCATTCAGAGAGTTCCGTCGACAAATTTGAATTTGATGAGCCCGAGCGATATTGTTGGTCCTTCGCCAGTCACTTCAACTGGTACTGAAACAACGGAAATTGAGGACGAAGAGGCAGAGGAGGTTCAGGCCCGGCCCAATGTTACCAATCCGGCACCACACCCTCAGGTTTGTCTTTCCAATGTCATTCCAGAGGCAGGCAGCATGACTGACTAATCTAGCTCATGATGCTCTCGACCAACATTCCCGATCATCTGCGGCAGAGTAGCAGTGAAGAAGCTGTATCAGTCATACATGCGCCGGAAAGCTTTCATAGCTGGGTAAGCATCTCAGGGACACTCTTTTCCAAGTAGGCGAAAACTGAACTTGAGACAGGCCTCTACGGAGCCGACAGTAAGGCCGGATCAAAGCAGCACAAGATCATCACCCAAGACCGATACAATGAGTCTTCCATCCGTCACAGATCATGCAATCAAGGTACGGCTACCCAAATCTTTGTCTAAAGCCATTAAAGTACTAAAACAGAACAGTCGAGATCCCCTGGGCTGCCTACGCCGCCTCCTCTTTCGACAGATATCCGACCCGTTCGGTACAGTCTAGACAGCGCCACACCACGCGCGCAAGACCTCCACGACATGCTTAATGAGTCGTCCCGCCTAAGGTCTAGCAGCACAAGCAGCCTCGAAAGTTTGTATATTCCACAAACTCATCCTGTGACTGAAAGGTCTAACGCGAAACAGAAATCGACGAGGCTAGAGAAGTAGAGACTGATACCGAAAACTACGATGAAGAGCCGTTCGCCACCCCAGCCCTGCCTCAGGAGGATTCAGAAATCAGGGCTCTACGAACCGCTCTTCAAGAGTGCTGGACTTTGTGTAACACACTAGCGAACTTGAGCTCGATTCATCGAACACGGATGTTCAATAGCTCAGGTACCCCCGATGCTCACGAAAAAGCTTGGATGGCGTGCTGGAGGCTTTGCCAACGCCTGTATGACAACCGCGACGAAGACCACTATGATCACCACGTCCGAGAGAATCTCGATCATTGCCGAGACTTTTGCCAGTCCCTCTTCGACGTCCGCCAGAGGAAGGATGAGGTTGCTGATTCTGTTTTAAGAGTCAGTTTTGAACTGAATAATCAGTGAGTCCATTCCAGAGATCCATAAGCACTGGAAAAATCAACTAACCGTGATCCAGTCTCTATAGCGCTCAGGACATCCAGAACCTCCCAGAGCCCTTCCGCGAGCGTACTCTAGATTTCTATATTACTCTTTGTCATCGATTGATGAAACAGCGAAGCGAATTGGCCGATGAGACAGACTCTTTGCTGAAGGCGTGTTGGTCACTTGCCGAGATGCTTTTCAGTCTGAGACAGAATAAGCGTGATGGAAGAGCTCCTGACGAGGAGCTTCTGTGTTCAGCGGTACAGGCATGCTGGGAGCTTTGCGACCTCTTCAGAGACGGGTGGACCCAAGTGCGGCCAGACCGAAACACGCCACGACCGAGCCAGACGAGCTTCTTTGGCCATCAGCAGCAGTATGATCAACCTGCACGAGGTGAAAGCAGAGCGTCGAACCGATCTTCATACTCGAAGAGGGAAAGTCACAAAAGCCTGACCGAGGAGCGGCCACGAAAGCCGCCACCAGTTCCTGAAACTCCCGTAACCGAATTTGAAGACACGCCAATCTCCCCAGAGAGCTCCTCACCACGAGTGCCAAACATCCTCGTTCTAGGCACAACATCCGACAGCGGACGTGGAGGCCGGTGGTCAAGCAGCGCTTCTCAGTTGTCGAGCTACTCGCAAAGCAGCAACAAGACATCTAGCACAGCAACAACGACTACGGCAGGTGAGGATAGCAACAGCAACCGCATCAAAGCTCTCGTCATCAAGGCTGCCATGAACGTTGGCTTTACTCGAGACCCGGCTCTTGACAGTAAAGCCGAGAAGTCAGCTCTCCAAGCCTTCGTCAAGCATATGCCCACAGGGTCCTTCGGGTCCTTGCCTGCGCATTCAACACTTTTACAGCACTACAAGAACCTTGTGCACGCCGACTCGTCGTTCAGGGGATCTTCGCTGCTTCCGGCCCGTGGCAAACGTATCTCGGCGCATGACCTGGCCAAGAGCGTTCACTACATGAGCCAAAGATCTAGCCAGTATGTCTTCTTGCGCGACCTGTACAGGCTCGTGTTTGGCTTCCCACCAGAGGAGGGCGAGTCGAGGAAGTCAACAACCATAGTGGTCTGAACACCTGTTTTCCCTCCCATCTTGTTTCATTTCTCTTGTTTTCATATTTTTTCGAGCTGCGATGTTCTATGGGGTTTCCTCACGAAAACTACTGTTACAGCCTACTACACCACCCTCATAAGGCAGAACAAAGCGGGCAGGTTTATTGCGAAGAAAGTTCTGCTTGAAGAGGTCAGATTTTCAAACAAACGCACACAAACACACACACACACACACACGAGCAACATGCAAAACAACACACTACATACCTGGGGGAGAGCGCCCGTCTGTTCGTTTCTACTGCACTAGATACCCATCGTGGACGGATTTTGGCGCCGGGAGCTTGGACAATGGGAGGCTAGAAAATCGTGCGTCTTTTTCAATGTCGTTATGAGAACGAGGGAGGTTGGGAGCGTCGTTCGTTACATTACATGTCACAATGGATATTGTGGCCAATCTGGAATCTGGGAGAAAATCATCTTATAGCCTATGTCGCAATGACCACCAACTACCTATCTATCTAACTGCAAGCTACCGTGCCTGCGTACCGAAGGTCCAAATATGGTGCGGTCATTGTTGAATGGATTTTGCCGAAAAGAAGGTATATGCTGGAAAAGGGAAGAAAAAGGGGTATCGTATTGGAAAGTCTTAAGGTGTCGCGTGATGCTTTGTCGTGTTCCAGGCGACAGAAATTTCCCGTATGAACCGTAACCCAGAGATGATATGCAAGAAGGAAAAGTGAGGATCGTAGCTCTACTCGAGAGGACCAAAGAACTGCTGAGAATAGTCGGCATGTCCCTGTGGCTCTGCACTGGACATGAAAAGTTCTTCCCAATCGGCTTTGCTCACGTTGTTCCAGTCGATGCTGATATCGCCAGAGAAACCGGCGGCGTTCTGGCCTTCGGCTTGTTGCTGCATAGAAGTGAAGGCTTCCGAGCCATGGTATGTTTCGCCGGCGCTGGCCATCATCCCAGCGTAGGCATAAGGTGCAGAGGCTTGGGGGTACTGTGGAACGAGCGGATCGAAGTCAAAACCCAGCGCAGTATCATAGCCAGTCGCACTTTGCCAATTGTCTGATTGGGTGCCCCAGAAGTTGCTTTCTTCCTCGTTGTAAGGCGCTTCCCATGGCGCATGTGGCATGAGGTGGGAGAAGTTGAGGCTGGTGTTCGCAGAAAACATCGTTGAGTTCGCCTCTGTCCACAAGGGAGCAGCTGCAAGATTTGGTTCCTGAAACATGTCATTCTCGAAGTTGACGACGTTATGTCCAGATGGGTCCATCTGATGATTGAGCTGTGTGAAAACCGAGCTGTCAGTCGTTGTTCCTTGAGCATACTCATTGTCGATGCTATTGAGAAGCTTTGTCAGGGGTGACACACTGTGATCTCTCTCTGCATGCACATAATCTGCGCCCATTTCCAGATTATCGGGGGTTCCGGGGACTTCGGGAAGATCAACGTTGAGTAGGCTCAGCGCTTCATCACCATGTCCCACCGTATGGGATGCGTTGTTGTTCGGGATCGGGGATGAATATTGAGCGGGGGCATTCTGAGAGGATGTCTCCCGCAGCTGGGTCTTCAGACGCTTCGGAATGCTCTCATGAGGTATCTCAAGTACTGAAAGAGATGAACGTGAATCTGGGGCTGTGATCGGTTGTTCACTCGCTTCCTCAAGCTCATTCCGCTTTCTCTTCTGCACTGTAGAAGGGAATAACATTTGCTCGTAGTACTGCTGAACAGGCTGTACACCATACGGGCGGTCGGGATGCTCCTGGAACATCTGCAGAATCTTTTCGTGTGCAGCAGCATACTCCTCTGCGTCGATACGCGCTTGCTCATCCTGCTGCTGTACCTTCTCGGAGGACAAAGCCAGGTTCTCAGGAGTCTCTGAGGGAGAATCGTACACATAGCTTGCCAGGGCCTGCAACATGTGATTCTCTAAGCTTGAATCATCCTCGTTCGTAGAAGATGTGAATGTTTGATTGTTTTGATCGTTTTCGTACTGGACTGGCGTAGCCATTGCTTCCCTAAGTTGGTTGCAATTAGTAACTTTGTCCCATCTCATGAGAAGCTAGGCCGACTCACTGCCATGGAGATGGAACCGCAGTCTTTCTATTACCGCCATTGTCCGGGACCTGTCCATTGATCATTGCCGTGCTGCAAAAAAAAAAAAAAAAAAAGTCAGAAAGTGTCGCTCTTTGTTTATCTATTGTATATCAAAGAAAAAAGAGCGAGGGAGGCATGGGCCAAAAACAGTAGTGAAAGGGCCCATCTAGGGAGAAAACTCACCCGAATTCAGGATCATGGCCATATTTGGCTCTGACGTATTTCAGTTGAGCCATGGTGAGGGTCTTGCTGAATCGCTGCTCGTACTCGCGCAAGGTGTCTGTCTGATTCTTGCCCTTGGAGAGACTGTGGTTGAGGATGAATATGATTTCTTCCTCGGTGTAGGTGATTTGGCCAACCATCCTGAAGGTTAGTCGTTTGTTCGCTGTACTTGCAGGTATCTCAGGTGCATACCAAGAGGTCGTTTATTGTGGTTTGGGTTGGTTTGGGTCGGTTTGTTTGAGAAGAGGAAGAAGATTTGTGTGAAGTGAGGAAGTGAGGAAGTGAGGAAGTGAGGAAGTGAGGAAGTGAGGAGAAAGGACCGCAGGAAAGTGATCCACGATTTTCTCGAGGCAGGAGGGAGCGACGTGGAATTCTTGAAAAGGCAGTGATTCAGAGCCGCAGATTTACACGGAAGGTGTAAGGAGGTTCTCCCCGGGGAAGGAGCCTCCCGTCGTGAGCTGGGTAGACACACGGCAATACTTTGGGACGGACGGTGAAGTTGGCTGCACCTGATTATCGTATGTCAAGGCATCCGAGTCACCTATCATTGAATTCTGTTTTGTCTAGATCTAAGTCTAAATTGGCGGGGGTGCGCCTATATCATCATCTTTCGTCTAACATGTGTCCTAAGTCGTCTCCAAACTCGATCATTTCACCGATTGCTCCTTCAGTATTCATGCTTGCTGCGTGCGTGCAAAGATTCCCCACCAACAAGTCACGTCGGTGCCTTCCTTATCCTCGCCCCAGTCATCCTGGCCATCGAGTGTTCCTTCCTCGATGCATAGTAGAGGGTTTTCCTGGCTTTCCATAGCATCTCGGAAAGCCTTGAGAAGTTTCTTGGTGGTTTCGTCTCGTAGAGGGACCATCACAACTGCTCTGGCATCGTCTTCTGTTGATAGCTGCTCAGAGAAAGCACCTGCCAGAAGCCCTGGGTGACAGTCGTCGTAGAGGGGATCTGCAGCAAGGACAACCTATGGGCCAGATTAGCAGTCTCTCTGCAGCAACTTCCAATGGTCACGTACCTTGAACTGATTTCTTTTACCAAAGAGGTCCTGGTCAACTTCATCATCCCCCGAGCCACCCCAAGTAAGTGCACCAGCGTTCAATGAGCCTCCCAGCTGCTCCACCGTGCCACGGTTGGCCTCGACGTTATGGCAAAGGTTCGACATGATGTCTGGCAAGTCGCTGAGAATCACATGAGCCTTCCACAAAGCTGCTGCCGCAAGTCCAAGTAGGCCTGTGCCAGAACCTAACTCCAAGACAGATGGCCTCGGCTCGCCCAGAGATCCATCAAAGAGCCGGAAGAGAGCCGTGGAACCAATAGATGGCAAGTGCTTGGCAAGAACGTAGGAAGACCCCCAGGTCTTTAGACCAAGTGAGTCGCCGGTCAGGGGTGGCTCCCGGATGATGAGCTCAAAGGTCGGTGTGAGATCCTCTTCTCTAAAGGGCCATCGCCGGGTAATCTCGCCCATGGCTATGTTCGGCATCAGAGACTGCGCAGTTCAGGAAAGACAGCAGCCATCTTCAACACATACCTGTTCTTCCACATCGCTCCGTCATCCTGCGGCTAGCTTCTGACCAGACTTCCTCCTTTTTGTCATCGTCCTCGATCCAGGAGAGGCCGCTCTTGATGATGGACGATAGGTACATCGTTACTTCGCGCCGAAAATACACCGTGGCCTCCTGCTCATGAACGATATCGGATCGCCTGCGCTTGTGACTCCATACCGGAGGGCTAAGTTCCAGTTGCTTCAGTGTGCTGAGTAAGTCATCACTCGACGGCTTTTGCCACATCTGCGGAAAGTCCTTCGGTTCGAGTATCATGGTTGCGGATTAAGAATCTACATGCAATTGTATACTATGATCACCTGAATCCGGTAGAAATCGCGTCAAAAGAGAAGAAAATTGAAAGAAATAGTGTTGGCCAGAAGCAAAGATGCGTAGTCAACGAGAAAGTGAGAAAGGGGACATGTGCCTCAGCGTCACGGAAATTTTGTGCGGCGGTCTGGACCTGACCAAAGACCCCATCGCCAAAACAACCTTGGGAACCAAGGGACCTCACGCAGGAACCATACCTAGCGGCAGCCCGATAAGGATCCTTATCGCTAAACTTCGGGAGCCATAAAACGTGGGGTCCAGATCTGGCAGGTGGGGGGTTGCTTCGAGGGGTCCTTTCTTTCGGAGGTACCTGCCAATCCAGCTCGTTGATTGGTTAGCCTCATTTGCAAGGCTGCCGCCGAAGACCCTTGCAACCCCACGTCACAAAAAATTCATATATAAGGCGCCAATTTCCGCGCAGAGTCTGACTCCTCTTCTTTTCTCCCTTCTTCAAGCACCGTCCTCTTCAACGCTGCGTTTCTATGCTACAAACGGAGAGATGCACGCGCAAGCGGAAGTCTCTCACTCTACCAAACTGGCATATGAGAAATTCGGAGTAACTTCTTCACACCACTCACCCAATGTCGCCTGCCTAGTGCGGGATGACGGGTCTGCCCGCGAGGGTCTGGCGTGATTTCACGTCTGCAATTGGCATCAGAAAAGCAGGGCCCGGGCCGTGCTCATGTATACCCTGGTTCCCTTTGGGAGGAGGGGGAAGATGAGCTCTGGACTCGGTGTCCCTATGGGAGAGCCGTTGCGAAAAGATTGTGCAGAGCACTTGAGTGCGATACGCAGCGTCTGGATCCTGGCTGGCTTCGGCTGGCCAGGCACTTGACAATTCAATTCCGATCATTCTGTTGAGGACGGTGCTTCACCTTTTTTTCTTCCAGGTAAGATGCATCTTTTTTTGCGATTTCGGCTTTGCGGACCAAGGATACTACTAACAAACAAATATGCCCCCTAACGATGTAGTCTATGTCTCCCTCACTTCGCCTCAAAGTCCGACCTTGATCGACACATTACCACAGGCGCCAACCGCCACCTTCCACGTCAGTCAGTACAGTACAATCTCAGCAAGAAGCCACCGACGACCCTTTTAGAATTCGACCATCGCCTACCGCATCGGTCACGGCGGGCTCTAAGATGCGGGCTGTTCTTCGCCATTGCCGGCCCAACTTGGATCATTGGACTTTGTGGTTCCCGAGCTTCTAGCCGGCAACTTATGCAGCACGGCTTTCCAGACTTTGGAAGTGGTATCGGCCAGACTCCGAGCTCTATCGAGGCGCGCCACCAGATCTTCACAAACGAGATTCTCTTCTGGGGCTTTTGCGGCCAAGTCGACGATTTCCTCCACAGCATCAATGACCACCTTGAAGTGGCCCTCGGCGTCTGGTGACTTGTCGGCAAAGCCGGAGGCTAGCCGCGAGTTCCTCATCTGGGCGCCTTTCAGTGATTGCAAACCTGTTTCCACCTGCGCCATTACCGTATCGAAGTCAAGCGGCGGCGGCGATCTTTCCATGTCCGCCTCCTTCTTGCCTTTCTCTGCATCTTTCGACAGCATGTCGACCCAGATCTGATTCTGTGTCGATGGGCTGGACTCCCTGTTTTTCTCCACCTGTTGCCGGAACTTTCTGAACGCAGCTTCGTAGACCTCGTGTGCAATTTCAAGCTGGCCATGGACTTGAACCAGCAATAGCCTAATCTGAATGAGACGATACTGGCGGCTGCGGGCAAGAGCTTCAGGATCTTGCGGAGCCTGTTGCACAAGCGAAAGGCTTCCCAAGGCTTTCTGAACGCGCTCAGTTGCGTCTTCGCTTGCCTCGCCTCGGCGACCACCCCGTTCGCTGGCCCTGGAATCCTCCTCCCGATGTCGGCTGCTCAATAAGGGGCTCATGATCGGTGAGGATGCCCGTTCGTGCGGCGGTCGCACGTAGTAGTACGGCGAGAGATATGCCTCAATCTCAAGCGGCGAGGGCGGCGGCGGGTATCGCTCCGGGTAGGGCCTCCGTGGGCTGTACTGGAAAGGAGGATCGTATAGGTTGCGAGACATTGCCCAAAAGAATGATGACCCCAGTGTTGTATGTTGTGGCAAGCGGTTGGTGATGTTGGTTCGCAAGAGGAGCTTGAGATTGCTTCCTTTCGATGCTACAGAAGTTCAAAAGCCTCTAGCTCAGGGCTGGGATCAGGGAGAAGGTATCTGCCGTATTTCAATGGTTGGAGACCACCTGCCATCCTTCGAACGATCCCAAGTCTTCTCAGACCAGATGACCACGTCTCGGACTTCCATCATGAGAAAGGAAGCCTTGAGCTGTCAAGGAACGGGAGCCCGCACGTCGAATTTCTGCTGCTTCGCATTGAGATAGACTCAAGAGACAATCTCTCCGCCTTTCCTACCATCTTGCAAGTTCCCACTCGTCTTTGTTCAGGCAATACTGCGTGTTTGCTCTTTTTGTTGAAAAGGCTCAGGTACCAAACCGTAGTCTGTCTAGTTGCTTTTCCACTCTCAAAGCACCTTACCTCCGAAGAAGTAGGAAAGCACGCAGGACTGGCCTCTTGGAAATCTATCTTGAAAGAATCCGAACATGTTTCTCTTGTCCAGACTTGACAACCAACTTGGCCTCCAGCGCAAATCACGCAGAATGCAAGACTTTTTCCTTAGCAAACGGACAAACCCGTCTTGCTGGAGCCAACTTGCATGCGAATACGGATCATCATTCTCTCCTCTTCCATATTGGCATCCAGTCCTTCAGGATTTCCTCTTTTGCTGTTTTATTGACCACCCCGTCTCAGCATATCCGCCTTTTTCGCTTTTTGGCATCATACATCAGCAGCGGCATAGCCGACGAAGGATGACGTGGGATCTCCCAAGTAAAGTTTTCGTGACATTGCAACATCGGACATCGGTGGCAACCGCCACACCTTCCAAACAAACAAAACAGACACTCCCGACCCCGGGAAAGGCTAAATGATAAAAAAAAAACCAACGGCGGGCGGGCCGGGAGCCGGCGTAGGTGTGGGGTCCTGGAGGCTGGAGCATGGTCGGTTTAGCTTGGCAAACCCGGGACTCTTCCTCCACCTCCCACACCTTCCGGTCCCCCCGCTAATACGGATACACTAAGAAGCGATTTGTAAGTCTAGATAGGAACGGTAAGTTCGCGACTTACCAGCCAACCTGCCAGCACATCGGAGGATTGCAGAGAAATAAGCCCCATCCAAGCTTCTGACGTCTCTTTGCTCGGGGAAAAAAAAAATTACTCAAAACCTCGGATAACGCCTTCCGTTGGGAAAGGGTCAATGGTGAGTCGTGACTACAGTGGCGTACATTCAAATGTTGGTTTGCTTTTTTTTTTTCCCAAAGGAATTCACTTTCTTCATTGGGGCCGTGGCTGCTGCAGGACAGGATCACAGGATGCAGGTGGGCAAGCAAACTAAAAAGTTTGCATACCCTTACAGAGTATCTGACAGATGTTTCATTTCCTACTAAACTCTTTGTGTCTTTATCTGTTTTGCTTGTTTGCCTGCAGGGCACACTAGATCTGGACAGCGCGAAAGAAGAAAGAAAAGAAAAAGATGACAAAATCGAGAGACACGAGGACGTGTAAGATCTTCTCCCCACACCATCTTTAGCAAGATCTGAATCAGAAGTGTGGCATTGAGGCTTGAGATCCCGCAGAAGCCCGTACTCAGCTCACTGACGAGTTGTCCTACCCGAAGAAACTTGAATGTCTTCTGGGGGTTGAAGCGATGAGAAACGAAGATGCTCCGTTGAGTGTACCGTGTGCCGATGAAGCAATCTCATTACCATAAGCCGGGACCCCCCTCCCCCAAATTGCTCGCTCGCATTCCTGTCATCTTGAATTCCGAAACAAAAGAAAACAGGAAAAACACTAGAACAATCCATCTTTCGCTGACATATCTTCTTCTTCTTTCTTGCTTTGCCTGCCCACTTTGGAGAGCAAATTTCCCAATACCCATTTTAATGAATTGCGGGGAGCTCTGGTGGAGTGTGCAACCTCCCTCCCAAGCGGAAACCCTCCCGCTGGTCTCTGCGGAACACCGGATGGAAAAGCACAAGCACTCCATGTTACGATGCAAGCAAGGCGGCAGGTCAGGTAAGAAAGGCTTCCCTATCCAGCAGTGAGTCAATTCCTACTCAAGTACATACATCTCATTCCTCTCTAACTGTATCTCAATCATGGCAAGCAATAGCTTGGCAATCGCCGGTTCCAAAAGGTAGGTACCCGTACCCGGCCCCGTATTATCCAGAAAAATGGAGAGGAGATGAAGGAGTACGCGCACGGTCGTTTTCGACAGGACAAACAGCCAAGGATTTGCAGGTCTACAGCCAGGGGGCGGGGGGTCCGTCATGACGTTGACACCCTGCCCATGAACAAACGAGCCTCGTCTCCCAGCATTCGTAAAGGATACACAGCATCATCATTGATGTCAATTCAAGTTGTGTTATCACTGGGGCCAGTGGTTTCAGTTCAAGCCAATCATTCATTATCAGGCAATGTAATCGTTCAAATGACTTTCATTTGGGTACTGTTCTGTTTTGTGTAGCTTACTACCACCTGGTATCAATCAAAATGAAGAAGACAAGAAATGGAGTATCTCCAAAAGGAAGAATTCCTGGCCCGCATGCACGGTTTACCAGTTAGTTGGGGCTTTTCCAGAGTCCATGCAATCCTATATGCCGGTCGCCAATGCCCATTCCGTCCTCTGTGATGCAATCCGAGCCCAAGTGAAAAGAAAAGAAAAAAGGTGAGAAAATCATTTCGCTGTTGCTGATGCTTTCAAGTGGCCGTCCAGTCGAGGACTCTCTTGAGATGTCCTGAAGAGTTATCGCTTTTTCCAAAGAAATCCCAAAACACGTTTCTGCGCCTTCGCCTTTTTGGCTGGGGCTTCTTTCGCCGTCTTCTTCGTCGATACGTTGCTCTTGCCAAGCGGCCGTTCAAGCAGGTTGCAATTGTCCGTCTTGGTCCCTCCCTAAGCGACCGCGATGGGGGCGCTGCTGGGGACACTGTTTGGGGGCGGGCATTCCTTGTATATCTCAATTTTGAGAGTTTTCAGCCGCTGGCGCATGTCGAGGAGATCCGCCATCTTGTCCTCGGGTGGGTTGCGCATGTCTGCAATCTCCCAGTGCAGAGCCTCATACTTTTCATAGAACACCTTGAAACGCGCGGCTTTGCTGACCAGGTCGGGGCTGAGCCCGCGCTGACGCTTAGGGGCTTGCTTGGTCCGGGCGCTCTCGTTGGAGTCGGAAGATTCCATAGCCTTGCGCTTCTTGGGTGGTGCTGAGTGTTCAAGATCCGACGCATTCGTTGGTGGTGACGAAGCCAAAGGCGACGACTTGGCTGGTGATGTATTTTTGCTCTTGAGAGAGACACCAGATGAGTTGCGGGATGATGCATGTGAGGCTTCCGCGGGCCGTTGCTTGAGGCTGACGGGCGCCTTGATGGGCGCCTTGGGCTTAGCACGCTTGGCCAGGGGGGCGCCAGAACTTGAGCTACTGTCGTCTGCCTCCTCTTCCCTCTGTCGCTTGGGAGGCTGTGGTCTGGCCGCCTTGGCAGTCTCTCGTGGAGGTTGAGGCGACTTTTCCTTGGGCCTTTCAATTGATCTCTCCACCGTCCGCTCTACAGGCTTCTCGATTGGCCTGGCTTTTGGCTTGGGCACGGCAATCTTCGGCTTTGGTGGGAGTGCATGTTCGATCCTTCTCTTGGGGGCAGGTGCAGCTGCAGGCGCTGGCCTGGGCTTGGAAGCCACAATGCTCGCCATCGGCTTGTCCTCTGAAGACTCTGAATCCGAGTCTGAGTTGGTGACAAATTCTGCAGAGAGAACCCGGCCGTTCTTGCTAGCTGGGGCTGCTTTCTCCTTTGCTCTCGTCGGCGCAGCCTTGGGCGTCGCGGGCTTCTTGTTCGTTGACAAGAGACGCTTAACTTGAGAGTCGGCAGCCTTCTTCGGTTTCGGCGGTAATGGATTCGATGATGATCGTGACATTGTCTCGCCGCCTTTCATCTTGAGAACGTCTTCGTCGCCGTTGTCGCTTGTTGCGTCGCTGACCTTGATCTTAGGAGGCGGTGCGGCGGAAGCCTTGGCGATATTTGCCTGCAACTTGCTGAGGATCTTGCCCTTTCCTCGCTCTTCCCGCGGCAAGAGCTTCTGCCACTCGGTTTCCGTTGTCGCCAGCCGCATCTTATCGAATTGACGGATTGCGTTGTCGATCGCTTTCTGTCGGGTATCTTGGGTATCATATTCGTACTTCCACACGTCCAACTCTCTCCAGTAGTTCTTTCTCAGTGCCCACATCTGCGTGTCCGGCTCGAACTGGGCCACCTTCTCCAGGGCAGGCTTGAAATCTTCGTATTTGCCTTCCCAAAGGCTCTCCAGGTAGTCGGCCGGCCGCTCCTGCACCGCTAGTTCGTGTACAATCATAGATCTTTGCTCCTTGGACTTCTCGACGATCTGTTGCGAAGAAGCGTAGACAGGATTTATCGATGGTGAGCTAACAGCTACCAGAGCCGGTGACCCTGAGGGCGATGACTTGCCGCCACCATTGCCGTATGACGCCATGCTCGACAGCAACTTGGACTTGGCTGTCTTTCCCGTGGCCTTCTTGTTGGTGCCCGGCAGCGGCCTATCCATGACCTTTGATCTATTGCCTTTGTTAGTTGTGCCATGACCACCATGACCCAGCCGCTGTCAACATACTGCTTCTTCGATGCCGTCGCCGCTGCGATGGAATTCTGCAGATTCTCTATATCTGAGTCCATGCCAGACGACGAGGTTGAAGGTGCACCCTTGGCCTTGGCCTGCTCGCCCTTCTTGGGAGCCTCGGAGCCGGGCAGCCTCTTCCATAGTGAGGAGGTTTGTGGTAGTCGTGTAGCTCGTTTCGTCGATTCGAATGGTTTCGTGAGGAAGAGGTCGTGTGAGAATGTGGCGGAAATCGGAGAGAGGGTGTGGGAACTGGAGCCGTAGAGCAGTGTCTTGGAAGCGAGAAAGCATTAGCATATGTCAACGAACGGCATTTCCGCTAGCGGGCGGGATTCGTTTGTGTAGGCATCGGACAGCAGCAGGTGTCCCAGACGGACAGCGGTGCACTGCTTCTTTTTCGCCTTGCATACAGGTTCAAGTGCCAGTTCTTCCCGTCGGAAGGACAAATGAATTGTTCGAGGGGGGTTCAAGGAAACGGGCAAAGAAGAGCGTTGCGTAGGACTTACCGGGCTGCTCCCCAAGGACAATTGGAGGTCCTCACCACCCTGTACACACTTGATCATGTCCTCGAGTACATGGTCAGAAAGGTTGATGCAGAAAGCCTGTGGTGGTACAGGATTTCCCGAGGCGGCCGAGCTCTCAAGAATGAGGCCGGATTCCGGGACCTTGAGTGAAGAAGGCATCTTGGGTCTATCCCTCTCTCGTTCTCTCGGATCACGCGAATCGGTTGTGTTGACAGTCGGTTGCACCTCGCATGCTCCGGCTCAGCTTTCGCCTTGCGAGCAAATATTTCGAGTAGGACTAAGACTTAAGCAAGTGTAGAGTCGAATGCCGAGTCGGGGTATCGGAGGACAGAAGGAGGCGGTTGTTGAATTTTGGTGGTTGAGTTGTTGCGTCTATTATTCTCGCAGGCGGATTATGGGGCGGGTCGGCAGGACGTCACATTGCCATGGCGAGGTTGAATGTGGGTTCTTCCGGCTTCGCAAGAAGTGAATGGACGAGGACGGGGCGTTGGGATTGGCAGCTCGAGGTTTGGCCTTTTCGTCTAGAGAAAGATATAAAGAATGATTCACCGCAGTAGGTAAACAAGCGAGAGAGAAGCCTTGTAGACAACAGGGTGAGGAGGAGGTGAAGGTGAGGGTGAAGGGAAGGAAGTCGAGATCGGGGACAAGAGGAGAGTAGCGGAAAGGAAGCACAGGCTGCACAGCCAGTCAGCCCAGCCCAGGTCCCCGGCCAAAAGACAAATGGGCCGTGGGCGTGGGACTTGGAGTGAGCAGAGGGACTGAGGAGTGGGAGAGAGAGCCCAGGCAGGCCGGACCGCAGCAGGGCCACCCACCGGTAGTAATTAGTGCGGGTACAAGGAGCGGTACTTTCGAGACGATGGCGTGTTGAACTGAATGTTCGCTGAAGAGACCACTGGAGGCCACTGGAGCCACTGGGGCTCACTGTAGCGACCGCTATAGCTTTCCACGGTGCCATGTACCTGAGAGTGTACCCACCCCCATGCGAGACAGGGTGTCACGCCTGGCCAATAACGGGTACTTGGCGTGTACTTTGCTGAGTTCATCGGCTCAGTCTCCAGAGCGAAGGAGGGAGGGGACGGGGGAGGGAGTGACTGAGCAGAAGAGGAAGAAGGGGACCCACCATGGGTACGATCTCAAGGGCAAGCGGATGCTCTGACTGGCTGGACCAACGACCGTGGCCGGGGGTCTGGTCACTCTGGCGGACGCCTGGTGCCTGTACTTCTTGTACTTCTGACCTTTTTGGCCGAAGCGACAGGGGTGGTCGGGGTGTGCGAAATCAACCAAGGGGGCTGCGTCGATGTTGCTGTACCTCGACATGAGCCTTGAGGTGTACGCAGTACAGAAAATCAGAAAATCAAGGCGACCACTCCCATCCAGTCCAGTCAGTACGTATACGCAGTATTCGTGCCGTGATGACTGAAGAGCGTCATCTTGGGAAAGCAACATACGTAGAGGTAGAGTGAGCCAGACAATGTAAATAAAGTAGAAAGTGACAATATCAGGGTAAAAAGACGTAACCCCAGATCATTGAGTGTGTGTTGCCCTGTGTTGTACCATCCAGTTCTACTTCGTTCTGCGCATTTGCCGCCAAAGACATGGACGCTTGATGTCGGCCCAGCCCACCTCAGCCAGCTCTGGAGGGGGAAAACAGAGGGGAAACCCAGAATGGAAGACCGAGGTGAGGCCTGATGGAGTAAGACAGTCAACTGGGTAAGACGGTGCTTGGCGTGCTGCCTCGTATGAGATGTGATTGTACACATACATAGTCAGTGGCAGGACGGAGTAAGTTGGCACTGGATCAGTCCAGTCAAGACCAGTCACAGTCACGTAGCCGTGGTGCCACATGGGGGCAGAAGGAAGCCAAATGGCGAAGACATTCGAACGGTGGCCGCGAGACAACACAGAGGCAAAACCACCACTTGCGCGCGATAGTGCGAGGATTCAGGACGAGGTGGGCAATCATTATTAGCCAGACTCCCCAAAGTTACCCAACCCGACCCGCGCGTAATAATTTGCGGCCTATGGAGAATTTGGAAAAGCATTGGGCATGGGCGAGGTTTACACGACAACTTCCGGCCGGGGGTCCAGCCCGGCATAGCACCCGATAGCGGGCGGTCCCTCACCTCGTTCCATAATCCATTTAACCTTCACCGTATCCCTCTGAGCCTCTTTTTACCTGCCTCCTCCCTCTTTACGAATAGTCTATTGTCTATCCGTATCCCTAACCATCCAATTACTAAGGTATGCTTGTTCTCCGAGTCACGGGGTCCAGGCCCACCCATTTCCACTTTGACAGGATGACTGACATTGACAACTTGAGCAAAGGACGTGAAGAAACCGTAATAGATGAAAAGAAACTGTAAAACATAATCCAATCGGCCCAAATGGTGAGACGAACAGCCAGAAAATCCGCTGCACAGTAGGCAACCGGACCATCCTCTCGTCCGTCTCGTACCGGAAAAGGATGGCTTAACTTTGTCAGTGCTGTCACTGAGTAGGGAGGTGGTATCTCCATGGATATTTTTGGCCTTGACTTTTCCCTTTCGAATCCCATAGTTCGTTCCCCTGTCATTCGGTGATTGGGCCCGTCGACTCACTCACCTCTCTGTCTCGTTCCCACTCTTGCGAAAAGTTCCATATTCCCAGTCGCTACCCCTTGTCCTTCCTCTCTCTCTGTCTCCATGACTCCATCGCTTTCATTTTGCTGTTATGATAAGATTGATGAGAAGAGAACCAGGGGGCACTCGCTGGTGGCTGCTCAACGGGAAACGGAAACGGGAACAGGCAGCGTGTGGCAAACCTCGTCTGTGGTGGCTTGCCTTTGTCCCATCGTTTCCAGCAGCCCATGCCGTTCTTGTCTTGCTCGTCGATATCTTTGCTTCAGGTTTCTCTTCTGGAGGGAAAAGAAACAGTGATGCAGCCGTCCGCTTGTTCGGGACCGGAGGTGGGTACCACATCTCCCGTCGAGTTACAGTATTCTCTGCAATCATAACAGCCCGACGTATTGCTCCGGCTTCCAATTGTTTGAACGAAGGGCAATCCGTCCAAACTTGACACACGGCCGCGAACCTTAACAAGGACTGGATTGGCGGGCAATCAAGGGCAAAACCGCTTTGTCCGGTCCAGCCCAGTCCCAGCTCGACCGTAGCTAGTGGATCTGCCACCCGAACGTGGCCCTCGCCGTCTCAACTGCAACATTGTTACATGTTCACTACCTCAACTTTCGGTCCGCCGCCGACCATCGCCCTTGCGCTGCTGCATCTGTCTGCAAGACATCTCATCCCGTTTGGAGACATACGGATACACTTGGGTCCGCGAACAGGTAATATTGGACATTGCGACGAAGAAGTCCACGCCATCATGCTCATCCATCACCCACGGTGACAGGAAGTCAGAACGATGAACTTGGTGTCTTATGTTCAGTAACTTGCTCCCACGGTTGACAACGCCGTAAATTGTTTTTGTAGGGACGAAACCGATCCACTCCCGTGCTACCATTCGGCGCTATCCTTGGGTGAAGGATGGTCTCCTGTCTGGTCCTGTTGTGGTGCTGCTGCCCTGCAGTTCCTCCTCGGTGGGCTGAGTACCCAGCCTGTACCTCGACCGCACAACGCGGCCTGTCCTTACTTGATGGATACACAGGTTCCATGTTGCGACAATGGTGATGGTGAGCGCACTGGGCCAGTAGCGGCTAGTGCACCCCCTGTCGGGCCTTGAGTAGAGGCAAATGTCGCTCGCTTGATGGAATCCATTGGCAACGGATACTGGTCTCGACGTCCCGGGGAAGAAGCCGTCGGATGGGTTTGAAGTTTTGAGCACAGAATATGCCTTTTGAGTAGTTACCGTGCTGTTCCATGGCGGTCAGAGGTAGAATCAACTACAGGAGATGGGCGAGTCAGGAAGACGACGCCAGACTGGCATGACTGGGTATCCAGAAGGCTTCTCTGCATCTTGATCTGCTTCGCTGGCATGGCATGGCAAGGTAAGGCGGGCTGAAAACCCGTCCGCCAATGGTGCTGCCCCTGACTGGCGTCGCCGGGGCGGTATTCTCGTCTGGAACGTGGCCGGCAGCTGGTGACCGATAGAATTCGTTGCACGCAACGTCGACCGCGCTGCAACTGGTGTGTGTGCCTGAGTGGGAACACCCTCCCTTCTAGATGGAATGTGAACACGGCCATACCACTGGGCACCACCCACGCCATGTCCGCATCCGTCCAGATTGGCCAGTACAGTCGCCGCCGGCTGAACAGTCCTTGAGGATTCAACGACCGGGAGTAGAGAAGCCAGAGGATGCCGACCAAGCTGAACTATTCGACTTCAGCCATGTTCATCCAGTTTGACCTGGGCCGTCTTCGGTGTCATGGCGGGATGCGGTTGTGTACGTAGCAGTCATTGAGCTGCAGCGGCTAGGTGTGATGAGGGGAAGCCCATGTGCTGTGCAGACGTTCTACTGTGGTATGGTTGTCACGTCGCCTCGCCTTTCTTCAAATGGAGTCGCGGACGGACGGCCGTACCTGACCTTCCCATGCTGCAGCTCGTGCGGGTCTCATGAGGGTCCCAATGGGTCCAGTAGCTTGCGCTGTCACTTGACTGTTTGCTGCAGTGTCCCATCGTCGAGGGTGTGACTGTGACCACTGATCAGTCTAGTCTATGTACTCGGTTTTTCTAAAGACCCAGACAGAAAGTTACGGCTGGTGTTTGTATCTCTATGCCAGGTTCTTCAGAAGACTCTGACATCACTTGGACATATTTGAGGGCGTAGCAGAGGTATGTATGCATGTCGGCGACCGGATGGTTAACTGGCAGACAACGTTCATGTTCCGGTAAGTTGAGCGTTGGGTTGGCTTAGAAGGGAGACAAGAACGCACATCCTGGCTGGATAATTACTAGTGTTGGAGGAAACCAATGAGAGTGAAGACGCGCGTGGGAGAGGATAGCAGGTGAGGGAGGATTGGTAGAATTATTCCGCAAGGTACCTTACGGAGCGCTTTGAGGCGGACGATGGGATCAATGGAAAAGACGGGAGAAACGGAAGGAGGTTGTCGAATTGTTGGTTCCTGCTCTCACTTCAGTCTCGGCGGTGCACCTCCGTCAACCAGCCTGCACCTGCCATTGAAGCACCAGTGAAGCAGCAGCGCCCAAGTGGATGGATTGGCACATTGGGTGACGATGCGCGGGTGTGCTGGGCTGCTAGGGACGCGGGAGAATCATACCTAAACTTTTGGTTGCAGCCACGAGGTCATGTACCGCTGCAGTATCTATACCTGCCTGTGGGTATCTCCTAGTGGATCCCGTCTGGAAATGTGCGTTGTTGCAAGTGCAAGTACGGAGGCGTCGGGAAGGTGCCTCGGGAACCCCAGTCGATCCTTCCATTCTCTTGAGGCGGTCGTACCTTCGTCTCGTATGTCCACCGGTAGGTACGAATATCGGTTCCTACCTTGGTACCTTACCGCAAGTGCGGCGTGCCTGTGTCTCTTTCCTCGACAACGCCTCCGAAGCCCTCCCAAGGATTGAGACCCAGCTGGTGTTTCCCCGGAATGAAGAAAAAGAAACATAAACCCCAAATCGTCGACGGTGAACGACGCTACAGACGACTCCTCGCAGAGATCGAGAAAGAAAAGAAGTCAGAAAAACAAATACTATCGTATCGTGCCCGCCCAAGACCCCTATCGGCCATCTACCTCGAGCTGCTCGCCATAGACTCTTGACGCTGTATGGTCGTTTACAATTGCAATCTCTGCCTTCTTCCGTACCGCCCAGAGAGTCACACACAGCGAACATCGGACACAACTTTGTGGCTACCCGGGTTCCCGCGGGAAGGGAAGGCACTTTAATCGGATCCATCATCGGGCCCAGACTAACGCCGAAATAGTGTTTCCCTTAACCGCCAAAATGAGCACTCAAACGGCGTGGGATGGTTGGTGCGGGATGATGGATCATGCTTGTGTCCTCGGATCCGCTGGCTTTTCCCGTCACGTCACTTCCCAGTTTCCACTTCTCCAAAGGCAGGCAGGCCACAGTCATCGACTTTAGAAGTATGTGCCCATATTGGCGGGCCGGCATGCAAAGCTTCGCCAGCTTGCAAGCTATCGGGGGCCTGCGTACGGGCGCTCGTCTGAGGTGACACAGTACCTACTGACGGCCATCACGATCACGGGTCAGGCCAGGAGCCAACAGCGAGCGCCACGGCCTGATTACGAGCTCGCGCCCCCAATGACACTCACCACCGTATGGCCTCCTCAAGCAAGGCTTCAGACTGGCTTGGTTGCTTTTGTGGTCAGCTTTGTCGTGCCTATACCACCAAGAGCATGGCGTAAGGCGAACCATGCTCGCGATTGGCAGCGTCGATCGCTACGTAGTGGTGTACGTACCGTATATGGGCAACTCTCTTGCTGACAGGCTTCCTACACATGCAGGTTGATTTGGATTTGATTTGCATTTTGTACTCCACGTCAGGAGAGGCGGCAGATGGCAGCTGGAGATTCGGCTTAAGCCTGAATCTCAACTGCAAGTCTCGCTTGCCTGCCAGATAGAGCCGTTTCTTGCTTGTCTTGGTTGGTGCGTCTCATTGTCTCAACTTCGACTGAAACATGTCTTTGTCGTTTTCCCTGGCGACGGACGTCAAGGTACGGATACTTCAGCAATGGTAGGTTGCGCACCCGGGTGTATTTCGGTCTACCTACACGTACATTGCACCTTGACTCGACAATGGCGACCGTACAGCAGGTACACAGTCGGTAGGGCATGCAGCGTGGCAGCCAGCAGCCTACCGACTCCCACCCATCTCGACTGTACGATAGTTAGTGTTTGGAGGCTAGACGGAACGATGTCGTTTGGAGTAGCGAACATGTTGCGCTAATGTTCACTACTTTGGGTTGCGGAAGAACACAAGGCCACAGCACCTGCCACGCTCCTGTGTGACCATGGAAAGAAGGACACCCAAACTTGCTTCATGCCAGGTACGGATACTTCATGCATTGTTTCGGTGCCATTAACGAGGATATACACATTCTGCACCACTGAGTTCGATACTGGCGCTAGTATACAGCAACTCTCCCACCGGAACATTACTCAGTCCAAGAAAATTTGGCCTTGTTCTGCCATCTTCGTGTTCGAGAAGACCGGCCTGCCATCACTATGTATTATCCCATCTACCAACTATTTACCCTCCAACGACCTTTGCAGAAAGCAGGGACCCTCCCCCGACTTGTGAGCGAAGTATGATGCAGACGCCAAACAACTGCGACAAGCTGTAATGGCCAAGTACTCGTGGCTTCAAGCAGCACGGACTGCTGGGCTCCAGTCGGACAATGCCATACTGTAGCATGGTTCGCTGTGTGCCGCACAATCCAGCACAGGACGACGGCAACATCGACGATTGCTGGTTACACGAAATACAGCGTAAGATCTCGTCAAACACCCTGCCCCTGACGTTCATGACATCCATAGATCCCTTCAACACGCGGAAGACCGACTCAAAGGAGTACCTGTATCTGTTCGTAAACGTACGCCTCGACCATCGGATCGTCTGCATGAAGCTGGCACGGCAGAGATCCTCAACATCAAAGGGCTGTCACACCAAATCGACAGCCACCACAAGCAAACTCGACATCACCAATACTATTGTGGAGCTATCCGTAGAGTCTTCTCCGCGCAAGCGGTGGTCGTCGCCTGCTTTCGAAAACCGATCCCAAAGCCCAAGGGCCATCGCAGAAGACGACCCCACCTCTGAAAGCATGGGGCACCGTCAAAGTTCGGACGTTGATGGAGAGGGCAAGGGAGCATCCTGAAAACAGCATAAACGTCTAATTTCTGCTTCTGGCCAGTGGTTCATCATTGGATACCGACATTGCCTCCAGTAACGCTTTAATCTATCTGCAGCTAATACGTTTGAAGCCTTGACCGTCAAATCGCCCTCAGCACTGATGCCGTGGTCATCCATGTCCTGTAACGAGAAAATAGAAACATGCCGAGGTCGTTGGCCAGTAACGGGCTCTCGTTGCTGAAAATACGGGTCAGCGTCTTTTTCATACAAACTCAACAAGCAGACTCAGCGCGCGGGAAAAGAGCAGAAAGCCGCTACCGGCGGCAGAGAAGCGGTAGCAAGCTACACACAGCACCGCATGTCAATTGAATCCGACTACGCACAGGATAGCCTCAAATCGGCCCACTGGTGGTCAGTGAGCCATAAGTGTTTCCCCCGAAACAAGGACAGGATCAGACGCTGCCTAAGCAATCCACCCCGGCAACGGCTGCGAGAGCAATACCAATGTCGGTTTTTGCCAGAATTTAATTGCCTGACCGTCGACAGTACAGCATCATGACAGCCAGGTTCAATATGACAATGCAGCGAGAAGTCAGCTCACTGGATGGCATAAGATACCTGTGAGCGCACCGTAGCTGCCGTCCGTATCTACCTTCAGCGGCAGCTGTATATTTTCTTAGTACCCATCTGTCCGATCTGAGCGTCTGACACCTAGCGGATCATCAGCTCACGTGTGCAGAGAAACCTCCAAATCCTGCCACGGAGCTCGGATACTCAGGTCTGCCAGCCAAAGCCTTTTCTCTACCTCACACTCCACATTCGCTACCTAAATCGATGCCAACTATCAAGGGCGGGCTGCTAACATCGGAAGCCAGCATCGTACTAGTGGCGAGGACCTCATTGGGTCAAACTGCTTCATAGCATTTTCTCATCACCTCGTACCCCAGTGCTTCCAACCTGCTGGGCCCGATGCCGCGCCTGGGCTTCCTCCTCTTCTTCTTCAAGTGTGGGCCAGCCTTCTAGCTGCATCCCATTCCAAGGACCGGACTGGCCCGGTGTACGGATACTCATCGAGACGTTGCCGAGTCGAGATGGCGGATGGCGATTAAGCCGAAAGGGTGTAGGTACACGCGCGATACATGCATCGTTTCCCGCCCCGTTGCCCAACTTGGGCCTTAGATGCCGTAGCTAAGTCGATAGACCCGTGCATTGCAGGTCTTTTTCCAGCCCTCGATTCCTCTTCCTTTTCGTCGACGATTTAGAGGAAACTCCCGGAACAATGCCTACAGTCGATGTGGGCGAAGCTGAAGGAGAATTGTAGAGGCATGCTAAGCGACGCAAAAATTTTGATCCCTCATAGAGTGAGTCCCATTCCAGCCGTCCGGGAGTTTGAGGTCCAGCCAGCCGGAGCAAGGAAAAAAGTGTGAGACATGCTACACGCATGGGTAGCACAAAACCACCAAAAGGGTTACTCCATCCGAAGATGATGAGAAGCCCACCGGGCCTATCTACCTACAGGACGGCTACACACAGGAACCGCTCAGTACATCGACCAACACTGATAGATACGGTGTGTGCTGAAAGGCTGACAGACACCAATGCAGCCGAGAAACCTTCCAGCCGGCCCAGCCAGACAGATGGGTATCTATGGTTCGGACAAAGTAGGACCGGGTGCTGTCCTGTGCGTCGCGAACCCAAGTATCCGTACCTACTAAGGTATTCAGTGAGGTGGGGAGGAGAGGCGGATGATGGATCAGCCTGCATTCCGGCCTGCTTTCCGTAGCCGTTCCGTTGATCAAGGCCGCTCACCGGAGAAACGACATGAAAGAGATGCTCAGCTCTACGCCTCAAACAAGATACCTGTGGCTCTTGACGAAGACCTGCGGAACCTACATTCCTTCCGATACGAGAGAGGCTTGCCTTGTGCCGACAAGCAATGCGGACTGCAAAGAAGACGATTGCCATGTCGTCACGGGGAAGGGTTGATGCTTTTTGCTCGAATTACCCTTTCGGCCAGGTCCCTGATCGTCCAGCAGATTGTCCCCTGCCACTAGGACCCTGAATAGGATGGTGGTGGTCTGGCCTGACACCCTGGGTCTCGCCTCTCGTCGATTGTATGGTCGCCCCGTTCCCGCCAACCATGTCGTTGCACAACGTCCGAAACCAGTTACCGGTTGCCAGAAATCTATCACCTACACCCAACCCCCCAATGAATCTGCAACGACACCAAAAGGTTTGGGCGAAATGGTGAATTGCTCAAGTGTCCACCGATGGCTTCATTCACATAGGTCTCTACCCCGCTTCTTCAAAGCACTAAATTCCTTCAATGACTTTCGGCTCATGTGCATCATGTACATACATAGTAACGCCGGGACCATTCGAACGTGCGTGTGGCAGGGGGAGGGAGATGCGGCAAATCGCAGTACGATTCTCATTTTCCCTTTCCTCACCCACCATGGCAACTGCTCTCAGATCACACTGCCCACGCACTGGCAGTTCGCGCTTTGCCTATCGGGAGAGCACGGTGCGGGCGCTCATATATCAGAAAGTTTCCGGAAGGTGATTTGATCGGTCGAGGAAACACCCCAGCAGACTTTGTTATGTTGATTCATTTCGTTGTGAGAGAGCTTAACGGCATCGTCTATTTCTGTGGGATATTTGCCAAGTGGAAGCTGAGTCGTGTGTATTGTCCCAGCTGTGCTTTGTCTTCCGGTCCCATTTCCCCTTCGTTCAGTTGTTTGTGGATTCAGCTCACCTCTGGGTAGGTACGGATAGCTCGCAGCAGTGAACCCATGGCTCTCTCCCAGGAAAGGGGATGGAAACGCACCTTTGCAGATCATTCTTTCCAGAAAAACGTGGTCTGTCGCTCTCTGTTTCTCTCCACTGCACACATTCAACGGAACCCCGTTGCATTTCGTCTGCCCATCCCGCAGCCCGCTCATCAATGTCGATCCGGCAGCAGCCAGCCACCGGTCGCCGAGAAATAAAGCGGGCTGTCGCCCTCCGCTCTTGCCCCTCCCTTGCCCTCATCTGCGAGTCCCTCTTCTTCTGCTTCTTCCCCTCCAAGCGCAAGACTGCGCAGTAGTGTAGTATACGTACGGAGTATCCATCCGTAGAACAACAAGTTGCTAGTTCGGTCGACGTTAGCGTGTGATCTCTTGGGCTCTAGCGCATGTCTGTGTCTTGGCTCGGCGCGGGTGCCGCAGAGCGGAGGGGACTCCTTGGAGGGGGGGGACGGGGACTATGGAGGTACCAACCACAGCACTTACACACCTTGGCGGCACCATGGGTGGGAGGAGGAGGGCCAGCCGCTTCTGGTGTCAGGTGGGAGGGCCCGCTTCCTTCTGTTGATGGTTAGATACGTACGGATACTAATTCTTTTTGCTGGCTATCCGCAAGGTAAGCAAGGTTGGAGGGAGAAGGTACCAGCCAGGAACCTGGACATGGACAGAAGAAACCCCAACCTGCTATTGCTGGGTGCCTGGCAGCGCCTCTCGAGGGAAGTGCCACTTTGAGTGTTACCCCAAGTTTCCAACTCACCCGTTGTGGAGAACTGACGGAACGAAAAGTGTGCCCATCGGCCGGGGGCTGCATTGCACGTATTGTTGAAGGTCGGAAAGAACGAATGACAAGACACCGCCTCGTTGAGGATGACTCCCATGCGAGCTGCGATTTTCCGGATTGATTTCTCTGAGAAGAGGTCTGGTTGGAATATCGCATTTCGTTGCGATTGGTGACGACTAAGAATCATCTCAAGTCTCAACTCTGCCCAGAGATCGGTTCGTATGGTGTGTAGACTTCTCGCTCGGATAACACGAGCGAGTGGATGGAAAGGTGGGCACGGGAAGCCGACGTCGATCCCATCCATAACAAACCCCCCCTTATTGACATTCTGTAACAAGAGGGCGAGAGAGCAACATCAGTAAAGTGGTTTCCCCTTTCCATATGAGAGAGAGAGAGTGTGTGTGTGTGTGTGTCTCGGCCGAGGAGAGGGAAAGGTCACCCACCCGGTGTGCTGGGTCATACTGTTAGAGAAAACTACCCTTTTTCAATGGAGAACTCTCTTTTGATTTGGTTGCGTCGATCCGTACTTAATTAATTCCACGGCAATGATGTCGAGACTAGGGAAAACTTGAGACGAAAATGAGCATGGGCCTCGGTTTCGTTTTATGCCCCGAGACGGAGACATTTGGGGTGAACAAGCTTGACATGCGCCGTGGTACCCAGCCCAGCAGCAGTTCCCTTTTTTGTGAGTTCGATTCGTAGGAAGGAGGAGAAGAAGAAGAAGCGGAAGCCACTTCTGTGTACCTGAGCCGTTCGATTGGATTGTGAGGTGTTGCTTCTCTTACTATTCTGCTAGAACCTAGATGCCGGTCTCGACTTTGGATCTCGGAGACTGGAGGGCGAGGAGCAAGACGGATGAGGATGAGATGGTCACTCTAGACGGATTGAACATGGTAATGTCCCATGTATCCACCCCACAAGCTGTCGTCCCGTCGGCTTCATACCCGGAGAGAGAGGAAGGGAGGGAGAGAGGTATGGAGGAGACAGACAGCTGTCGGACGGACGAGAAATCCACATGAACAACGGCCTTGGAGATGCTGATTCGTCGGGGAAAGGGGTCGTCTGAAACGAGGCTCTCGACCGCGGTTCCCTTCCTTTGCCCTCAAGTCGAGAGAGAGTCTGGACCCGCGATGCCGTCGTATCTCGGGTCTGACGTGCCGAAGAGTGATGTTCTGAATGGGTGCTTGTTTCTCCTGTTAATGTGTCGTGGTGGGCATTGACTTGCGGATGTGCTTCGTAAGGAGGTAGAAGGCTGCTCTAGCCAGCCATCAAATACTCATGGCTATTCAGAATGATGGTTTATATCCAAGAGTTTTCTCTTTGAGTCGTTGTGATGTCTGTTAAATATTGAGTTGGCTTACCATTGGAATAATGTGACCACAGAGGTACATACGGGCGTCTGTCCTTTGAACAAAAGCCTATGGAGATGGATGATTATACCTTTGTATTTCTCCCATCATATCATTCTCGATAAAGGCCGGAGTATCGTGAGCATCTTCTAGACATTCATATCTCAATACGTTTCGTTCAGTTAAGATCCGGGAAGAGCATTAAATTGGGTGACATTTGATAGAACTGACAATATCTCCTTCTATTGCTAAATTCAGCACATGACCACTGTCACCCTGCTCACCGTGGTCTTGTATTCGACTTTATGAGCATGGGGCGGGCATGCCATTTTGTGTTCCGTCAATTACCAGATCGTCATACCGTCCATCGCAAGGCACGGGAGAGGTCAAATTGAAGCACCTATAGTGAATGGAAACTTGGTTCTCAAGAAGAGCCTTTCGGCCTGAGAATGTGCCACTCGTGAACAGCCTCCCAGGAACCACGGGCTCCTCCATAGTCGCTCACTGTGCATTTCAACAGGGCTTCGGGAGGCGCCAAATGCCTGGCTGGTGCGAGGAAGTCTGCACACCTCTACTGACAGCAGCAACTACGAGCCATGACGTTTAAGCATATTTGATTGACGAATGGGCTCCAACGCCGCCTAGCAGAAGATCACGGTAAAGAATCTACTCGCCCAACGCAGCATTTTGAACCCCCCGTTTTGGTTGACAGTCATCTCTCCCCCTCCAAGAAAGAAGCAGTTCCCGCACACGCCTTTTTCCACAAGTTCATATTCCCATTATCCCATATCAGGCCGGTCTAGTCGCGGGCCCTCTCCTTATTTGAAGTTATGTCCTGTACGTCGTATCTGCGACGCGTCGTCTTTGGGCGGGGTCCCAAGTCTTCGGACATCGATTTGTCGGTTTGTTTTCGTTCTTCGGCTTGGTCGCCTGGTTGTTTATTGGGTCTTGAAGAGGAGGATCGCGCAGTGGCCGAGGTAGAAGTAGATGAAATGCTTAGTTTCTGTATGCCGGGTTAGTTGTGACCAGGGTATGTCCAAATTGATGCCTCGTATTCTCCTTCTGTTATGGCTGGAAGTCGGACGTTGGGCGGTTGGTAGACGTACCGTGGGTCACGAAGCTGCCAAAGTTGCGGCCAACAATGCAGTGCCATGTAGGCCCCTTGCGCTCATCGAACTGAAACCGCCGCAAGTATTAGCAACTGTGTACGGGTCAGGCGACAACGAGGATCATGGTAGGCTCACGGTTCGCTTGATGTGCTGGGCGATGTCCTGGAGATCGTGACTGTCAGTAAATGGCGTCATGCGCTATGTTCTCAGTGGATTGGGGACGCGTACCTTCTCAATAGTGAACTTGGCCATGGCTTCCTGAGCTGTGGAGGGGTCGTCAGAACACAGCGGGGTCCTACGGAGGGGCTTTCCGAGGAATGACGTTACATACCAACTTCAATGGACTCCTGCTGCATATCCTCGGTCTAAGCATCGTCAGTATCACGGGTCGCAGTTGGGCGGTCTGTCGGCGCTCCTCACCATGTCGGCGCTCTTGACCTGGGCTGTTTTTCGGTTGCGTCAGCCTCGTCTTCAACCTTATCCACGTCCAGTTCCTGCACAGATGACCAAGTCTATTGTCGCAACGTACCTTCCAGCTTCTCGCGCGGAGCGGGCGAAGTGCTCTTAGCGTCGGACATTGTGTAATGTCGTGTTGCTGCAAAAGTCTCTGAGTTTTGCGATCTCGTCGTCAGCCTCGGTTCAGCTGATTCGTTCGGTTTGCGCGGCACATCTCGCAAGCCCCTTTTCCAACTTGTCGTCCGCTGCTGCGCCTTCGTCTAGCTGGGAGAAACTCACTTATCTGTAAAGAGGTTCTGAGGAAAATGTTAGTGATCTGATACAGAGCATGGAGGCTTCGACTTACATAGAAATCCTTAGACCGAGGATTTGGCTTGGTTTACGAGTTTCTTTCAAAAGCGTTTGTCGCGTGTTTGGAGCAAGCCTGACAAAGTGCCCTCGACAGGGAAGGGTCCATTCGATCGAGTTGGGTTGTCATGGGCGCACGGGCCATAGTCTTCCTCCCGGGGTGGAAACGGCTACGGCTGTAACCTGCGCTAGCGTTGACAAGGCGGGGCGGAAGGTCACATGGTGATAGCGATAACGACGGGGCGGAAGAAAAAAAAACTTCAAGGCAAGTCCCGTTTCCGTCGTCAATATCATCGAAGCCTTCTCCCATCTTCCTCTGTTTACTACACGACAGCATGTCTCTGCTTTTATAGCCACCACAACCCCCGAGCAGTTGAGCTCATAATCTTTTCTTCTTACTATTGTCGGAGCCTTTTATTTTGTTTTCTGAGATACCCTACACAATGGCTGCTACTGCCGCCGACGCTACTCCATTGGAGACCTCTCGCATCTTCGTGAGAGGTCTTCCGCCCAAAATCACAGATGCGGACTTCCGACAGCACTTCTCAGCTGGAGGTCGTGAAGTCACAGACGTCAAAGTCATTCCTCAAAGGAGAATTGGCTATGTCGGTTTCAAAACTCCCGAGGTTGCTGCGAAGGCAGTGAAGTACTTCAACAGATCGTACATCCGTATGTCAAGGATCAACGTTGAGCTTGCAAGACCGGTATGTTGATACCATCACAATGTAAACAAACCAATGTTCATATACTCATGTTCCCTCTCCAGATTGCAGATCTTGCCCCTGCAAAGGCAAAGGGCACTAGCGGACAGATATCGGTGGCAACACCGTCAGCATCTGTTGCCCCTCCCCCGCCAGTGAAGGGAAGGATGCGAAAAAGAAGCGAAAGCGAGAGGATCTGGATGAGTCGGATCCCAAGCTGCGCGAGTTCTTGCAGGTCATGGGCACTGGTCAAAGCTCTACAAACGAGATGTCAGATGTCATGGCCTCCGCCGCTGTTAAAGAGCAGAAGAAGTTGCTTCAGGACGATGAGAGTGACGACGAGTATGAGGCCATCCCTTCTCGGCCTGAGAAACGGCAGATGAGGGAGGCACCACAGGGAGATGGTCGTACAGAGCCTTTGCCGGAAAAGGACGAGGCGATGCCCGACGCTGACCCCGTCTCTGAGCCGACGGAAGTCATGCCTCAGGACGAGATTACGTCTGCCCCAACCAATGGTGCTGCCACAGACGATGATTGGCTTCGTTCGAGGACAAATCGACTACTTGATCTAGTTGAAGATGGCGAGGTGCCCCGACCTCCAGTCCAGCAAGACAGTGGAGAGACAGTCGGAACTGCTCCTGTGGAACAGCAAAAGCAGCCGGCGGCCGAGAAGCCCAAGGCCGAGACTGACGGTGGAGCTGTAGCTCAAGACGCCCCGGTTTCCCAGGAGGTCGAGGAAGATGCCACCCTCGCCACCATCAAGAGAAACTCTAGACTCTTCGTTCGAAACCTACCCTTTAGTGCCAAAGATGAGGACTTGCGGGCACACTTTGAACAGTTTGGGGAGCTGCAAGAGGTAAGCAGAGTGCTTTTCATAACAAACTTACGCCACTCCGTACCATACAATCATGTGATGAATCCAGATAGGGACAGCTTACATCAAATGATGGTTGATGCGAACCTTGGATCGGTATTTTAGTAGATGCTTCGACTTTCTGAAAAATGATTGCCTTCTCAGCTCCTCATATGAACTTCAAGGATAGGCTCAGATTGTTAATTTCCCACTAGGTACATCTGCCAGTAACTGCTGGAGGCGCAAGCAAGGGCTTTGCCATGGTCCAGTTCACGAGTGCCGAGTCAGCTGTTGCTGCATTCCAGTCGACGGATGGTCAGACTTTTCAAGGGCGTCTTTTGCACGTCTTGCCCGCTGAGGGAAAGCGCGATGCTGGGCTGGACGAGTTCGCAATCTCAAAGCTGCCCTTGAAAAAGCAGAACCTGATCCGAAAGAAAGCCGATGCCGCCTCTAGCACGTTCAACTGGAATTCTCTGTACATGAGCCAGGATGCAGTCAACGCTTCCGTGGCAAGCCGGCTGGGCGTGTCCAAATCAGAGCTGCTGGATCCCACTTCGGCTGATGCCGGTGTCAAGCAGGCCATCGCCGAGACGTCGATCATCCAAGAGACCAAGTCGTACTTTGTGTCGAACGGCGTGGATCTCGATGCCCTCAAGTCGCAAAAGCGGGGCGACACGACCATTTTGGTCAAGAACTTCCCGTTCGGGACTACGATGGAGGAGCTGAGAACCATGTTTGAGGAGCACGGCACAGTCCTGAGGGTGCTGATGCCGCCCAGTGGTACCATTGCCATTGTCGAATTTGCGCAGCCAATACATGCAAAGGCTGCCTTCGCTAAGTTGGCGTACAGGCGTATTAAGGACACTGTGCTGTTTCTGGAGAAGGGCCCGAAGAACTTGTTCAAGAATGATGCCTCAGTAAACATGACGCAGGGCAAGGAGGATCGGCCCACCAGTGTTCAGAAGTTGAGCGTCACAGAGCTTTTGGGACGGGACGACCAAGGCGAGGCCAGCGTTGAAACAACCTCACTGTTTGTCCGGAACCTCAACTTCTCCACCACGACGGATAAGCTGGCGGAAACGTTTAAACCGTTGGACGGCTTCGCCTCCGCCAGAGTGAAGACAAAGATGGATCCGAAGAAGCCTGGACAAGTGCTCAGTATGGGTTTCGGCTTTGTCGTCTTCAAGACAAAGGAACAAGCGCAGGCCGCTCTCAAGTCCATGGACGGGTTTGTGCTGGAAGGGCACACCCTTGCTGTCAAAGCTTCCCACAAGGGCCAAGACGCAGCAGAGGAGCGTCGCCGGGAGGACAAGGCCCGCAAGGCAGCGGGGCAGCGGACCAAGGTCGTCATCAAGAACTTGCCCTTCGAAGCGACCAAGAAGGACATCCGCACCCTGTTCAGTACCTATGGCCAGCTCAGGGCGGTGCGCCTGCCGAAGAAATTTGGCAACTCGACCAGGGGTTTTGCTTTTGCGGAGTTTGTCACACCCCGAGAGGCGGAAAACGCTCTCAATGCATTGCGAGACACCCACTTGCTGGGCCGCAAGCTGGTGCTCGACTACGCCGAGGCCGAGGCGGTCGACGCGGAGGAGGAGATTGCCAAGATGCAGCGCAAGATTGGGGGTCAAGTCAACAAGGTCGCTCTCTCGCAGCTCATGGGCCAGAACAGGAAAAGGGTCACCATTGGAGACGACAATGCCGACGAGATGGATATGTGAGCGGTTGGAGGAACATGAACATCAACGGTCCCAAGAGAGAAAAGATAGAAGCGAATCCAAACTTGTGTCGGTGTTATGCCACCATCGTCTCACAACATTTCCCTGACCAACTGCACTATCGTCGCGTCATTCTCGTCTTCCCCCTCAAAGTGACAATCGATACTACCAACTCAGAAACAGAGAAGTTTGGTTCAGGTATCTCCACACGGTGTTGCCCTTTGGTAGTTACTTTCTTTAACTTCCGTGGTAGTCCACTTCTGTAATTCTGTATGCAAATCTGTCTCACCCATCCCTGGCCCCGCGATTTGGGCCCCTGCTCACCCCCTTGTCACCCTTCCGATCAATTTTTTCCCGAACAGAACACCTCCTGCAAAAAATAAACCGTCCCGCTATTGGGGCACCTTTCCCCATGTCAAGCCCACGACGGGAACCAAAGGAGTTTGTTTTGTCAAACGGTGGGGTCCTGGAGAGGGCGGAAACTGCAAGTCAACTACGGACTAATACTGTCTGTGCTATTTGGGACTTTGCCCCGTGCACCAGAACATCAAATGGCAATAGCTTCAATACGCGAGAGAACCATCTTCGTTGCAGATGAGAAGGGATGGGGAGGAGAAGAGTGGGAGGAGGAAACACGCGGGGAAAGGTAGAGGAGAGCGAACATCATCCTTCCACACTAAAAATCTTTCTCTCATCTGTCATTCCGCCTCCTTCTGCCTGTCCTGCCTCGAGCTGCGTACTCGTCTGTCCCTCTTCGCCTCCTTGACCCGCACAGCAGGAATGCATCTCTCTCCCCTTCACTCGGTGTTTTTGTCTCTTTCTAATCTGGCAACATACCAGCTTCACTGCGCACTATCCCCTTTCTTCGCCTCTGTTTCTAACTCTATCCTCATGTTTTGTCTTTCTTACTCGTTGCTATTTTGCCTCTCGTGTTGCGAAGGATGTTCCAACTTTTCATGAGAGAGCGGAACGGTGGGGAGGCCCTAGATCAGCACCCACGCCGAAATCGAAGGAAAAGGTTGCCTATCCGTCCCATCTGCTTCCAGACTCGCCTCTAGAAAGAGTCGGAGAACTCTCGATTGGACGGGTCTGAATGAGTGACGGTGGTGGTGCTGGTGCTGTATGGTTTGGTGCGCGTGGTTCGTGCAGATCCAGAACCGTGGTCTCTACCTAGTTCGTCCCAAGTTGGCCCCCCCGTGAAGGCCAACGTTCCTTGGACCAACCCCCTTGCATGCCAGCGCCCTCAATGTGTCCACCCCTCCAGCTTCGTTAGTTTCCCATGATTTGCCATGTGGAGATGGCCCTTGTCGAACTGGCAGACGATCATATGCACACTCACACCCGCTTGGTACCGTACCGTAGTCGTAGGGCGGCAGGGAAAACCTCAACGGGCCCCATATCGACAAGACTGGCTCCCCGATGCTTCCTAGCTCAGCTACGGCTAACCTCGAGATCCTCCGAGCTGTCAAGTCATGTCAGTCAAATTCGGGTCATACAACGTCGCTGGATTTGCCAATAGAATCACCCTCCTCCCTTATCCTCCTCTGACAGGCACGGCTCCAGCCCTGTGCTTGCTTCCATACTGCTCACTAACGTCCTGCCTTCTCTTTCGCTCTGCTTTCCTCACCCTGGCTAGCTTCTCTCGGAGACCTGATCCGACTTAGTCTGCCGGAGCTTCCTGTCTGCACCTCTCCATGTCCCCTCTGAAGCTCGTGCTCAGATTTACTGCCCTCTCTTTCACTGCCCCGACATCCCTTCCTTCACCCAGACCACATTCCCGCTTCAGCAGTGCTGACCAGCGCCGTCTAAAATGAGATCTTCCCTTCACCCCGCTCAGAGGGTCCAGTACGCAGGAGTCGGGAAAGTCTGGAGCCTCGAGCGGGGCTCACAGGCACATGTTCTGTATCTACCGTCCCAAGGAGGACAGGGCCCTTAGACTAGGAGGAGACCACAGGCATACCCGGGGAATGGATGAGGAGGACGATGAAGCAGAGGGCTAAGAAGGGGGGCGTGTGTTGGCCGTCGATCTGGAACCCGGGGTGCCGAACGAAATTTCGAAAGCTCTCTCCTGCTCTGTCAGTCCCGTCTATCGCCGTCTCTCTCGCCCCGTAGGCTACGGTGTTGAGGGTGTCTGTCGAACGATATTGAACCTTCCCTCGCCTCCTCTCTTTTCAGACTTTGGAGCGGGTGTACCTGGCTTCAGGAACTTATATTGACGTACGTCCCATGCCAGTGTCATTCCTTTCAACTTCCCCAAGCCTTCTCTCCATCTTCCAACATCCTTACTTTTCTTTTGCTTGATCCAAACACTCAAGCATAGGAAAGGCACGTGTGGCTCGCCCGCCTTTTTCCAAACACAGTTTCTTGAGCCGCGGAATTCAGACACACGCTCATTTTACTTTGCTGTTTATTTCCCAATCGGAAAACACCATCTTTTTACACTCACTTCGCCATCATTCCTCTCCCACTCTTTCAGCCCTTCTCCCGAGGACATACCACGAGGAATCTTGACCCCGGAGCATATCACACGGAGAACAAGCGCCCTTTTGCACTCCTTCACTTAGCAACAAAACCCATGCCCGCCCCGTCACGGAATTCCTGAAGAGTCATTCCTTTCACCTACGTCTTTTTGCCTCTCAGCAGTCCTCCATTCTTTCACTCAGGGGTTCCGTGCTTGTCAAGGAATCCTTTTACAATCCAGTTGAAGTCTCTACTCTCCTCGTGGGGTAGAGAGAAAGAACGGACCAAGGTCGACGCATCAACCAGTCCCATACCAGTCCTCCACAAGGACTATCTCCAGAAACACAAAGAAAAGAAGATTGCTTCCAGAGGAAGCAGACCAGAAGATGATGGAGCACCCGCGCCCTGTGCTTCCCTCTCAACGCTACTCCCCTTCCCCAGTCTACAGCTACGATAGCAGACGATGCACGCCAACTGGGCGGCAGCCGTTGAGGGAGTCGACGGGCAATGTCCAGTCCGCCGGCTCTCACTTAGGAAGCCTCGCATCGTCATGCCGTAATAGCCCACTTGGGCTCTTCTCACCGAGCCTGACGAGCATACCCACTCCACCCATCGTACCATCGCAGGCTGGCTCTACCTACAGGAGCAGCAGCAGCCTGAGAAGGCCAGATGCTCTCCACATGGCCAGAAGGGCACGACATGACATCAACCCCATCTACTATGCCCCCGAGTTCCGGCCTTACCGGGACAAGCAGGACCAGAAGGATCCCAACGAGAAGCAGATCTGGCCTCGTGTGTTGGAAGATGCCTTCCTCGACTGTGAGTCCCATTCCCTTGAGCAGCTTGAAGTCCCTTCTGACATGGCATCTTAGCACTGCTCATCATCCCGCATATGGGTAGAAAGAAGTACAGCATGCAGGGCAAGCAGTTTGGGCGTAACATGCTCATCAGCGAGTACCTGTGGATCGCGTACTGCTGCAGCTTGCAGCCAGGACAAAAGGCAGAGGAGAGAAAGAGAAAGCAAGTCTCCAGCCACATTCAAGTGGTCAAGAAGATGTTTGAGAAGCACCGATGCTGTAAGTTTTGGTTTTCGGCCTGCTTTGGGGACTCGAGCTAACATATTTCAGACCACTTCTTTTTCGTCAAGGACCCTGATAAAAGCGAGGCCCGTCTCAAGGACAACATGGAGATTGCCTCCTTCAAGGACAACCCGGTCCTGGTTGCCCTCGCCGAGGGTCGTCTTCCAGACGTGCGTCCCAACTACGAGTACTTTGCCCAGATCCTTGCCATGGACTCTCTTGTGGTCATGAGGCCCAAGACTGCTTGGATCTTCGTCGCTTCCTCCAACGTCAGGATGGAAGAGAACGGAGACGCCTATGACCAAAATGGCAAGCCTCTCGACCCTGACTACTACCCCCACTTGGAGAAGAACATGCACAAGGAAGACGGTCTCTCCAGAGGCCTCAACGGTAGTGTTCTCCTACACGAGTACAATCGCGAATTGGCGCAGAAGGAATCCGCAGCTGTCACTGAGATGTCCCAGGAATGGGAAGCCAAGTTCCCCCCCTTGCACAAATCACTCGAGCACGCCATCCAGGAAAACAAGTGGCTTGACATCTTGGAGATGACCGTCACGCTCGAGATCCATCCCCGCAGCAACTTCCCCGCCGGATCCGAGCTCAACGGCTTCGTTGAGCTAAGCATTTCCCAGCCCGCGCTCCAGAACCACCGCTGGAAGTGCGTCACCAAGCTGGCGAGGCCCGAAGAGCTCCGCCGAGCCGAGAACGAGCCCTGCATCATTGAGCAGACGAGCGAGGTCGGCGTGCAGTACACTCACCGTCCCGGATGCCAGGAGAGCAAGTTTGAGTGCGATTGCCGTAGCCGTCCTAGACAGGACGTCCGCGTGCCCTTCCCCGCGGCCGAGTGGGCTAGCATCCTGAGCACGTGTGCCGGCTACCTCGAGCCCGTCGACAACAAGAAGATTGAGGACGACGAGGAGAGAGCCAAGGCCGCGGAAGACGCCGCCCTCGAAGCTGAGCGTACCACGGCGGAGCTGATCCAGCAGGTCGGCATGTTCCAGGAGCTGTGGTCTGCCCCGCCCGACAACTCTGACCGCCGCAACTGGGTGCGCCGTGGCATCATTCTCTGGAAGTTCCGCACAATCCACGCCTTTGATGACAAGTGGAACCCCATCTTTGAGAAGCCCGCGCCGCAGAAGGGCAGGAAGCCCGCCGAAGAGGACGGCGAAGACCAGAGCTCATCATCCCGACGGGGAAGCCGATCAAAGCGCGTCTTCAATCCTCCCGGCACGACTTGGCGCTTCCTCACGGCCCTAGACCCCGTCTCCTCGGCGCATCAGCAGAACGTCTGCGTCAACCCGGCATCTGGCCCGAGCCGGGAGATTCTCATGGCACCGACACCTCCCTACTCTCACCACCTCGCTGCCGTCATGAACGACAACATGAGCAACGCTTGGGAATCCGTCACCATGCCGGGCCAGCTACCAAGCCTGGCATCCACCGGAACACTCGGGCTTATGGACAACTACTCACATGGACTCGCAACACCTCCACCGACTGCCTCCCTCAATTCGTCATACGCAAGCAGCTACGATGGCAGTCATGAATTGGCCGGCGGACACCACCATCACCAGCTTGATATGTTCACCGCTGCGGCCTGCACGAGCTCCATGGACAACCAGGCCATCGTCGCTGACATGTCATCTGCTGCTCCCGATCCGTACCTCTCGGCGACTGCGGGCATCCAAGTTTCAAGCGGTGTACCTGTCGGCGTCTACGACGAGGGCGAGGTCGAGGGCATCCACGATTGGGACACGGCGACCTCGTCTTTCCATGGCCTCCACCAGTGGAACGGCTGGAGCGAGGCGGCGTCAGACCCAAAGACGCAGCAGTGGCAGAACGAGAACCACCGCAGCGCGGCCGCCAACTCCAATCTCTGGGCCGAGAGCAAGGACCACCACACATGGAACCAGCAGCCGTGGGCCCAGGCCGTCTCGGCAGTCGCTGCCGTGGCCGGCACAGACGGCAGATCCGGATGGTCACCAGTCGACCAACAGCGCAGCAGCGGACTGCCCTCGCTGGATCAGCTCACCCCGCTCAAGTCGTTGACCGGCAGCAGGAAGAGGGCGCGCTCCAACAGCCTCGACATGGAGAACAGGGAGAACTACCCTGCATCATCGATCCAGAAGCTGGTGCACCATCGAGCGCCGGCAGCAGTGATGGACGAGGCTGGTGGTCACGGACACCGCAACTGGGAGTGAAACTTCACTCGGCCGAGCTGTACAGACAGGAAAAGGGAAAAGGGAATGCAGCATGTTTCTGGGAGATGTGTGGCCCTCCTGCTTGCTTGCGCGTACGTTGTAAAACTGGAGATGATCAACCTCACATGCAGCGGCATCTGAGTAAAGGTGAAAAAAAGGATGGTGTGCTTTTTGCGCGGGAGTTTTTGTTCTTGACTTTTGGGTGGGATGGATGATTGACGGCCGACTCATGTGTGAAACGCCTATAAAGGCTCCTCTTGAATGGAATAGGGGCAGAGAAAAAAACATGTTGCAATGTGCTAGAAAGAAACAGCAACTTTTGATACCAATAATCACGTTTTGTTATTACAAGAGTTTTTTTTTTTAAGCAGGGAGAAAGAAATGGAACTTATTACTCTCACTTGGTCCCTCAGCAGAATGTGAAAACAAAGACTGCTTCGATTCCCACATCACGGTTACATTGGCCCGACAAGAGACGTATTGTTTCTCCTGTCATCCTTCATGCCCGCCAAACATTGGTGTTGGGACGAGCGACTGGTTCAGAGAGCTTCGCTGGAGTGATGAGATGAAACGCTCAGAAATGTGGCCTGCCTGCCTGCTTGCCTGGTGTTCGCATTCGGGGGGTCACCTGTGGTGGGTATTCTCTTCCTCTTCTTTTTTCTTATTTCATCAGCGTTTGAGGTGATGGAAGCTTAAAAGATCAGATGATCCTCTGTTGCCAAGACTTATGTTTTGTGAGACGCTGCCAAATTGCGGTTCCTCCGTTTCTTTGCTTTGCCCTTTGTCGCAAACTCGACGGAGCTCTCGGTGTGGATTCGTAGTCGTAGTCGTCGTCAACATCGTCCCCGTCCTCGTCACCAGTGCCGCCCGGACGTCACGGTAATAATAATAACTCCCCCCTTCCCCGGCCTCGCCAGGAGGATTCAGTAGCGCGAGTGGGACGTGGGAGTTTGATGTTTCATTCCAAGCAAGAGAACGAGATTGCGGAGCAGGAGAAGCGAGTGGAGGTGTGCACGTGGAGACCTACCCATCGCATCGTGCGAAAAATGTGAGTGCTCAAAACCAGGAGATGGAGCGAGAGAGAGAGAGAGAGAGAGAGAGAGAGAGAGAGAGAGAGAGAGAGAGAGAGAGAGAGGATGAGGGCGATCAGTGGGAAAAAAGAGCGGAGGATGTTCGCAGGGGTTCTTCTTTTCTTAGGATGGGACGGACGAGGGTTTGCGGGTGCATGGTCTGAACAACGTGGACGGCAGCCGCAGGTGAAACGCTGCATGTCTGAACGTTGGTGACCGAGGTGTGTGATATCGCGAACGGTGGCAAAAGAGCGGGAAATAGGGGGTTGGTAAGTCTGGTGAGTTCTCAAGATAATCGCCCGTTCAAGCTACCGTCTTGAGGAAGAAGAGTTGAAGTCGAAAGACTCGTCAATCGCGTGACAAAAAATCTCGGCGGTTGAGCAAGCGCTATCAAGTTGAGCCTCAGCATACTCAGCCACGATTGGACTGGACTGAAGCCGTTCGCCGAGATCTCGCGCCCGCCTCCCGGGGCGGGCTGCTAGCGGTGGAGCAGAAAAAGAAAGGACCGGGATGCGCACAGACGATGAGACAAGACGATTTGTGAATTCCCACCAGCGAGGAGGATCCAATTGTTGATTTGCCGGGGTGTGGCTTGCAGATTGACGGCTCCGGGGCATTGAGCTCGGAGGCGTAGGTGACAATCTCTCGACAAATGAGATGGGGGTGGTCTAAGCGGATGAGAAAGCAGAACTGGGAACACCCTGAGTAACACTTACTTTCCAACCTCAGTGCTATCGTCGACTACTGCTTGCTGTTAATCTTGGTTTACTGTGACGGTTTCTCTGAACACCGATTGCCAGAGCAAAGAAGAGACGTGGTCATGAACAGCGAAAACGGGGCAAAAGAGTGAAAACGAAAGCCCAGTCAGGTATTCGTTGTTCATCGCGGGCTGTGTGCTGTGTACTCCGTAGGGGCCGCTGGTCCGTGTTTCGAGTCGAGTTGCATTTTGCTCTTCTAGACGCCGTTCCAGACGTCCAAGCTCGTGCTTCCCTGACAGCCGTAGACGGCGGTCCATTGCGCTTGCCTGGACTTCGGTCCGTCTGGAATGAAAGGCGGTGGCCGGGGTTGTTGTGTCCAATGCCCATGACTGTTGGCTATTGCCGTCGCTCATTAAGATCCCTGATGTTGGATTTTGGAGTAGGTCGGTGCTCCAAGGTGGGTTGGAATCTTGTATATTCGCGACTCTGTCCGCGGCAAAAGAGACCAGGGTGCTTGGCGCAAGGAGTACATTTTGCGAAGCATTTGCATTTCTGATTTGGCATCAAGTAAGCTGCCATGGAACACTGGTCAGTTTAGTTGCGTGGACAGACGGCAGTGGGAACTTGGCTTTTTTTTTTTGGTTCACTTCCTTGCCTGTTCCATTCCTGGATCCATCTTGGTCGACCGTTTGGCGGCAGTCTGCGCCAACGGTGGCCAATCGAGTAGATTACCAGCCCCTTGTGTCCGGCGGCGGCGCGGCAAGGCCAAATAGGAAAGGAGAAAAGAGGCTGAGTCAATCTTACGGTGGCCGGCTAAGTATTCGTGGACGACACGCGAAATAAGCAAGGAAAAGAGAGAAAATGGTCGACGGGAATGGCCTCGGCGCGTTGAAGGTGGAACAAGCAGCGAGAAGCAAGTGGTGGACTGGATGCCAATCTTGGTAGGCGCCGCAAGTTGCAGAGCGGCAGAGGAACTGGCTGCCAGTCAAAGTGGTGGTGGACCCTTGCGTCTGGAGCTCGCTTAATTCGGGCAGGGGCCGCATGGGCCTGGTTGACTGGATGAGGTGCATCGCGACTCGCAGGACAGTCAGGACCTTCTGGACTCTCTGCAAGAGGAGTGCGAGCCCCTTGTTCCAGATTTTGCTGTGAAGCATGGGGGCCAAAGTCTCTCGGCCATACGTTTTGGCCTGCAGAGATACATGTTTCGTCGTTCGCTGCCCATCCCTGGCTACGAGGACCGTGGCGCCTAAACCAAGATCGGTGCAACCCCACGAGCGTCGGTACCTTACAGCGGGAGAGCAGCGCCGATAGGTACTTGCTGCCCCATACTCCCAAAGGTACCTACCCAGGTGCCAGCTCAAGGTACAGAGCCCCACTCGCGTGCAGCGTAGCGTAGACCATCTCCCGTCAAGTGCCCACCGCCCGACCCGACGTCTCCCCGACCTTGATGCGGATGCCATACACACTACATGCCTTACCGTGACTACCGTGACTACCTTACCTTGCCTTGCCTTCAACCTTGAGACCTGCGCGCCAAGACGTCCACTTCAACCTCCGTCGTTCCCTGTCAAACATCAACCTTGGCTACTTTGGCGCATCGTGCTTGACTGGCGCCCAGTACCTCGCATCAGAAACATGCGCTCTTCTTCGTCCCATACCAGGCCCCGTCCGACCCTATGGCCGGCCCCGGCACACGACCGGTATCGTTCGCTCTTTGGCCAGATGCCCAGAATCCCCCTGTCCGAGTGCCCATCCCGTCCTCCACCGTTATCGTTTTAGATCGCGACTCCCACGATGCGCCGCATGGGTGTTTGCCTGTCAGTCGGGTACCCATCCTGCGTCGATCACGACCCTCGTCCACGGGTTGAGAAGCTAGAAGGGAAAGCATGAGTCTAGATGCGTGTAGGGATATCCAAGCCATGGAAGGCGGCAGACATGGCCCATGGGTGACAGACAGACGTGATATTAAACCAGCCCGGCCTCTCATCCCGAAATGGACTTTTGGTCTTCACCTCACCTCACCTCACCTCGTCGTCTAACAAACGCCCATCCTCCTCGGGATTCGCAAAAGAACGTGGAAACAATCGCATTGTTTCCCTTCTCCCTTGAGGCCCATTCTTCAGACCACCCTAATTTCCGTGGATTTCATTGTACGCGCTTGAGGCAGGCAGGCACCTTCCTTTATCCGTTTTATTGTTCCTTCCTCCCGGACCGAGTTGGCTGTTCGATCCTGCCTCGCCTTTCAACAACCTCGCAGCTTACAACGCCGCCCCGCTTAACCCGAGATATCAATCTTTGACCTCGATCATCGCCGCATGTAGCACGACAAGGCCTTGTTATTCTTCTTTTTCTTTCGCCTTATATTCTTGACTCAGCTGGTATCTGACTGCGCCGGACGTCTTTAATTGTGAATAAAAATTTACGTGTGTAAACAAACAAACTTCTTGGTCTCGTTCAGTCCTGCCACGCCAGTCAACAAACTGATTCACCGAGAATCCGAGAATCCACGTACATAAAACCAACCTTGAGGCGGCCCAGCCATCGATCTCAGGAATTTCACATCACACACACTCACACTCACATCAATCATAACATTACAACTTCGACTCTTCTGGAAGACTCGAAAACTCTACGCTCCTTCCTGCCAAACGATATCTCAGCCCGCCCCACCTGGTTTGTTTCCCTCCCGTCCTTCTTCCAGCTCATACATTCGCAAACCCTAACTCATCTTTTTTTCACCTAGACACACACTCAATCCTTTTTTTGATTTCATCAAATTCTTCACCACTCTTCGTTTCCCTCACTTTCCCTTTGGATTCGTTCACGACTCCATCAAATCCTTCACCACTGTTGCGCTCTGCGAGTATCAAAAGTTTCAGCACTTGAGTATCCCATTCACAAGAACATTCACTCCCTTCTCTTCGCAATTACATCTCAAGAATTCACCATGGTTCGCGTCAACTCCTTCGCCGTGGCTGTCGCCGCCATCATTGGTGTCCCCATGGTCGAGTCTCACACCTGGGTCGAGCAGCTCAACCGCGTCGCTGCCAACGGTACTCTCGTTGGTCCTGATGGCTTTTCCAATGGCTGGGCTGGCCGTCTCAGCGGCTTCGACGATGAGCGATACACTATGCGCATTCCCGGAAAGGGCTTCAATCTCTGCGAGAAGTCCATGCCTGGTACCCAGCCTGCAGAGTTCCCGTCCTTGACCGCTGCTCCCGGCGACTTCGTTTCTCTTCGCTACCAGGAGAACGGCCATGTCACTAAACCGAACACGCCCGAGAACAAGCCCCTCAACCGTGGCACTGTCTTCATCTACGGCACCGCCCAGCCCAAGTCTAACCCTAGCGTGTTCGACATTCACCGCCAGTGGACTGCTGACGGCAAGGGTGGCGATGGCACTGGTCGCCTCCTGGCAACCCGCAACTACGACGATGGCCAGTGTTACCAGGTCAACGATTCGCCTATCTCGAAGGAGCGTCAGGATGCCGCTGTGCATGAAGCCCTTCAACCCATGGGCGTCAACATTTGGTGCCAGACGGCCTTCCAGCTCCCTGAGGATCTGGCCCAGAACTCAGAGTACTCCGTCTACTGGGTCTGGACTTGGCCTACTCTTAAGCCGGGTGTCGTCGCTGAGTCCACGAACGGCCAGTTTGCAGACTTCCCTGTCGGCTTCACGGACGATAAGCGCGCTGCCACCTCTGAGGATATCGAGACCCCTGAGCTCTACTCTAGCTGCTCTGTTATCAAGGTTCAGGGTGAGAAGCTTGTGCCCGGTGCCAAGGCTTCCTCGAACTCCAACAAGGCTACCAACAATCTGTCTGCGTTCACGTTCCCCGAGGAGACAGATTATAACTTCAACGCTATCAAGGACCAGCTCGCCAACCCCTTCCAGGTCAGCGTCGACGGCCAGGCTGCCCCTGTCAACTCAGCCCCCAGCAATGGTACTCACAGCAGTACTCCGGTCGCTACTCGCACTCCGACTCCCACCGTTCCCTCTGGAGTCGCCCAGGGCACCAACCAGGCTCGAGTTCTCACTGTCTCTGCTCCTGCTATGACTCTGTACTCGTTCCTCACTGTCACTCTCAATGCCCAGACTCCTGCCCCGACTCCCACCAGCGGTCAATCGTCTGCTGAGGCCAGCGTCACCCCCTTCCTCCACGGCCGTCATGTCAGAGGTAGAGACTCTTGGAACTTCGGCCAGGGCAACTAAGATGTTGGGGATCCACATCGCGCAAGCATTCTGAGCGACACACATCGTCTACTCAAACGTGCGCAACATGATCGACTTTTTTTGGTTCGACAACTTCTTTCTTTTCTTTCATTGCTATTCTTCAGCAATACCCAGCATTCCCATACCACTCTCTTGGAGTTTGGGCTCTCTTTTCGGCATCGCCAAAGTCATACAGTACATACATTCGGTTACAGGCATCACGTTCTCTTCAACTTTCCGGCAACAACGGCAACGGGAATTGGACAAAGGTCATGAACAGGAGTATCACGGTCGACATTTCGGATTTCTGGGCATCGCCCCAGGTGAACAGGACGGGGCAGGGTTTTTTTCTTTCTTTCTTTCTTTCTTTCTTCTTTTCTTGACGATCCAGGCATATAACCGGAACGGCATTTTCGGTCGGCGTTGGAGGATAAAGGATGATACCAACTTCTTTCTTCTTTCAGTTGCCTCAATATTCTGAGGCCATTTCTTTGTCATCAGGGAGGGTTTGTCTCCCAAGAGTTTCCAAGTCTCTCCCATGGATATATGGGAGGAAAGGCTTCCAAAATGGTTCGCACTTTTCTCAAGGCCTCGCTTAACACCTTTTCTACTCGCTTCGACATTCAGAATTCACGTCTCCCTTTCCGGCTGAGCGGCTCGACGCTGCACTTAAGAGACATGATATGGATTGGAGGAATGGGGTTATGGATTGGATGATGAGAGGTAAACACACACAAAACAAGTAGTCATGGAACGCAGAGGCTATAGGGCTCGCCTGGAGGGTGGTAGTACTATGGAAGCCAGTTCACACACTTTTTCTTCATTGCACTTCTTGGTGACTCGCATGTGACATGATTTGAAGTTTCGGTACAGCCATCATGTGGCCCGGTATGACTGACCCCTTTGGTCAACCCTGATGCTGTTCAGCCCACTCACTGATGCTGTTCAGTCCACCCACCCACTCCATGTAGACCAGTCACCCTCATCAGATGGGTTCATATTCAAAACCAGGGACTTTTGTCCGCACACAGTATCTTCAGTGTGACAAAACAACAATTGCTGGACATCTCTTCTTGATTGGAGACAGTAGAACTGAACATTTGTTCGATGTCGGCGTCTGTGCCATGGGCAGCGTACATGCGTGAAAACAGAAATAATGACGCCAACATCCTAAGAATATCTCAGATGGCCAAGCACGGGCTGGTCAACATCGTAGCTATTCCAGCAGAGCTGAAAGCCATCATGGACATTCTAAGTCTGCTTTTGAGTGGCCTACGAGGCTGAAGTGCAAGCAAGGCTGCCAAAAAAAAACCTCACCAGTTACGCAGGCACCCACCACCCACTCATCGTACCTTCCTGTCCAAGTCCATCCACAACGAAAACAAACCTTCATCCAATACCTTGACGGGACGGACACTCACTGCCATCCCTCTACTTCACACCGCCTAACGCCCATCAAGGGTCTATAGGGCACCTCAATTCCATTCTCGTCACCTGCACAGCAGGCGCCCCCTAGGCCGGGGGTCAGGTCAAACTGTGGCGTGGTTGGTGGAATGGTTAACGGTCACCAATTATTCACGCCAACCAGCCTACTCGACGACAGGCTCAGCGCATACCCGAGTTCGAATCCCAGCATGAGCACCTTAAAAAAATAGTTCCCAGCATGAGCGCCAAGAGATGTAGCCCCCAGTTCAGCACCGGGGGGTGAGCTCTTTTGCTTTTTTGGATCACTTAGTTGTTTAAGTTTTGATGAAGGATGATCATAGGCTTGATAATGGCTATGTGAGATGTTGTTTATCATGAAAGCATCTTCGCGTGCTTTCTATCTTTATTATATATAGAAAAATCCTCTTGCGTCTAATGAGCCAGAGGAGGTCGAGGTTGAGTGGACGTGGGAGTAATGCCCTTATGTCCAAGTGCCTCATGATTCATCGCCAAAGTCCTACGGGAATGAGATGGTATATATAATTTCTTGCGTTTGCACCCAAAACCAGGAGATGTATCTTTGTAAATAGGTAGGCTGACCACGCTCAAAGCTATCCCACCCAGCCTTCATTCGCCCCCTATATCTCTCAAGACGGGCTTGTATATCATTTTCGAGTGTCGAGATACCCAGTGGAGTAGACGTTTACCAAGGAAGTATGGCGCCTATCAACAGTTGGGGACAGGCCAGGGAAAATACACATGCCTCATGGTCCTTGACCAGCGTCGCGGATAGTACAGAGTCATCGGCTATTATGGCTCCCTCTCCCCTTTTCTACTTCATGTTGAAACATGCAGACACTTAGTCGGCTACGGTGGCTAAGATTCAATAGACGACGGGGGATACGCTTGCAAGTATGCACGACATGAGGCGTCTCTCATTCACTACGGAGGTTTATGCCTCGACCTATGCAAAGTCGACATGCCACGCAAACACGCAAACCCAACGGGTAATCGAATGACGATCATCTTCCATCCTGCCTCGAATACTTGAGCTCATGTTACTCCAGACTCCACATGCGTCGTGCATCAGATAACGTATCGTTATACCTCAGCCTCACTCTCAAGACAAGCAACGTGACCATCCTGATAAGTTTTGCTCTAGCTCATCACCTCATCACCCAAGCTTTCAAGGGCCGAACCTCACATCTCACCGCACTGCGCAATGACAACGTCCTGGTTCGGCTGGTCCTTGCCGCGGTACCCCGTCTTGGTGGCCTCCATCATCTTGACAATGTCCATGCCGTCGACGACCTTGCCAAAGACGACGTGCTTGTTGTCCAGGAAGGGCGTCGGGACGGTAGTGATGAAGAACTGGGAGCCGTTTGTGTTGGGTCCGGCGTTCTGGAAGATGTCATGTTAGAGTCTGGTATCATAATCGCCCATTCTGTCACGTAGTAGAACTGAGTCAGAATGAGAGAGAGAGATCTCTTGACGTACAGCCATGGAGAGCAGACCGGGCTGGTCGTGCTTCAGGTTGAAGTTCTCATCGGCGAACTTGGAGGTGCCGTAGATGCATACCGAGCCGGTACCGTCACCGTTTAGGAAGTCGCCGCCCTGGCACATAAAGCCTTGAATCTGTATGACATTGTCCGTCAGTTGTGTCACGTTATTAAGTATCTTCCACACCAGCTTCCCTCTGATGCAATGCTTAGTCCGGGAGATGGGTAAGACGGCTGGTAGTAGGAAACGGCAAGGAGAGAAAGAACTCACGATACGGTGGAACTTGGAGGCCTTGTAGCCCTGCGGACGACCTCGGGCATCCTTGGATTCGCCAGTGCAGAATTGGCGGAAGTTTTCGGCCGTCTTGGGGACTACATCCTTGAAGAGCTCGAACGTGATGCGGCCGAGTGGTTCACCTAAGGGCCATACCGAAGAAGCGTTAGAGAAACGGTGTAGTCAAACGATAGACAGCAGAAAGGCATGCCCAGATATCAGGGCTTTGGAAATGAAGCCGGTCAGAAACGCAGACCGAGAGATCAGGGTCACACCGAAGAGCCGAAGCCCACCAGCAGCTCGGAGCCCCGGAGCCGGGATTACCTGAGCCGCGATATTCAACCGCCGACGGCAGCGCCTATGTGGCGCAGGGAAGGGGGTTGCTCCAAGACCCTGGACTTATCTGGACGACGACAACCTAGCTCGGTTGTGGACGAGAGTGCCCAGCATGTAAGGCAGAACCTTGCGGGGACCCGTCTCTCTCGGCATATGCACACGTGCACAAGGTCTGCGAATAGCTTCGTGGCCCCAAGACTTCAAGGGGACAAGGACGACAGACCAGTCCATACGACTCGTGCCCCCGACGCACCCGCGCCAAGACATGAGGAAAAGTTGAGCCCCGATGGCAAATGGTTTGATACATACCACCAAGTGTGATGTCGAAAAAGACCCTATTGACGCAGACCTTCTGTATTAGCTCGCCTTCCTGGACAACTCAAATCAAAAAGGGTAAAGGCTAGATCGCACTCTCGGGGTAGTGGACTGCCACTAACTCCCGGTTTCCCGTTTACATAGCAGGATACCGGCCGTTGCTTTCCCACCTCTACCGTGGAAGCTCAAGAGGCTATTGGGGAGGAGGAGGGTGTGGACGCCGAGAGCTCAGCCACCGCCACCGCTTCGAGATGACTGCAGCCCCTCCCCTCTCAGAATCTGGGCCGAGTGTTGGTGAGAAGCGGTGAAAGGCACAGCGATATGTGCGTGAGATAAGAGATAGAGAGGCGGATTTGGAGATCCGCCGCGAAAGCCGCGCGCGGTAAGGGTCCTGGAAGAAGATAGAGGAATAGACTTAGACTTACAGCGGGTTGCCGGATTCCGGGAGCTTCGTGGGAGGCATGGCTGGGGGTGGTAATCTAGCCGTAGGTCGGGACGGGGATAAGGAAACAAACGAAAGAGAAAAAAAGTAGACTCGGCCCCAGCTGCAGTTGTTTCTCTTCCGTGGGCGCCGGCGGGGTGGTGGGCTAAGGTACGTTGAAAGGCGGGGGGGATGTTGAGACTTGAGAGCCAGGCGGTGGATGGTTTCGATATCCCAGAACGAAGGTATGGATTACGGGAAACTTCTGCTGCCATTCACGCCGAGGATTCGCAGGCCCGCACCTGTCCTGCACCTATGTGGGGCCGCCCAGCCCGTGCAAAAGTGCGGAGGGCAACGCACGCACCTGAGCCGAGTTGTCGGAACCCCGGGCAGAAACAAAACTTCCTTTCGAGGAGAACTCCGCCAACGACGGCGCTACACTACACATGTACCCCTCCTACCTTGTCTTGTCTTGGCACATCAGCTTTCCTGCCCAGCTCACCCGGGCGACTGGATGGACTGTCAGCGACATGCAGGTTCAGCCCGCCGATGCGGAGGAACCTACCCAAACGGGCCTCAAACGAGGCATTGGGTTGCAGGCAAAATGCCTCACACAGAGCGGCATGCAAGCCACGCTGAATCCATACTCCCCACCAGAGGGACGTTCTTTACGCGTATCGTTCGTTCGCTGATTGTGCTGCTTGGGCATGCAATGATCAGCTCGCAGCGGCTATCTGACCCGTCTTGCTGGAACCCCTTTTTTGACGATCATGGCTGTGTGTGCCTCCATCATACATGCAGGGCAGGCTGAACGATATAGATTGGGCGTCATCAGCATACTCTCTAGTGTCATCTTCCATCGGCCGTCTTTTATAGATAGAATGAGTCTGCCGCATTGTCAGTGGGTAGGTTGTATCCTCCGGCTTCGATTTGTAAATCGGCCCAACAGCCCACGGCATCAGGACCCTTCATGCGTGACAGATCTGCCCAGATCAGTAGGCCACGGGGCTCCATGCTGCATCGATGATCTCGCTTGTTTAGGAAACGACAAGGTTGGAGGAGCCAGGGCCGAGTATCTCGAGAATCCCAGAGGCGTTTCTTCACTCCGGCCCTAGCTCGAGAACAACTCGGAATGGACGCATCTCTCGTGGTAGCTTTTTGGCTAGATGGTTCTCTGTAGACCTCTGATTACCATTTTGCACAGCCTTCTCAACAAAGAGACTCTATTTGCTCTGCGATGTGACCGAAGGGATAGTCAGAATGAGATTGCGTGGCTTCTCGTCTTATCAACAAACGGTTGACCGTGATTGAGAGCGTCAAATCTACTTGAGATACGGGCGAGCTCTCATCACAGTAGTAGAAAATGTTCACAAGAACAGGCTATTCTTACCAGGAACTCGTACCATCTCTCAAGTAGAGCGGGAATGTAGTCTTGCCCATGGAGCACTTTATTTCCTTGTGTTGCGAACGACTCCTCATGTTACCTGTCACCTCCTCAGCATTGTTGGGGTCTTGGGCTGAACCCAAAGAAGCGACGATGGCCATGAAGGCGAAATTGTAAATTACAAGTAATAAGCTGAAACATATGGTCATACTGTACAAAAAGAGAGAAGAAAACTTCGCACAGAATTCGCTAGTCTGCTGATACCTGCGACATCACACCACGCCAAAAGCTCGAAGCTCGAGGCACTATGGGTGATTTCGAGCCCGGGGGCACGCAGCTCATGCTCAACCTGAAAGCTTGTCTTTCTTCCCTCATCGAAGAGCTGACAGTAGACTGCTGGTAAATCAGAGGCTTACTTGGCTAAATACCTCGCGGGCTCAAACGGCGACAAAGTTCAAGCTCAATCGACGCCTAGTGTTGAAACCAGTTGTGTCCGCTTCCATAGAGACGTGGAGAGTAATTCAGAACCATCACACGAATGTGATAAAGCCCATTAAGCAGGCATCAAACCTCCTATAGTCCAAGGTATACTTGTCCAAAAAAAACCCAGGACGAAGAAGTGGACATTCTCCTCCGTCCGAGTCACAGCCCATGCCGGTTTGAGCTCCATGTAGCCTCATCTTCAGCAACCTCTTCAACCCTCACCATCACGCTCAACTTAGAACGTCGGCTTCATTCAGCTAAAAAGTCCGAGCAGCGAAATCCGGTGCGAGTCACCATCACCGTCAAGATTCATCCTCCAACTCACAGTAACCTTTACATCTAAAGAAACGCCGGTACTGCATGCAGCAGACCCGACAGCGGCGGTCATTCCATCAAGAGAAGCGCAAGCAGCGAGATGAGCCCAAATATTCACTCTCATCCCATCATCGATACTCAGAAGGCGTACACTGAGGCTTTTGGGAAGAGGACGTCAAACCCTAAGGTGCTCCTCCAGACCGACTGCACACACAGACACCCCCGAACGGTGAAATTCTCGGATGGCCCGTCTCCCGATCGGCCGTCGTCCGTGCCGAGGCCGGGGTCCGCCGAAGATATAGTACCTTCCTCCGGGATGGGCTGTCCGCTGACGGCTGTCAAAGTGTGTCAATGTGACCAGGGGAACAAAGCATTGTGGAAAAAGGAAAAAGAGGGAAAAAAGACCCGCGCGGCCACAATTTCATGGGCGACAGGGACCCCCAGGAGGGAACTTGACTCAGGACCACCGTGAATAAGTCCGTACCTGGCAAGGGCACGCGAGACAGGACCGGTTCGCCGTACAGAATTCCTCGTGAGATCGTGCGCTAATATTGAGAAGCACGTCCGTGATCCCTTGAGGGAGAAAAAAGAATAGCAATATATTAAGCTTCTTCGACTAAAAGAAATATAGGGAGAGAAAGCTTGATGTTGTCGCACTTGAAACAATAGATCAGCCACAATGCGCTACCTGGGCGCTCAGCGTTCATGATCCTCTAATATTTAGATTTTCAACGGTCAAGGGGGGAAATAGAAGTTCGCGAACCAGTCAGTGATTTGCAGAAAGCATAGTGCTCGTCCGCTCAAAAAAACTGTTATGGATGTCCAGTCTGATGAATACTCAACTCGGGGATGGGTACCGCAGCCCCACGCAAACCGTGTATCTGCAATCCGTAGCGTGGTTTTCTCCTCGCTCTGCTGCCCTTAGCTCATATCTTACATAACCCTTCGCGCCCAGAGACCATCTCGAATCGGAGCGAACATCGCGCAGAGAACCCCGCGTCTTCTGGCTGCAGCTGCAGCTGAAGCCCGGGGTTGAAAGTGAGGAGAAGCCCCCCCGTACCCGTACTCAAGGGTCCAAATGCAGAAGGCCGCGTCACGGAATTCGGGTTTAACAGAAAATAGTCTACTTTTGCCAACTGCCCAGCCTCTCTTGGCTGAGGCTGGGGGGGGGGGGGGGGCGGGAGTGGACGAGGACACCAACTTCGACGATATTGGGAAGAATCGCTACCCCTCTCCAAGTTTTCCGCGGCGCCAGCCATCGCGCACATATCCCGCATCACGACGAGCGCGTGGAAAGTTTGGAATGCTCGAAACGCTACCAGGCACTTGGGTTTTCGCCGCGGACGATTTGGGGGAATTTGAATTGCTCGCCGGAAGTCGAACTGATCGACGGGAGCGAATTGAAGCGTCTGACAGGCTGGCGTTAGTAACAAGCCCATCAAGGACGGCTTTCCTCTCTGCCGCATCGCCGTTATCGCGAGCCAAGCAACTCGTAGGTGAAAAAAAGTCCAGACTCCCCCCGGATGGCGCGGCGTTGAAGATCGACAGCACCAGAACAGGGTGGAGCGGATGGAGAGGGGGCCGGGCTCGGATGACAAAGAAGCCTGTTCGTTCCATAGAAAATGATCTCATGGACTGTTGGCGATCCAATAGTAGGCGCAAGCCTCGTTGTGATTCGCGAAAACAGGACTTTTCGACTTTCAGACTCCCGAGGGCCTCACACATTGGGGGCCTGTATATTTTGTTTCGGGCGCGGTTGGCTCCCCCCACCCGATCCACGCATGGCCCGCTGACAGGTCGCCCACGATACGAGTCTATCAATACGGAACCAATTCGTAGTGCTAGTAAGCAGAGGGCCGCAGTTGTAGCCTGTAAGCCAGGTACGTCGTAGGCACACCGCACATGATCACCAAATATCTTGAATGCCGATGTTCGGTAGTGGTTGGGGGGCGACTGGGCGATATTAGAGGCGTGGAATTCGATCTGGGAACGGCAAGCCTTCTTTCAACGTTCAATGGCGTGTCTGCACAGCCCTGCGCCAGCAGTTTTCCGGGGGTTCAAAGTCAAATCGATGATGGCCTTGATGACAAAAGAATATCCTCATTCCTGCGCGGCGAAGATAACCGTCTGGCCCCCGCGAAAATTGTGGCCTGACACCGCGACGACCGAGTTACGAGACAACTCATGCCGCCCACTCGCAACGAGACAGGGTCGACGAATTAGTTAGGGTTCTTGTTGGCGCCAAAGAAATGCGTGAAAGCGAGGAACAATAGGTCAGATGGCTCCCAAAGAGAGACCTAGATGTGCGGCTCCGGAAGGCTCCGGGGTTGAACATCGAAATCCGCAAGACCCGGAAGCATAAGTTTATGGCGTGGTTGTTGCCGGCGGCCAGAGCAATCCGATGAATCTCACTCCGACGGCGAGGGGCATCAACTGATCCGTCTGCAACGTCCCGGGTCCGATAAAAGTTGATCGACACTGTTCTGCCGCGAATGCTATGATGGCATGATCCCAGTTGCACCCACAACCTCTGTTAACAGCCGCCCCGCGTACCAACCTCCCAGCTTTCGAGTCTCTCGAGGGTAGGATAAGTTTTCCCTCATAGACGTGGAAAGTAGGCTATGAGATCGTTTTTATTGAATCATAGACATATGGTCTTATAGCGGCCGTTCTGTTGTAATTTGGGGCGCAGACGTGTTCGACGAGACGGCGACTATATTGCATCGTAGGCTTAAAGCCCAGAAAAGTCGGTCTCCAAGTACTCTGCACACGAAGACCGGGAATGTTCTGGTCAGGCCGGGAGCCAAGCCGTTTTCGTCGCCGTCATCAATGGCGGGGATAAGTTGGTGTGTCCGGATTTGACGGCACTCACCTTCGGTCAGCGTCATTAGTCGAAGCAGCCCCCCATTGGAGCGGGCCAGTGTCCCCAGACGCACTGTGAAAAGACTATTTCTTCGTACTGTTGTCCTGTTAGTCACGGATCAATCGGCTTGTCTTCGCGCGAATTTCTCTAGTCGAGACAGCTTGATACAATTCCGAAGAAGCGAAGTCGTAGTTGGTTATCGTGCTGATAATATGATTTAATCACTAGCGACGCCAGGGAGCTTGTTGTCGCGATTCAACGCTTCAATGGCAGTCATGTAATGCAATAAGGGAAGCCTTCATGACATTGACTTCGTCGCCAGGCGTCCCCAGGAACAGCAATGGTCCCAAGATCAAGCTTTCTCAGGTGGGCGACTGAGCGTTTCCAGGGGCTTGGGGTCTCGAGACGGAGCAAGACACAGCAGCGTCCAAGAGAGCCGTAAGATTGTTCGTGTCGTGGCATCTGATGATAAGATGTTTGAGACATACATGTGTCGTGTTGCCAGAGCAGTATATAGTGCAGATACTCTGGTAATAGTGCTCCTGCGCTTTCGTGTCTGACATCTTGACCTGGCACCCTGGGGAATACCGACTGCCAAAGCAGCGGTCTAGTGCTCGGACTGGCTGAGGTGGCACTGACAACGATTAGACGTGGCCGAGTGAGTGCATCTTCTCGAAATGCTGGTGGTAGGGCCCGAGGAGTCAATTCGACTGTGTAAGGAGTAGGACACATTGACAAACGCTTGAATCAAGCAAGCCCACACTGCCGATAGAGTCGTCGTGGCAAAAAAGCGTCGTCTTTGTCCGTGATGCTGAAACATTTAGAAGATGGGGTGAAATCAATTGCTCGTCGGCCCTAGCGTTCCGAAGCTGACCATCTGAATTTTCGAGTGGTTGCAGCGCGAGCAGCGGTAGCCAGCCAGCATGCTGCTACTCGCCATGAACAATAGTTCGTGGCTATTATTAATTGTTCTCGCGACCTTCAGACCGTCCATCTCGTTGGAGCGCTGTGCTGAGATGCAGGTTCTATTAATGACCATGTCTGAGATGTTGAGACGTAATCCAGACGAGGCACAGTAAGGACGTCGTATTCCGTGCCAGAAAATTGAGTTGTTGCTTTTCGTCGTATTAGACGGAAGCGTGCGTCTTGTGCTTCGTTTCTCTCTCTCTTTCTTCCTCACATGTACCTATGCGGGATGTGCTAGGGGTTGGTCGTCGATATTGGTGTTGAAAATTGGAAGGCTTGCTTGGTATGTTGCTTCTCCCGGGCCGGGGTAGCCGTACCTCGAATCGGCGCCGCGTTCCCTACACACCAACACACAGTAGAATGTCAGAAACGAGAGTAACACGGATTAGTGATGGCGTGCTCGGTTGCTCCCATCTGCAAGGCACAACCCAGCGCTCACCTCCGAGTTTGTACAATCCGATGGCTCGTCTGACACTGGCTTGACTCGGTGACATGGATCCATGTGCGCGATGTCCGGGGCTGGGAAAACCAAAGCACTCGAAGTTGGAAGAAACCCGTTCATGAGGACAAGGATGAAGCAACAGAGTAATGCGCCATGGCTTCAAAAAGAAAGCATAGCAAAATCAACAGGAGATGTTGGTTGCTCCGGCTATACTCCGTCAAGCGGCTGATAATCGTAGGTTGCATTCTAGGTGCCTGCTGTTCGTATGCTTTTCCGTTTCAATGCCAGGCATGAGCGAATATGTTGGCAGTTCGGTTCCAGGAGGTATGATCGTGAAAGAGACATCAAACTCTCAGACACGCGGCTCCAGACAGCTGGACTCGGGCGATCGTTTGGCGAGGGACGAAACAACCGAGCAGTCGTATCTTACTCTGACCCTTGTCGACTTTGCTTCTGGCGTAAGCCGCTAGGTGCTTGCTTCTGCTGCTGCAATTCTCCGTTGGATTATCGCCGCATTATGTCGCGGCCTTTCCCTTCCACCATCCGGCGCCGCATCCCCACAGCATCCCCTGCTTTCTTTTGGAGGCATCGCCAGAGCATCGGCCTGGGCCGCCGGAGAGCGGATGGCGTTAACGATGCGCACCGCGGGCTAAGCTGACCGGTAGCCTAGTACCCGGCCGTAGCGGTGCGGGATCTGGCTTGTTTGGAAAGACAAAGGGGGACAATGAAGACGCCATCTTGCATGGTCGGCTTTACCCATGCATCCTAAGAAACCAAGAAATTGCCGAGGCTTTGGAGGAAGTTGATGTCGCAACTCAAATCATGAACGGGAAAGTGGGCGAAATGGAAGCTGAGGGCACGGATGATTTATCCGACGTGATATCAGCAAGGGAAAGAAGCCCCTTCTTCTTTGGAAGCAGTGTCAGCAGGCCCGAACGGTGTTGGTGTTCGTGACTTGAGGTGGTGTTGCGGTGCAGGTTGTGCGGGCGCGACAGGCAGACTCTTTGGAATTTCAGGCGTCTGGATGGCAGGTACGCACTACCTTCAGCTAGAGCAACGTCAGGCGGTTCGGCGATGGTATATGGTACCTTGCGTGTCAGATCAGCATCATGCTAGGCCCCTTGATTCGATGCGAGATTTCTCTACCTAGGATAGGGGTAGATGGAATCCGATAGGGTGCGATTTGCAGTATCAGCCTCATGACGGCAGCGGGAACAACGACAAAGAACCAACGGGTTGGCCGAGATGAATAGGAGAATCGTGTTGTTCATCACGGGAAGCGGCGCTTGAGCTTTGATTTTGTGCGAGGTACCTTACCTCAGATGCTCCGTTAGTATGTACGGGGGGAAAAGACCAGCGACGCTAAAGCCAACCTAAGCACCATGGCCGTAGCCCAGAGTAGGACTCAAGTCACTGTATCTGTCAGAAGCAGTGGGAAGAGACAATCTAAGGTAAGCCGCGGTCAACCTTAGTTGTAGAGGCCGGCTTTTACATTTCTTGCCTTAAGAACAATACGCTTGTCTTTAAATTTTCCAAGATTTCAGAAGGCCATTTTCTCAATTTCCCCGCCGGTTCTTTGCCGGTTCCCCAGTCAAGGATCCGTTCACTCATGACATTATATGAGAGCAACCCACTTGCTATGTGAGCACTTGAGCGAGCTGTGACGCTAGTCTTAAAGAGGTATGGTGATCTGTCCGAGGGTCGAGTCCCATCACTCACATTGTCTCTGGCGTGGCGCTTTGTTTCCCGAAACAGACTAGATCGGGACATCCTACGAGCTGGGTGAAGGTGCAAACGAGGTGACTTGCAACAATTGACGGCCCTGAGTCCCATTTGACTGCTCGCTCAGACCCGTGAGCGTCCATCTCAGTCACCTACGAGACGCATGCCTTGGATTTCCACGTACCTAACTTAACCTACGCAGTCAACTAAGGTACTTTCAAATGGCAGCGCGTCCCATCCATGGTGGATTGTCTGTGTTGTCTCGGTGTATACGAGGCAGTAGGTACTGGGCACTATCCGTAGGTACTAAGGTAAGCTCAGTTTGGTTGCCCGTCTCCATGGCACCCTTTCGTGCCCCTACCTAGCTTGAAGGCGTGTGCACCAGCACGGATTGGAAAATGCTAATTGTCTGAGGCTTCGCAGTGGCACAGTGTGAGGGCAGCCAACGTTCAATCTCATCCAGGCCGGCGTGCGGCGTGCCAGGTTACCAACACCACCTCACAAAGAAGACCCGGTTTCCCAGCACCTCCACCTCCTTGCATACAACCCTGGCGCGGGCTAACTCATACCCTGCCCAATCCCATCTTGCAGGCCGCTTCTCCGTTCCATCGCTCTTCCCCAGTCTTGCCTTTCGCTCTGTGCCTCTGTGCCTCTTTCCTTCGCGTGCCGTGGTGCCTTCTTGCACCTTTTTGACTGATACTTGGGTACTTGGGTACGTCTCTGCCACACTATTCTGCTCGGTTTGGTGGCCCTTGGGGTGTCTGATGTGTCTTGTCTGGGCTGGGTGGTCCTTCCTCCTCCACTCCTCTTCTTCCTTCCCCTTCGCACTTACCCGCCCATCGCCTTGTGGTTCCCACTTTTTCACTGCGACCGGGCTGTGTTACGCTCTTACTGTCCGTCAGAGTTCCATGTCCTGTTCCATACTTATCCCACTCCACCTGCACTCTCCCTCCCTCCGCACTCTCTTGCCTGCTTTTGTCAACCTTCCCCAACCACCATCCGACATCGTGTCGTGATTCTCCTCTTGTTTCAATTCGCTCTACTCACCACGCCTCCCACGGCTCGAGAGTAGATTGGAATCACGACTCGTATACAGACCGAAACAGATATTCCTACGAGAGGCAATTTCCTTCGTTATTCCAACGGATTGTATCGATTGCACGCCGCATGCGAACGGGGGTTCAGGTCGACCATTTCCGTCCGTAGTCGCTGTTTTCGGCTTTCCGGTTTCAAATCAAGGCAGTCACTGAACCTAGCCACACCTATCTCTCAACCCCATGA